CTCCGCGCACCCAGCAGCTGGGGGGGGGGCGCTTTCCTGCTCCTTCTGTTGAGTGGGGCCCTGGACATTTGCCCCAAGGGGTCCTGCCTTGATGACATGCCAGCATTACACCAGCCTTTCCAAAGCTGGCACCTTCCAAACACACTTTTGGAGACCTACTTCTCAGACTATATATTTTTACATAGGGATAGGCCACCAGCCCACCAGCTGAAGACCGCGAGAGTGCTTCCCACAGCACGCAGGTAAAGCAGAGATATCATAAACTTGTATTCACACATCTTCCTTTGCTAGCCCTGCCTCAATAAACTCTCCAAAATGCACAGGTGGTGTCTAGATATTTAATGTTTGCTGTGGAAAATACTGGTAGGATAAAGCTATCAGGTTTGGAAACCAGAAATGCTGGATAGTAAAAGCCTGTTTTAGCTTACCATCACATTTATTTATTTGCTTTAGCAAAAGCTGAAGATTCCAGAGAAACCTGCAGACCTGCATTCATTTGGAAAATGCTGGTGACAGAGGCATCTCTCTCTTTCTCTCCATTAAGCTACAGGCCTTCTACAGTTAAACTTGATGTGTGATTAAAACAAAAACCAAAACCAGAGCACCTAGGGGGACAAACACTCAATCACATACAAAATTATATAGGTGTAAGCTTGAGCATTTATATATTTAGACATAGCCAATGTGTGCGCGTGCTTGTGATTATGGCTCTCACATGAGAACAGAACAGACAAACCTGACCTAACTGCAGCAATTTTCAAAATGCATGTCACCTTTCTAAACACCCAGCACGCTTCCAAATACAGATTAAAACACACTTATCCAAGTATAGCTTACATTTCTTCTTGAGCCATCATTCATTGCCATCCCGCCTAAATTTAGAGGGGAAATAATTGCAATAATTATGCAAGAAGCTTCCTTTCAATCTGCAGAGGAGATGTCAAAAGCTGCTAAGTGGCGGAAAGGAAGATTTTTTCCCTTCTGACAACACAGTCCTAAAACAATGCTTTGCTCAAACTGCCAGAGAGAGGAAATAAAAAGAGGGAGTCGACTTCCCTTTCAACTTTATTGGATTAGTTTCTCTGGTCTCCCCCACTTTCTTATTAAAGATGATTTGCCGCAATGCTTCTGTGGCATTTATCAGGCAGCATATCAGAGGAAATGGGATTCAATTAAGGTACAAAGAAATTTCAGATTTGCTCTCTTTCTTTTTAAAAAACCAATACTAATTAGTATTTTGAGCAAGCTATAACACTAGCTCAGCTGTCCCTTCAAAGAAAGGGAAGCATCACTGGCTTTTTCTATTCATTCTGGTAAGGCTATTTATCTGCCCTTTCTCCCACTCTTTCTCCAAGGCATTCAAGGGTCTCCCCCTCTCATTTTATCCCCACAACAACCCTGTAAGGTAGTCTAGGTGGTTGTTATTGCAGTCATTATTATTTAGACTTATTAGTTGCTTGATACCTAAAAAGGTCTCCAAGCCACTTACATTTAAGAACATAAACATAAATACATTATACCACAGAAAAAAAATCAACATTTTCATATAACACCTGCAATTCATACACCCTTTCGCACTCCCCCTGAAGGAGCAGGTTTGCAGTTTGGGGGTATGTCTGAATCCAGCTCTGTCACTGGAGGCTCAGAAATACCTTTTACCAACTGCACCTACAGCCATACCTGGATCTCAACTGTGCTGGGCCGGAGGTAAACCCGAGCAACACGGTCCCGGTCCAGTCCCGAATCCAAGGATTCTGCGAGGAGTCAGTCCAACAGGGCCAAGGCAAGTCACAAGGCAGGAAACCAGGCTAGGTCAGGCACAGGATCACAGGCAGGTTCTGGCAAACAGCAACGTTGCTCCTGCAACCTGGGGCAGGGTCCGACAGTCTTTTATCTCTGTTGGGGTAATGGCCGGTCCTGATCCCCCGGTGACTCACCTCCCTGTCTCGCCTGAAGGTGAGCACTCCTCCTGCGAGTACTCAGGTCTCTCCTTCTCTCAGACCTGAGTCTCTGCAGCTTGGGAGATGTCGGTGGGTTACTAGACCCAGAGGCCACCTCAGCCTCTCCTGATCCAGCTGGTAGTGGAGCAGCTGTACGTGATTACCCAGCAGAGGGTAACGAGGTAATCCCCGCATCTGGAGCCAGGGCAGGCTCAGGCCCCTGACTCGGCCCAGCTGGAGCTTGTTGCAGGGGAACCTGTGCAGACTGGGGCTCTTCAGAATCAGGCCCCCGACTCGGTTCAGATGGCACCTGAGGCAGAGGATTCGGTGCGGACTGAAACTCCTCCGGTTCTGGTTCCGAGCCCGAGTCCCAGGCCATCACATCAACTGCCCTTCCTGCTGTCCATCCTTAAGCCTCTTTAGATTTAAGGTAGACTTGGACCAGGCCTGAACCATATTTCAAATAGGATTGTGCTCTGAAAAGTAAGGTTTGTGGGGTTGTATCCCATACTAGTCTGACTCAGAGTGGACCCATTGAAATGGGCATGACTTAGGCCCATCAATTTCAGTGGGTCTCAGTGGATACCTACAGAACTTTCTTCTCCCTCAGGAACCATTTTGGAGAGCCTGCTCTGGTTACCTTGAAGTTGAGGTATGGGGTGGTATGTGAATTATCCATGAGAGGGCCTTCCTCACAATGGCACTGAGGCTGTGGGACCAATTTCCAGCTCCTTCCACTCCTCTGCTTTTGACCTTCTGGTGACGAAAGCAACATGTTGTTGTTTTTTAATTTAAAAAAACCCAGCTATTGCACCTCTGAGCCACTGTGGTGAATATTTCCTCTTCTGCTTCTTTCCTATTCCCCTATTTGATCTGCTTTTGCTGCATTTCTGCATTTTAAAAAACAATGTTGTTGACTGCCTTGAAACATTTATATACATAAATACAATTTTTTAAAAAATACTTCTTTTCAGAGTTTAGACACTGTCAGGCATGGACCTTTGAGTCAAGTAGGAACAGCCTGGTGGCTTCTGACAACTTGCCCAGACTGAGGAACGATCTAGTACTAAAAGTTTTATATAGCAGGCAGTGGCATGGGATTGGCTCCCTCATGTCACCAGATTTCCTCCTCACTCCCCGCCCCCAAGCCAAAGGGATTCTGGACTGCCAAGCAAGCGCCCCTGTTTAAAGTGCTTCTCTGCAGTTCCCTTGTCCAATCAGTGCTTGGCATCCTGTGCCAGCAAGTTCATTGCTCAGGGTTGTTTTTTTTTTTTACCAGAATCATTATATAGGTCTTCAGAAAAGGACTGGAAGGGGGAAAAGTGCTTTTTTTTTTTTTTTAGTTGGATCTATGAATAGAACATTAATCCTTCAGATTTCACTGAAAAGGGGCTTAATTGAGATAAATCCGTGGATGCATAATGAATGTGATAAGTAAAACTGATAGGGGCATTATCTTCGCATGGATTCATTTCCAAGTAAGTCAATCATTTGGGGCAAACATTATACTTGAAGCTCTACTGTTAGAAGTCTATTATAAGCCAAATTTGTTATAATCCAACCTCCCTCCACCCCCTTTCTCTGCAGTCCTGGCTTCACAATTTGGCAAAACAGAAAATAAAAGTTGATGAGCCAATTGAAGGGATTTTCCTTTTCATTTCAAGCAGTTCATATAACTGTGTATCAAAGGCCGGCCAAGTGCAGTTCCCTTTGTCTGGAATGATTGCCTTCCATTCATTTCTCATTGCATATAAAAGATACACACGACATGCTTCACACACAGTTTTCACCTCTCCTAACTCATAATTTTAATTGGGACAGTGTAATGTCTGTCCTAATCATCCAGGAAGGATAGCAGAGTTCACAAACTGCATTGCAGTTCGATTTAAGAATGCTTTGAGCATTTGGCATGCTTTAGGAGGAAAGTAAAGATCTTTGTAGGAAATAAATAAATCAATGTCATTTTTCAGACCTTCGGTCCATTTTTTTTAACCCCTCGCAGATTTGGTTTGAGTAAACAGATACCCAGAGCTAATTTTTTTTTTGTCATGTGTAGAAGGAAAAAGGTAGGGTTCAATGTCCATCAGGTCGCCCTATAGAGTCTGGCTAAATTTGGTTTGTATTTGAAACACTCTCCAGGCACATGGAAAAAATGTATTGCTTAACCATGGTTTGTTTTCCTTAACCAGAGATTCTTGTTATTTCTAAGACTATTGTTAAGGATTAGGCACAGTCAGGGCACACCAGTTGTCTTCTTGCAAACATTCTCCAGGAAAAGGGCTTAGCTTGGCAACCTAATACATTCGGGATCTTAATGAGGTTAAAGCACCAACCTATGGTTAGTGTAACTCATGGTTAAGCGCTTGCATAGAGCAGAACCTACCTGATCAACTGGTGCCAAATTTCTAGGTAAGATCAGACATAACAGATTTTACAAGCCAGGCAACTATTCCCTTTGGCAGGCAGCTGCTCTTGCTAAGGTCAATCTGTAACATTGGCTCCAATCTCATAAAGATGACAAGAAAAAAAATGAAGCGTTTCAGCTGGTGGGAAGGAGCATGTTGTGGGTGGTCACTTACTCACCATGTAATGTGTGAATCAAGCTATTCTTAGATAATCCCCGCCCTGCCCCCCATTATAAAAACCATCAGTGTGCACTTTTCTTGAAAATTGCTTTGCCTCATAAGCAAATATATTCAGCTTCTACTGATCAACCAAAAATTGTAAGATTAACCAGATTAACCCAGGTCACTTCCATATGACCCATTAATAGAGAATCCATCCAGATTCGTTTGCACAACATTTTCAGGAAGGTAAGACAGTCAGCTATTTAATGGGCATTCATTCTAATTGGCATGCCAGGGTGGATATATGAAGTTGTGTCAAGCAAGTGTTAGCCCACACTTTCCAGTGTATTTTCCCATCGTTTCAGTTTGTGGTGAGAGAAGGCTTGTAGCACTAGAGCACCAAATCAACTGATCTTCAGGTTACAAGCAACTAACAACTCTAATAAATAATAATAATAATAGCATTTCTTCTTTTAAAAAATTAGAAAACTACTTTATCTGCAAGAAAATGTTTATTTTTTGTAAACCCCACAGAAAAAAAAAAGAATGCAGCCAAGACCGAGTATTTCAACAAAAGTTGTGCCCAAAGGGCAGCAAAAAAATAAAAATAAAAAAATAAAAAATGGGGGAACCTCAACACAAAAAAGTCAGTGACAATAGTCCATGTTTTGCACAAAGATGAAAACCTATGACATTTCTGAGTAACACTTTCATGGTGACAATTACACAAGATGATTCAAAAATGCAAAATGACAGCAACATGCACACCTGGCTAAAGCTAGAAGTTTTTTTTTATCTCAAAAGAATCTGATTTAAAATGATGGATTTTAATACTATTTTTATTGACTTGCTTGTCCTACTTAATTTTTTTTAAAACAAGGCATACTTGCCAATTCATATGAAACTTTAAAAATTGCTGTTGTTTTTAAAGAAGAACTTTGTCCTTCCAGAGTCCACTGCATGTTGGCAAAATCATAATGGTTTGATTTTATAATTTTGCTAGTTACTAATACGATTTTGTACCCCTCCCACCATGTCCCCTCCCACCCACACCCAAACCTTAAACACTTTGAAAGTCGCCAGTGCAATACACTTTCCTACCAATGCACAATATACATTTAAACTTAAATCTTTGTGCAATTTTATGAGTTTCTTTTTTAAAAAATTACTATTTTTTAAAAAAAGCTCCTTGGCACAACTGCTGAGATTTTGTCAGCCCCATTGAAATTAAATTGTCAAACACAAGATGATATAAAGCGTAATCGCAGTTGACTTTTTAAAAAAGAAAACCCTGCAAACTGCCGTGTTCTTGAGCCAACCTGACAGTCTCTTGTGTATAGTACATTGCACAGTTCCGCCTTCACCAAAACACTCCCTCTGCTGCTACTGAGCCCTCTACAGCATATCCTAACCATGTGAACACTGTTGGATTTTGTACCCAAAACAAACAAACAAACAAAAGAGATGTAAACTAGGATTGCAACGGGCACCTAAATTACCATGTACGATCTGCAGTAGACTCTGTAAAACGAGCTCGGCATTACAAGCTAGATGATAGTGAAAGCAGGAGAAAATTGTTTAAATGAATGAGTTTCCTCTTGAAATATCTTTTTTTCCCCAAGGCACTGTTGAACAAGACTGTTAGCAGTTCTCAAGTGACTAAATACACCGATGGGAAACTAAACACTTTACACAACCACCAATGTTACATTATTGTCTACACCCTTTCTGCAATCCTTATGCCCTCCCTTAAAACTGATGCCCCCTTAAATATGGTTTGGTCCTTAGAGGGGTAAGCTAATAGATTTCTTGCACATGCGCTTCCCCGTCCCTCTGCCTCATAATCCACTAACATCATCAAAAGCTTTGCTTGAGCACTTAAACCCTTTTCCACTTAAAAAAAATACCCTAAGGAATTTCCATCATTATTCCTTTGAACTCTTAATTTGTAATTTTGGCTTCATTATGTTTTTTTTAAAAAATGGAAAGAAAGGGTTTTGTATCAAGCGGAGCTCTGCGGTAATTTATCCTTTCAAGAGGAAACCTTACAAGAGGTGTTCTTTTTGGGGAAAAAAAGAGAGGCAGAATTTGCTATGTGAAAACCAAGAGTCGTGGGTTCTTTTTCCCTTAATGCGTTGGCCAAGAAAGAAACCGTATAAAGTTCTGTGAGGTTTTCTAAAAATTTACAAGAAAAAACTGATGGGCAGTTCTAGCCAAACCTTGATGTTCAGGTTCTTTCCCCCCACTTCCCTCTTTTTTATTTTTTTATTTTAAACAATAAATCAATAGTCTCACACAATACAAATTTCATCTTGACTGCAAGATATTTTTCTGTGTGATGCCTTCCGTGTGACAAACTGGAAGCTGGTCTTTACTTCTTCAGGGGTTGATAAACTGAGGCATTGGGATCAAGTCCAGAAGGGCTGGTCTCCACAAATTTGGAAGAGTAATGTGGGGAAACAGGACTCAGTGTGCTGGTGGCCGCAGTGTATGTTATGCTGGGCATGACTGCCATGACTTCTGCTATCTTCTGTTTTAGGTCCTTGATCTCCTGATCCTTTTGAATTATTTGCCCTGCAATATTAAAGAGGAAGGAAAAGAACTGTCACCAAATGCCAGGTTTTTATACCAGATAAAAACTGTGGACAAACATGTTATGGGGTGGAGTCTGAGGGGATCAGAAGTGGCATGATCAGAAGGTTGGCGGTTCGAATCCCCGCGACGGGGTCAGTGCCCGTTGCTCGGTCCCTGCTCCTGCCAACCTAGCAGTTCGAAAGCACGGCAAAGTGCAAGTAGATAAATAGGTACCGCTCTGGCGGGCAGGTAAACAGCGTTTCCGTGCGCTGCTCTGGTTCGCCAGAAGCAGCTTAGTCATGCTGGCCACATGACCCAGAAGCTGTCTGCAGACAAACGCCGGCTCCCTCAGCCAGTAAAGTGAGATGAGAGCTGCAACCTCAGAGTCGTCCGCGACTGGACCTAATGGTCAGGGATACCTTTACTTTTTAAAACAACATGCACAGCTTTTTAAAAAAAGAACTGCAAAGCTAAATTAAAACCTGAGTGTTCCACAGTAATCAATAGATTTAGCTCTGGCAGATAATTTCCACATTCCCTCTACAGCCACGTGAAACGGAAGGAAGATCTTTACAAGCATGCCTTTACTAAGACAGTGTTCTTAACACATTTTATTTTAACCCGTTCATTCAGATTTCCTTAATGCTGGAAACTCTTGCTTTACCTATTTCCAAGTTTTGGGTAGAAATCATACATCTACTTTCTTTCCTTCAGTACTTATCTTCTTTATTTGGTGATGGAGTAGGGTGGGTGGAATAGGTTTGTACTGGTGGTGAGCATGATTTAGGCAAAGTTGACCTGATGGGACTTTATCTTGAATAGGATTTTCCATCCAAAAATAGAGGGAGACGCTGTTCTTTTGTTAACTTTGTGCGCCCTCTGCTGGCTACAGTGGAAGTTTACAGCCCAAAGCAAATTAAAAGAAGAGCTGGGAAGGAGCAGGAAGGGGCAGAGTTTGGCAAGCATTTTCTCAGCAAAGAGCTCGCCCTTTCCAGCAATATTTTCTGGAGAGACAAAATATTTGCCTTTGTTTTGTCCCTGCTGCCAAGGCCAATGCTCTTCATGTTGCCCTGCTGTGATGAAACCATCACAGCACAGTAAGGCAGGAAAGGGACAGCTGGGAGTTCTCCTACCGCCCCCACTTTAAAATGAGGGCAAAGGATGGGCCACTCAATGAACAAAAAAGCCTGGACAAATAAAAGTGGTGCCAAAGCAGGAGCACAGGGAGGAATGAGAAGCTGTGAACTGAATCACTGCAAACAGTAAAGAAAGGTACTGTATGAAGGTTGTCTGGGGGCACATACACCTGCTGGATTTCCTAAAAACTTGGAGGTGAAAAAACGATATTTCCTTAGAACTTCCTGGAAGAGAACTCTAATGGCATTATTATAGAGGCCTATGCAAGAAGGTTATTTCCCTAAGGTTAGAAAATAAAGTAACAGCTAAGGAGGGAAAAGTACAAATTAAACTATTTAAGCAAATTGCCATTTATTATTTGCTCTTCCCACTTCCCTCAGCATTTTGTTTTCCTGGACAGAGTATACAAAATGAAGAATTCCAGCTGTGCCTGGGCTATTAATTTCCTACCACATTACGTTTCTGCAGCATCCGCACTTGGAGTTGCACTCAGAGATCCAATAAAAATTTAACCATCTGTTTTCTAGCAGTTTGCTTCCACTCTAAAGAGAAACAAAACACTGTTGATTTCTTTGGTGTGGAGTTTGCTGCATTTGATTAGGATTGTCTGACCAAGTCACTGCTGTTCGGGTGGACCAAAGCAATTACTCTCACGTCTCCAAACCAGTCCTCTGTACTCTCTTTGTTTAACCTGTTTCCACGGAGACTTTCAGAATTACTGTTGGACGTCTAAGCAGTAGTTAACCTGACCGAACAAATGCTGGTTAAGGTTTGAGCCCTACAGCAGCATGGAGGAGCTACTGAAATGTTGCCTAAAGCAAAATTCAGTGTGGCGCTGGGGTCTTCCTCAGGCAAAAAAAATCTGAGGAATCTCAAGGAAAGCCAAAATAATACCAGCAAGGCTTAGAAGTTTGTCGGGGGGGGGGGTTACTAAGACAGGACAAATTTATTGGGGGAGGGGGGGATTTCCCATATATTCCAAGTAGGAATAATTTCCAAAAGGTAGTTCCAGCTGCCAGCGGCCAAAATCCAAAGGGCTACGAGCAGAACAGGAAGTGTGTATTGGGGCTTTTCTGACTCATCCTTCCCAATGGAGTCCTTCATAGTCCTGTGGCAGACAGGGGCTGTGGAGTAGACTTTGAAGTAGTTGAAGAAAATGCAGCAAGGCATAAAAACCAGCAGGCACCCACACAGTCCCCAGTGTTTGCACAGAAGTGCTTTTCACAGGAACACTAGATTCTTTGGCTCCTAATCCATGGTATCTCACTGGACAGTAGAGGGCACTACCTCATTTTCTATCACTTTGCCCAGCAGCATGGAGAATCCCACTTACCTTGAGCTATCTCAAGCTGTCTTTTTGCATCTCCTAATGCAGAGAACAGGTCCAACTTGATCCTCGTCTCCGCACTCAAGCTGTTCTCTAAGTGCTGTGTCTTATCCTGCATGGCTGAAAGTGCTGACATTAACACCTCTGTATCCTTTTCGTTCTCTTTGTACTTCCGCAGTTCCTTGAGAGTAATTAAAGCAGGACTGTTACAAATAGCAACTTTATACTGAGATAAAGGGGAAACAACAAGACTGGGGTTGTGGCTGGGGAAGGAGAAAAATTGGGGTCAAATCTGCAGTATGCTGGGTTTGGTTATATCCTTTGACCTCAAGTGCAGTATGTAAAATATACGTGTTCATAAGGCAATTTAGCTCTGCAGAAGCTGCAGCTTGGAAATTGACATGTTCAGCTGTAGTAATACAGTTTTCTTCACCCAGCCTCCCCAAGGGCTCAGAATAGATTACAGTGTATTCTTATGGCTCATTCAGCATGAACAATGTACCAATTGCAGAACACAAAGCTGGCTTGATGTGGGGGCTCTTCCAATCTGCTGTTGATTAAGACACACAAATTTCCAGTCTTGAAAACCACATTTAACTAGGAAGTCAATATAAATTTGTGAGATTATGTCGGAGCAAGAGAAGTCCAGGAAGAGTCCCCCAGGAAGTCACTCCGAGATATGGACCCTCTATGTTCATGCCAGTACAGTGACCCCACAACCAGTTTTCCTGGGGTGGAATGAGAGTGGTGATGATAGACTTCACCCATAGCCTCCAATGCAAAGCAGGTTGAGCAAAGGCAGAATCTGATCTAAGCTAGTGGCGGCCAACCTTCAAGTCAACCTGCACGTCCTGCACTAAATGTAGGCGGACTATATGCCAGACTGGGAAAGAGACTGTCCCAGTTGAAACAGTGAGATTCTAATGGTGGTGGTGGTCACTTCTAGTTTGCTGAGCTGGGAAGCATGCAGTAGCAGCAGAGTAATTGACAGCTGGAGAGGACCATAAGCAGCACTCCACACATAGCTAAGCCCATGGGCCTTCCTGTTCTTACCAAGGTATGGCACAAGTTTCCATCATCAGAAGTTGGCCAGCCATGGTGTAAGACAGAAGTGGGGAACCTTAGGCGTGGGGGACAAATGTGACATTCCAAGCTTCTCTATCTGGCCTCAGGACTCTCCCAAGGCTACAAACCCCATCTGGTCTTGCTCTGCACCCTCCTGGAGCATTGTTGCCTGCCTGGTTGCAGTCTATAGCTCTGATAATGTCTCTTGCTTCCCTTGATGCTGGATAGAGGTGTGGCTAGAAACTAGCATACAGCACAAAGGTAAACATTTCATTCCTCCCAATTCTCCCTCTGGTCTTCCACAGCATTGGCATGTGGCCCCTGGAAGGTTGCCCAGAAGGGAACACGGCCTTCAGACTGAAAAAAACATGTTCCACTGCTGGCCTAAACCTATTAGGCCCACTTGGACCTCATTCAGAGAAATATCAACACATGATATTGCCTTATACTTCATCTAGCCCAGGATGAAAGTTGCTCTGAAGAGTCTCAGGCAGAGAATCTTTCTTAGCCCTGCTACCTGAATGCACACACTTTGCTCAATTGGAATACCACAGCTTGAACCTGGGACCTCCTCAATGAAAAATATATCCTTTTCCGCTGCACTGCGGACTCTCCCCACAATAGGGAGAAGGCAAATCAGGACTGGAAAGCAGGTGGGGCCCCACAGGCCAAGTGAGTACAATAATGAAGCGCTAGAGAAAAGCTCAATAAATTCTAACTTCCTGATAAATGGGGGAGAATGTTATATAACATTCCCTCTCTGTAAATTAAAATGTTTGCTTAAGGGGTTTTGACAAGTTACTCAACCTGTCCAGGCTTTATTTTAGGGGTGGGGTACTTGAACTATTTTAGCCTCCAGAGTTACATGTACTTGAGAACGCCAATAAAAAAATAGGTTTTACTTAATATACCTGTCGAAACCACAAAGTCAAACTGTTTTTCACTTTAAAACACAAGTGAGAAGCTTTTGATTATTACGAAAATATTCCTTGTACATTTCACAGCTCCCTGTGTAGCAAAGCAAGGGCTACGCTACTTTTCCCTAGCCACTTTGATTATGTGGGCCTGCAGAAGAGGAAGAGGAAAACACAGAAACATTTCACTGCAAATTTATGGGGGAAACCATGAACAGGTTCAGAAACAAGTGTAAAACTTGAAACTATGTTTTACGGAGTTTTTTAAAATGCACGTCTCTATTTAAAACTGACACTGTTCCTAAAAACTTTAATCAAAGCTTGCTTTTCTAACAGTGGAGTAAGAGTGTTATACAAATGAACATTATAGTTTGTTTCAGGTTGGGACTACACTTTTTGGAGGGCAAGTGATTAACCCTTTCTCTGTCCACTGATTATCCCCAGCAAATACCATTCCCTCACTACTTTAATTTATCCTCTCCTCCAAGAGGGCTCAAAAACTGCAATTAGTTTATTTAGAGTATTATATTTTAACTGCACCTAACATTATAAATGTATTATGAGGATAAACAGGATGATTATCCAACTAAGGCAGAATATAAAAATCTATCAATTCCCACTTAATACTGAACAGGGGTGGTCCTGTGCCAATCACTTTGGGAAGGAAAAAAACAGGGCAATCTGCAAAAGGGCAATCTGCAAATAGATCAAAGTTTTCAGCATACCTGTAAGAACAAGGTATGCAGGAGTATATTACAGATGAAACCTGGCCTCCAGAAGCGAGCCAAGTCATGAAAAACTAGTTGCTGATAACTGTGTGTGCATGTCAGGAGCTTCCTTGACTATTTGTGTTTTCTCAGCTCTAGGCTTGTACATCCCATGGGGCGGGCCATCCATGAACCACATTCAAATGTAATGTGTAAAAAAAACCTTAAAGTGGTGTTTGGCAAAGCTCAAGTAGGCAAGTTTCCTTCACGGAAAGAGGGAGGCATGGCAAAGAAAAATTAGCTTTTAGACTAAGTCCGGCCTATTTAGGATAACAGAAAGAAACACAACCCTATGCACTCTTCTCTCACAGAAAACGTGGCAGGCATTCTGAAGGGTCAGGTTCAGGCTGTGAAGGAGGCATGCAATGTCGTGGTGCACTCTCATTACCTGCACTTTCATTTCTAGATCTCGTATCTGATCTTCTTTCAGCTTTATGTCAATCGTTAACTTCTTGCACTCTGTCTCCAGGTCTCTGATGCGATTTCGTAAAGTTTCAGTGCATTCCCCTCTGCCAAACAAAACAAGAACCAAGAGGGTGGGGAGAGAGAGACTTTCAGTGTGTGCCACTTTTTTTAAGTGTTGTTACAATCAGACAGTCACATTTCTAGGTCTGCTTATCTTTGGCCAAGTGATAGTGTCACATGCCTTCATACTTTTTGCTGTTTCTATAAAACAGCTTGGTGATCATCAAGCAAAAGAGAATACCAAAATGTGATCCCTCCCTGCAACCTGAAACACTATAAGACCATAAGAAAAGCCTACTGGATCAGGCCAGTGGCATCTTGTTCTCACAGTGTCCAATCAGATGCCTGTGGGAAACCAGCACGCAGGATCCAAGCACTCTTGCCCTCCTGTGGTTTCCAACAACTGGTACAGTCAAACCTCAGTTCTCAAGCGTCTCCGTTTTCGAATGTTTCGGTTCCCAAATACCGAAAACCCAGAAGTAAATGCTCCAGTTTTTGAACATTTTTTGGAACCCAAACGTCCAACGCGACTTCCGCTTGAATGCAAGAAGCTATTGCAACCGACTGGAAGCCGCACCTCGGTTGTTGAACATTTTGGAAGTTGAACGGTCTTCCGGAACGGATTATGTTTGACAACTGAGGTTTGACTGTATTCAAAAGCACTGCTGCCTCCAACTGTGGTGACAGAGAATAACCATCATGGCTATTAGCCATCAATGGCCCTCTCCTCCATGAATTTATCAAATCCTCTTTCAAAGCCATCCAAGTTGGTGGCCATCACTGTTTAAATATGCACTGTGTGAAGTACTTTTATTATTATTATCTGACTCTGTTTTTTCAAATGGCACAGACCAGGACATTTCTTTTTATTATCTGAATCTGTTTTTTCATATTATACACCTTAAAAAAAATCACATGCATATAATAAACTGTACTTTCTTTTGTTTGTCCTGAATCTTCCAATGTTCAATTTCACTGGATGTCACCAAATTCTAGCGTTATGAGAGAGGGAGCCCAGTACCTGGTAGCAGCAGCAAATGCAACAGCCCGCGCAGCAGTTGCTTCTTCCAACTTCTTCCTTTTCTTTTCTTCCATCAACTGCTTTTCTACAAAGGTTCGTGCCTCTTGCTCTGCTTTGAGTTTTTTCTCCAATTGGCCAATGGTCTGCTTATCTTTTTGTTTCATTTGCACAGCATTATGTAGTCTGAAAGAGGGAAGAAAAGGAACATGATCCCTGCTGCTTTCTTTAGCCTGAGAAGAAAATAAAGTACTATTCCAGAAGTGTAACTTCTTTTAAGTACTCAGCTTTCCCTTCTGAGAAAATGGAGACTGCTCTCTAAATTTCAGAAGAAGGTAACACATGAGTGGCATTCAGTGCTAGTCCTACTCATTAAAATTCGTGAAATTAAGTCATGACCAATGGGTTTACTTTGAGTAGGACTAGCACTGGATACAACCTCCAATCACTACAAGTCAAAGCAGAATTTCTCGTCTTAAGAGAAATTTGTATATAGATGCCTATATAGTATACAGATTACCAGTTTGGGTAAGAGTTCAGTGGATAATAGGAAGGATTTGGGTAGGGGGACACTATGTGCATCACTTTTCATTATGATAGAGTGGAAGGAAATCAGCACTATAGCAGAGCTAAGGTGTGAGTAACATTTCTGTTAAGTCTGACCTTTAGCTGTTTAAATCATGTGCCTCTTTGAACAAGAGATAAATGTCATTCTCCATATGCTCATATAGCATTTTTACAGATCAATAGGAAAGAGTTATTAATTTCTACAGCACTGTCAGTACTAAAAGAGTTTGGTACTATAGCAAACAGTTCAGAGTGCAAAATTTAGACCATTATCTGGGAATAATCAAGAACTTTTAAATCTTAAATCCCTTTCCACTGAAATGATGAATGGAGCTCAAGAGAGATAAACTTTGCCTGGCTTGGGCTTTGAGATTTCAAAAATCTATATTTGTTCTTTAAAAAATCAGATTACAAGTACAAAAATCAGCTGGGATGAAAAGGCCCACTATATTGTGAAGTGAGAACCAAACTTACTTATTCTGGAGCAGCTCATTTTCTTGTCGGAGCTGTCCAATTTCAGACCGAATCCCCCGCTCTGTGCTGGTCAGAGAGCCAATCTGACTGCGCAGCTCTTGTTCAATCTGCCTGCTTGCCTGCAGGTCGGCCTTTAACTTCTTGATATCTTGTTCCAGCCTAGGATAAAGAGCAGTAGTTCCTTTTTAATTTATGTATTTTTAAAGAGAACAGAGATAGCTTCATTTATCTATTGCAGGGCTGTCCAACAGGGCGATTGCGATCTACCAGTCGATTGCAGGTTGCCCCTGGTCAACTGCGTGATCCTGAGTGATCCCTCCCCCCCAAAAAAACCTTTGGTCAATCCAATGGGTAGATCACTTCCAGTTTTTTTTATAGTGGGAGTAGATTGCAGTCTTTTGGGAGGTGGACATGCCTGATCTATTGAATGCTTAAAGTTTGGCCCTGGGCTTCTCCTTTAAGAAAAGGCCATCAAGGGCCTTTAAGCATGTTTCCACTTTCTCCACCCAACCTTTTATCTCATTGCACCTATTACTGTGCAATCTTTTGGGTCAAGCTATACATGACTGGCAGAACTAAGTTGCAAGCTGGTGAGATAAGGGAGGCAATTTGCATTGCAAAAGTGATGTGTAGGTAGGATGATGAGCCTCCTTCCTCGCACACCTGACATTTCTGCACCGACCCCCCTCCCACCACCCACAGGCCCTTTAAATCTCTTCTCCAGTTACTTTTATGCCAGCCAGGCTCACTTCTGGTATTGAAGCTTGGCTGGGGGAAAGTTATTCATGAAATAGAGAGGGTAGAAGCAACCGGTTGAGAAGGACAGTACAATTCAGAATCAGAAGCTCATATGACCATTTATGTTCCAAAATCACACATGCACCCGTTTCCTCAAACCACATTTGAAAACACAGATCTGCCACAGTCATATGTAGTTTGGCCTTTACTTGGGATATAAATAGGGATCTGTCAGTTGTACGTGCAAGTACGTTTCCCAGGCTAGAAGGTAACCCTTTCTTTTATTGACATTAACTGTGATAAAGAGAACACAACACAGCAAAATTTAGCATTAGAAAGCTTTAACTTCAATTCTGTGTACTCAAATCTTAATAGTACAATTTCATGGTTTACCTAGCAAATATATATAAGTGATAGAGGATTTTGGCAAGCTCCTATCGCCCCACACCCACCCCATCTTGCCTCAACATAGAAACTAAAAATAAAAGCAACTGAAAGTTAACAACCATGTCAGCCATTCAAGTAAATTGATATTTTACCTTTCCTGCCAAGGTGGCTCATTTAGCTAATACTACACCACTAAAAGTCTTGATTTAAATGACAGTTTCTTCTCACTCTGACAAATAGTCTGAATATAATAGCATTTATTTTTTAAAAATCCATAACCCACATGCGTGGCAAGGCCCCAGACCCCCTCAGTTCCCCCAGAAATAAGACACACATCTGTTGGGTTAACGGGATAAATAAGGCCACAACTTTATTGGTTACAGATGTGAGTGGTTTGGCTTAGGCAATTGGGTGAAGCAAGACTATATCCTGACTCCTGCTCATCTGCAGGAAGTCTCAAAGGGTCAACCACCGATAGGGGGAGCCCTATGATATACATCAATTAAGAGCACCCCCAGGGTCACCGATGGGGTCGTGGCATGGCTCTAGCCCACATCCAGGCTTCGGACAGAAACCACACCCCCGGATCCCTTTAACGGGATACCCTTAACGTGGAGGGGCAGGCCGGAGGCAACAACTGCCCCTCCCATGACAAGGCTTACCTTGCCTAACCTTGCAAAATTGTGACAATAGCTACTAGGCAGGCGAAAACCAAATGGCTGGTGCCAATTTGCCAAGCGGAAAACTTCCTACCCGGCCCCAACAACCAGGTGACCAGCATTAGTCACAGCAAGGCCATAGTCAAGCAACACAAGCAAAGATGGTAGGTGGGCTGGGAGATCCGACGAAAGAAGACAAATGGAGGGTGCCCCAAAGTCACACTGCTGTTTAAACGGCAGGTGGCCACGCCCCCCAGCTAACCCGGCTGGTCAGCCAGGAGGCGTGATGTGGCTGGGTGTCCTACTGACGTGGGCAGCATCCCTCCACCCACTGCTGGGTAACTGGGAGGTTACCCCGGAACCCCTCCCACAATGCAGTCCCCTGGAAAAGGGGAGCTGTCTTCTATTCTGAATCAGGAAATCAAAGTATATGCAAAGTAGCTCAGTGAACAATCTAGGACATGGGTGAGAGAACCTGTGGCCTTCCAGATGCTGTTGGACTGCAATGACCACCATGGCCAATTGTCAGAGAGGATGGGAGATGTAGTCTAGCAACATTTGGAGGGTCCTAAACACCAAGTCATATTCATTTATACTACTCCCAAATATGACTGTACACAGAACCTTGTGTGACAAAACACACACAATAACTGAAAATGAAGGGAGATCAGTTCTCCCACTAAATGAGTATTGCCAGTGCCAACCATCTGCTCAGTTGGCACATGCATTCCGCTGAGTGATCCATAGGATCCATAGAAACCTTGCCTTCATTGCACACCACCCTTGCTCTAATGGGGCAGTCCAATGCTGTCGGTCACCTTGTCTGTGGCTAGAAGAATGCAAGCAGAACCGTATTGTTACCACCACATGATCAAACTGTTCGTGATCAAACTGTTTTACATGGTAAATAGAGAAGTGTATTTTAGATCCAAGATACACCATTGTTTATATTTCTCTCTCTTTTTCACACAGGCTCAGAGAGCTGCACTGCAGGAGAGAAAATGCACAGCCGTTTAGAAGGTTTAGTTTTAATCGTTCCTGACCAGAGACCATCTGCCGTATATCTTATTTAGAAATAAAATGTCAGTTTACATAGAATCTTTTAGCCTGGCGCTAAAACATTTTAACACAATGTATAGTATCTAAATATGAATGAGGATAGGCATTTAAAGCCAATTAGTTGTCTTAGTTAACAAGAGTCTAACAGTGTTTTAATCAAATACTTAACTATTGTGCCCACTACTACAGGAACAACAATGTGACTCATTTTTTCTGTCCACACATCCTAGAAAGTCAGGCAGCAGTCACATAAATATGTACATTCCAGAAAATGAACATGTTTACATAATGCAAATATGGCAGCCTTGCCGAATGCTATATTCACATTGACACCCCAGGTATCAGGATGTGGATTATTCAGGACAGTGTTCATGATCTGGATATAATGCAAATGTACGTATTTGAATCATGGACCTTGTCTATTCCTGTTGTACAAAGCCTCACAACCTGTCTTTCAGGTCAAATGTTTAGTTAGTGACCAATTATAATAAAGTGCATTTAGGGTAAGAAAGGGGTAGACTTTTAGGCTACATATTTCAGGGATGAAATGGTGATACCTTTGAAGAAGGGATGTACCTCTTTTAAACTTAACACTGTGGAGGAGGAGTGGGAAACAATGGGCAAAAAGGGACAGGGAATCAAGAATGTGTGTGGCTTCTAGGTTTTAGTACAGGCATAGGCAAACTCGGCCCACCAGATGTTTTGGGACTACAACTCCCATCATCCCTAGCTAACAGCAGTGGTCAGGGATGATGGGTGTTGATCCCAAAACATCTGGAGGGCCGTGTTTGCCTATGCCTGTTTTAGTACCTGACCGTGCTTTGGCAGGTTCTTGCCTTGAAGGTTCAACAGGTAGAGCTATCAGCGCCACACTCTAACCAACTGACAGGAGTCTCTCTTCACTTTTTGGAAGAGAGGGAAAACTTATCTTTCTCACCATGGCTTCAGCAATTAGATTAAGCAAGCTATTTTTGCTTCTGTTTTGTTTATTCTGGTGTTGTATTTTAATTGTCCTCCTGCTGCTATGATTTGACTGGCTTTTTGCCTGTTGGTCTCTGGATTTATTTTTAGATTTGAATAGACCTGAATAGTTTTAACTGCGAATTGCTTTGATCTGTTATTGTATGGCTGAAAAGTGGTCTATAAATACAGCAGAAAAAATAAAGATGCTCTTCCCCAGTTCAAATGTGACAATATTATCAGCTTGACATGGTTCGCATATGGGTAGTTTATTTTTATCTCACTCTGCATGGAGTTTAGGATGGGGCATGTGGTTCTCCCTTCCTCCACCATTTTATTTTTACAACAAGCCTGTGGTTGGGTGGCAATTCAAATTCAGCTATAGTCCCACAATCTAATCTCTACATCATAGCACTGACTCTCACTGGCTCTTAACTAAAGCAGCATAGGAAAGAGTGTATTGGGATCTACTGGAGAAAGTCTCAAACCAGATTCCAAAGGGGAACTAGCCCCAAAAGTCTGTCTCTGGGACCTACCACATGAAGTTACTTCATCACTCTTCAAGTTCCTAATTTCTATAGATTTACAACTGCTTATCCCAGGGGTTTAGGGAGGGAACAGCAAATTTTTCTTAATGACAAGCCTTTGTTTTCAAAGCTTCCTAGCCTGAACCAATGGAAAATAACCTTAATTCTTTTTCACATATTCATTTTCTTGTCCCCATTGTGAAAATTTCCCTCCTTGGACCCAATCTCTCTCTTCCACACCCCCTACCTATTTTGGGCAGTTTAAAAAGTTCTCTTTCACCTCTGTATGTCCTCAAAGATGAAACGTAAGGATATATAAGAAAGAAAGACTGTTTCTCCAATATGCTTTATCCCTTATACCCACTTTGGAAAGCATCAGAAGGATTAAAGTAAAACTAACATATGCTAATATCCTTTTGTTATGCAAGAACACAAAAGCTAGAACTGATTCTTAAACAGTTTGCTTACTTTCCTAATACTTCAATCTCATTATGGGAACCCCCCCCCAAAACAAATTAGATTACATTGTTAAAACAGCATTAATTCAAATGACAGCAGATTCTACCTGCTCATTGTGCCAAGGTAATGAGACTATCAGCAACTCAATAACCCACGCCCACAAAATGCCTGTGATCTGTTAATCTGCTTGTGATAAATCCTGACTCCTAATCTGGAAATCATGCCTTAGAGTTATAAATAATATTTCAAGTTTCTAGGCATAACTACTCATATATTTATAGATTTTGGCATCCCTCTGTCTCGGGAGACAATGGAAGAGTATGCCTTCAGGGTCCTTGAACCAGGACTTGCCAGTTCATTTGCTAGTCCAGCTCTCAATAACCTGAAGTCAACTTGACTTGAAGGCCCACTAATGATCTACAAGACAAGCAGCTATGAAGTTTCCTCGTTTACATACAGACATCCTTCCTCACTAGGTTTCCTCCCTTTTTAAATGGCTATCTGGAACCTTGCAGGAGAAAAGCTAGTTTGGGCTGGAAGAGAGTTTAAATGTTTGTGTATTCATGCATAGGTTTGTCCCCATTTGATTTCCTCCTCCTGAAAATACAAATAGTAAAAATTGTTCCAAGGAAAAAACTGTTTTTAAAAACCATTTTACGCATGGTTAAGGGAACAACAATCAGCTTATAATTGCTTCCTAAGACTAAACAGTAGTCAGTTGAGAAGTTTCCTGATCTTGCTGTATTCAATTCTGCTATGTGTACTGTGGCTGCACAAGTGTCTAAAAATAAACACACAACACATTACTAGATAAAAGTACATTACGTGGGCCCTTCTGCCCCTGGTCCATTATCTGCTAATAAGTACATAAAGGGAAACGTTTTGGTCAATGAATGGAGAACAAATAAATGTGAAAGATACTGTAAATCCTCAAGACTAGTTTTGTGATGATGGATCTTCTTACAATGCCTGAATTAATCTAGAAAACAAAAGCTGTGTTACTATGCACTTGGAAGTAAGCCCTGCTGAACTTACCTGGGCTTATGTCTGAATGTACATGGGTCAGGGTGCACATTTCCACTGTGTGAGTGAATGCCCACATCATTTGAACAGGAATTCTGAACTGAAACTTTTAAAATGCATAATTCAAACATTTTTGTTGGGCTTGGTAGCCTCCCTTTTTTTGCAGCTGTGACTGACTTCACTCCTTCGAAGGCTGTGACGTGCACTGATGATTTGAGAGAGGGGGATGACTGATTTCTCACTTCACACCATGATTGGATACAACTAGGAGTAAGATGCTCTCCTGCTCCCAAGTATCTCCAAAGTCTTGTGTGAAGTGAGAGACTTCCCTCACACTTCTCCAGAAAAACTGAGAGAGACATTGAGCCTTATCTTTTCCAGCCAGCAAGGACTGAGAGACCCTCTCCCACATCTACATTTTCAGAATGCTTGATAAGTTAGGGGAGGGGAGACCACTGAATTTGGAGACCCCCTGGTGAAATGAATTCCATGAAGGATCAAGAGACCCAGAGCATCTAGAAATGCACTGTTGTTAGTTGCTAGCCAGCATTTTTTCCAAAGGACATTCAGTGACTGCTTGTGGAGATGTTAACATACCATTCACTGGCTCTTGTAACAGATTTAAGCCTTAAGACAGTTAGAAGGCAGCTTCATGCAACACGTAATCCATATCCTGACATCATTCTGTCATACATTTCCCTGATCCACACCAGGGCAGAGAATTACACAATATGAACTTGCCTAGTCATCAAATTCTTAATCAGAAACCCTTTTGCAGATATCAGAGATAAAATGTGCACCAACCAGAGACTGGCTTCTTTGGTGGCAGAGCCCTGTTTATGGAACACTCTCACAGAAAAAGGCTGGTCTGACTCTTCCTTTTAGGAATCACAGTAAAATCCACTTAGCCAAGAATTAATGTCCAGTAAATGCTTGGGTGAACAGCACTGTTTTTAACTGTCAGCAAAAACACTTCACAGAAGACGTTTACCAAGGTAGAATAGAGCACTACTACTACTACCCTTGAGCAGGACACCATACTTCTGTTGATGCAGCCTAGAACAGAATTAGCTGCCTTTTTTTTTTTTTTTTTTTTGCTGCTACTGCATCACACTGTTGACTCGTGTGAAGCTTGTGGTCTATTAAGACCCCTAGATCCAAATCACATTGGCCAGTTCTAACAGCCCAGTAGTTAGTACAGATGGCACAGCAGAGGCTAAGAGGGAGCGGAATGATTAAGAACACTCATATGAACAGGCCTGTTAGTGTATGAACATCTGATGCTACCGTACAATACAGAAGACCTTTAGTCCACCTAGCCCAGCACTCTCTACCCCGGGCTTAATTGGAGAAAACACAGGTCCCAATTTTGCCTGTAAGGCCATTTCTCTCAAACCATGCCAACTTGACCCTCATCTGACATAATATGCAACATAAGGTGTGGGGAAGGTATGGCCGTAGATACAAAAAAGTGTATATTGACCCTGCGCTTGATATTGGAGCTACCTTGCAAAAAATATTTATCTGGCCTTAGCAAAGTGCACCAAATTATAAAGCCCTGGGTTTGCTTTTATAAAATATTTGGGGGAGAAAGAACTATTAAGTGACAACAAAAGCTTACAAATGTCCATTCTTTTGCCAACATTATTTGGCTAGGTAGGCCAAAAGAATTGATAGTACAGCTCACACATTTGGTTTGTTCACAGTGGTATTATGATCCTCTCATTCACCCACCATAAAACAAGCACATTTATTATCCTGTCAAACACGAAAGCAGAGCTACACATGCATATGAGAACAGAAACCTCTCTGGCTGTTTCTATTATGCCAAAGCAGCTTTGGGAAGAGGCACTGGTTGCGGAGAAGCAACTGGAAGAAGAAAAGAGGTGCTTATCCTGTTCCCTAACAGCTTTATCCTCTGTGGGCCTCCATATAATGTTTGCACTATATCTTTGCAAATATGCAGGTGATGGGAGAAAACAGCTGAGGGAACTGCAGTGGAAGAACAGCTGAACACCCGTCTCCACAGCCATTTACTCCAAAATGACCACTTCTGAAGCTTTTCTCTAGAAGCAGTAGGTATTAGGGTACTGGTACACACAACAGAATGTAACATGTAGTTACAGTATGAGACCATACAGTGGTACCTCAGGTTACATACGCTTCAGGTTACATACGCGTCAGGTTACAGACTCCTTGGGTTAAGAACTTTGCTTCAGGATGAGAACAGAAATTGTGCTCCTGCGGCGCAGCAGCAGCAGGAGGCCCCATTAGCTAAAGTGGTGCTTCAGGTTAAGAACAGTTTCAGGTTAAGAACGGACCTCTGGAACAAATTAAGTACTTAACCCGAGGTACCACTGTATATCAATTCAGGTGGAAGGAGCACTGCATATATAAACCACATTTATATGAGTAATGACAGGATTGAACTCTGGGCTCAAATCACATGCAAAATGTAATTTTTCCTTTTGCAGAATTACAATATTGCAGATTGTAATGAAAATAGGAAACTGCAAAAGAGAACATTAAGTGTTTTTCAGAGCCTTTCAAGTTCCTATGGAGCCACAAATTTTATTGTAGACACAAGAACCTGGGTATTAAAAGGATACAACTGCATATAAGAAACATGACAAATCAGATTAACAACAGAGAAATCTGACATAAAAACAATCAACTAGAGAAGTAAACTCGTAAGCCAATAAACTACAATACAACTCGAAGGAACAACTTCCTTATTAAATTATTTTGATAAAAGGATATTGTAAATCTTACCTTCAATTGTACATTATTACATAACTCAAATACCCTATATTTTAAGCTAATAGCAGATATTACTTGCTTCATTAGTTGTAACAATAAAAGTCCACTGTGGGAGCCATTACAAAACACAACCAATTTCAACGTTTTAGCTGATTACTCAAGAGATAAGTAACCTGGGTTGCACAGTTCCTGAGATGTGCATCTCTTATAAATATAACATGAAAACATCCAGCAAAGTTTGGCTTGAAAACAACCAGCAGTATAAGAATTATATACCAGAAAAAGAACATTTCTTCCTTTGAAACCAATATTGGCCTACAGAGCACAAAATGCTTGTAAATGAACTTTATTTCATAATACGGATATTGAAGAAAATAGGAAGAACAAATCCATTTTCAATGCAATTTTAAAGTATGGATATTGCTATCATTCTCTATTCTAAAGATACCTTATGAAGAGGTATATGATGTGTACAGCACCACTAGTGCATTCTGGCCTTTAAAAAATAAATGAAAAGGTGATAGTTCTTTGACCCAGACAGCTTGCAGCTCAAAAGTGGGAGAGATGAAAGTGTTATGGAATGGTGTCCCAAGAAGAGGAGAATGGACAGAATTATTTAAGACATGGATGAGGAACCTCAGGCCCAAAGGCCAAATGAGGCCCTCTGGACTCTCCCCAGGCCCTGCTTTGACCCACTACTGTTTTTGCCTGGCTGGAATGTGTCATTCAGCTTTGATAATGCCTTTCTCCTCCTTGGAACAGAGAGGAGTGTGAGAGTCTCAGTACAGAAACTAGCCTACTATAGAAAGGTAATTTGTTGCTCCAGCCACTTTTGCCTCTGGTCCTCTCACAAGGGGCATGTAGTACAAAGAAAGCTGTACAGAAGGGCATGTGGCCTTTGGATGAAAAAACTTCCTTACTCCTGATTTAAGAGATCTAGAGACCCTTAGGTGGTTGTGGGTGGAATAGTCAACAAAAGAGGGTAAAGGGCAAGAATATATTGGCTTATACACATACGTACCACTATCTGAACACAATTAGTTCCTAAGAAATCATTCGTTAGTTGAGCATTTCTATAACGAGCTGATGATTTCCATTATTTCCTATGGGGACATTTCTAACCCATGATTTGTCCAAACTCCCTCCATCCCTGGTTTCTGCCCTAAACTGCTGCAGCCAGCCAGCAAAAGACAAACAAGTAAGGAAGTGGGCAAACTCTGGCTGTTAAGATATCTGAATCAGCATTTATGCAGTGAGGTTTGGGTATAATTATTTTACTTTCAGATAACTGAAATTTCGAATGACAAACATTACCATAGTGTGATCTGCGACTTTCTTTAAAGAGAGAGATATTTATTGCTGAAATAGTAACTAATTTAGGGGAAATTGCTGGAGGTAGCCACATCTGTTTCCTACTCTGCAACCAAGGACCTCAGAAAGGCATCTTGGGGTCAATTTATACAGGACACAGCCCATGAATAAAGCCATTTTTCCTATAAGTATTACACACGCACGCTACACGCACATGGGCCAATGCCTGCGGCAAGTACAATTAAATGTGTCTGGGGTGTGTGACTCTACCCACTGGCCACCAAACAGATGGTACCCCATCAGATACAAGTCAGGTCTTAGTCTAACAATACTTTTAAATGAGTTAGGCCAAAAGGGAGCAAATTGTCCACAGCCATTCAGCAAGTATTACAATGGGAATTTGAACTTTCATTTTCCATGTCCAAAGCCAATTCTGAGTAACAGTGCATTAAGCAAGCAACCAACTAACCAACCAACCAACCAACCAACCAACCAACAGCAACTTTCCTCTTTCTGCTTTCCTAATCTACATTTGAGTGTCTCATCAAATTGAGGGGGATTTTAGGATTGCATATTTGGTTGAGATTAATGCCACTGAAATAAATGGTTGTATATTATCTCTTTTCACTGTCTGCTAATTCTCATTGCAAATGGGTAATAATTTCCCCTCCCTTAGTCTATGAAACCAGAATCAAGCCTGACTGAGGGAAAGATTGCCAGAGAAGGATATCTGCCAGGAAGAACTGATGGGTGTTGAAGGGAATTTAGCACTACCCTTCTGTCAATTCTCCCCTAAAATTCCCCACCACGACCTCCCCAATCACATGGACTCCGTGAATGTGACAGGTATTTTGTACCTGAAGTACAAGGTTATACTGTAAGCAAAAAATTGTGCTTATGATTGAAGGGGATAATATATCCTTGAAACTACCTTTACCTATAGCCGAAAGACGGAAAGAGAGGGATGGGACAGAGAACAGGACCTCAAAGGACATTCTCAAAAGATATTCTGCTGGTAATTGACTGTAAAAAAAGGTAAAGGGACCCCTGACCAATAGGTCCAGTCGCGGATGACTCTGGGGTTGCGCCGCTCATCTCGCTTTATTGGCCGAGGGAGCCGGCGTGCAGCTTCCGGGTCATGTGGCCAGCATGACTAAGCCGCTTCTGGCAAACCAGAGCAGCGCACGGAAATGCCATTTACCTTCCCGCTGGAGCGGTACCTATTTATCTACTTGCACTTTTTTGACGTGCTTTCTAACGGCTAGGTTGGCAGGAGCAGGGACTGAGCAACGGGAGCTCACCCCGTCATGGGGATTTGAACCGCCAACCTTCTGATCAGCAAGCCCTAGGCTCTGTGGTTTAACCCACAGCGCCTAAACTAATTAATCAGGGTTTTACTGGTGACTTTATAGATGTGTGAACTGGTTTGAAAGCCCGGTATGTGCTATTAAGGGAGATACAAATAAAGAAAAACAGTAGCATATACACAACCAATTATCACCATAGGCAATTGACTTTATTCATCAAGGCACTATCAATCATTAAAATAAAATGCAGCACTTATAAAAAATGTTTTCTTGCCATTTTGAGATAAAAAGCTACTTAAGCCCATCAAAATGTATGTTGCTTGCCAAGGGTGCTTGATTGAATATATTTTTTGGAACACAGTTCATCTTCAATAGCTCTTTATTAATTTACTGAAAACTCTATAAATTGGCTGTCAGAACTGCTTGTATATAGAACTAGATTCTAGCCTTGCAAGTAAGTCCATAAAAGCTACTAGTTGCCTGCCCACACATGCTTACGTTAGTAATTTGTAGCACACAGGTAGCCTGCAGCAGTTTAAGTCCAAAAGTTCTTCAAGTATTTTCTAAAAAACACGTAGAGGTGGAAAATTGCTGGTTTGGAATTACCCCATTTTATTAAAGGGCAGGTTTCCATGTAGCCCTTTACACAGATGCAAGATTCTTACAAATATATGTATGAATGAGAGGTCAGCATTTTGTATCTTTTTCTCAGATACAGCTACAAAGGTGAAATTCCCTGAGACAAGACTGTGACTTTGAGCAGGTGGAAGAATGCCTGTCTCTCATCAAAGAGAAATAAACCACTTGCTCTATATTTCAAGGCCAAATTAGACATGATGGTGGCAGTCCAGTCTGTTTATTCATGTGTTGTTTCTGCTCATGTTTGGTAGGAGGAGAACCGAAGTATTACACCAAAAAGGACAAGCAAGAGAACATAGCTGGATGTTGCCCCATCATGAATCTAACCTCAACATGGGCAGTCATTGCAGGCACTTTCCTCCCAGCCTTGTGGCTTATCTGGCACTGGAATCAGACTGCAAGAGAAGTGACTGGTGTGATCAAAAGCAGGCAGGTAGGCAGGTAGGCAGGCAGGCAGGCAGGCAGGCAGGCAAGCAAAGTACCGTCATTACACTGCACTAAGAGCCCAGGTAGGTCTCTCAAATGATGCCTAGGAGGCACTGTTTTAATTTCTACAATGTTCCTGATGTACCATCACTCTGGAGCATTGCAGAAAATTAAAGTGGCAGCTTTCATAACCAGCTGCCTATCAGAATGCTGCCAACCTCCCCTACCAGGTAAACCTGCCAGGGCTCGTCAACATAGGAGGGGGTGCACCAAAGGATACTTTGGTGACAGCCCCCTCAGTCCTGGAGCTGGCCCCAAATGTAAAGATGAGGGGCAGGATTCAGCACCCTTCACTTGTCATGCTCCCTTTGGTATAAAAATTACATGCTCCTCTGTGCTTTATACATAAAGGGGGGCAGGTAAGCCCCACCCTGCATAATTGTTCACAAGGCATGGTGTGCACACACCATTTGAATGGCAGTGCCTATCAACTGAGGGGGGGGGGCTGGCCCCCTCAACTATTTTATTGGGGAGGCCAAAGGGACCTTGGCCTCTAGGAGTTGGCTCTTATGAAAGGGGCAGACATATAAACAAGTGCAGCTACCACCATTAGATCTCGTTTGGTGCGTGCAAACACACACACAGAGCCATTATTCATGGCCAAAACTTCACAGCCAGAGAATTAGATTTCTAAGCAATTAAACTTTGGCACCTTTCCTTTTAGAAGTCAAGCACTGGAAGGAACAAAAAACTTCCAAGTGAATTGCACATGAAAATGGTTTTCAGTCCTGGCTGCCTGCCCCTCCTCCCCGCTTCAAAGCACAAATGGCTCCAGTTACCTTCAGAGTTCAATTCACACCCAATGGTGCAACTCAAGTTGAAGGGGAAAGGGTGAAACACTGTTGCAGCCTGACTCTGGCAACACAACAGTCATGTTTAGGTGTGAAAAAAGAGAAGACGAGCCTATACTGAGCAAGCATGATTTGTTTTTTGTGTTTAAAACAAATGCAAAACAGAAAAAAATAAATTCCTAGTCCTAAAATTCTGGCTGTGGTTACCAGGTAGGTCCAGATTTATTCATTTTTCTTAAGTGACCAGTCTCAAACTGCAAGATTGCTGTAAACTGGAAAATCAGTCATTGTTTTTTGGGGGGCATAATTCCTAACAAAACAGAAGACCATGCAAGTCTGTCATATTGTGGGAAAGTGAGGAATCAAGCTAGGCCCAGCCCCCGTATCACTACGCCTTTCATTCACACACTGCTATCAGGGAATGCTTGAGGAATTCAGTCTTCACGAATGTCCTGACCCACAACACTTGGACTGGGCTCTCCAAAATTATATTTAGAAGACAGGGTTGAACCAAGGTAAAAGAAATTGGGGGTGGGTGCAAGTGAGGGGAGGGCATGTCATTCTATTCCCTGGACCCTAGCCTCCTAACCCTGGTTAATGGTTAGCTAATATTACACCTGTATACCAGCCCTCAGTAATCAAGTTATCCGATCAGCATTTCATCCCAGCTGGAGGCTCAAACTTTCCTATTGTTCTTACATCTAGCAGGGTATCACACACCAGCCAGAATACAAGTTATATTACCCTTCTCTGTAAAAGCCCTTTCTTTATCTGTATTACAAGACTTTGGCTTTCATTCTAATCTTACAAAGACTCTCTAGATTAAAGTTTTGCTACATCCTTAAACGCTTTGTTTGCCAGAAATGATTTATAGTACGACATATAATTTAAAGTAGCCTTTTTGAGTACATTAATTGGTATAGATCAGGCATAGGCAAACTCAGCCCTCCGGATATTTTGGGACTACAACTTCCACCATCCGTAGCTAACATCCGTCTCAAAACATCTGGAGGGCCGAGTTTGCCTATGCCTGGTATAGATAATTTCCAAGTTAGTAAATACACATTGCCAGCATTATCCACATGTTGAGCTTGCAATGGCCTAGGAAATCAGCTCTTTTGTGAAATGTGTTAATAGTTGGTCTTAAAGTGTCACAGGCAGCTGGAGGAGGCCAGCTGTCCTAAACTCCCAGCAAAGATTCTACATGAAAGGCATCTTGGAATCTATTGCTTCCACTTCTATTAAAGTGATTGTGATGCTGTAATGATTACAGAACTGAATCCAGAACCTGCCGGACTTTCGAGGGCAGCTTTTGACAGGTGGGCAGAACTGCCTAACTGTCAATCACCTGAACTTAAAAATGAAATTAGGTAATTCAAATTCAAAGGAAGAATTGGAAGTGTTTTGAATTCAAGAGGGAGCTGGAAAGACCCATGCCAAAAAGGGGCTCAGGGATGATCTCTGTTTGGGAACTCCTCGGTGGGCATGATCCTAGAGGGACTTTCAGTCAGCACTGAATTTAAAAGTCACCCTTTAGGCCCAAAGCAGGTCAAAATACACTCACTCTACCTACCTACCTACCTACCTACCTAATCTCACAAAATCACACACACTTGGACCAAACTCTGCTGAAAGCTTCTGGCTATATATTGAATGCCACCAAAGGCACACCTTTCCCGATGTAAAATTAAGAGTTAAAGTATGCTTAATGAATACTATATCATCATTCTAATCTAAAGCATGAGCAAGCCAAAATGAATATTTTTTAAAGCCCCACTGAAACAGGTAAGCAGCTAATTTCCACTCATAGCCACATTGTTCCTGGTGAATTACAAATAAAATACAATAAAAATATAACTTATTGAAAAATATATGTTTTTTTGTCATTTGTGCTGCAGTGTGTTGTAAAGCACCAGGATGCAACTGGGCCATGTACAACTGTTCTTTTTTTATAACAGTTCTACAAGGCCCAGTTGCGTCCTGGTGCTTTACAACACACACTGTATCACAGATGGCAAAAAATAAAAATTAAAAAAAATCCCCCCAAAAAGTTACTGCAAACTGACAAATAATAGACTCTTTTCACTGCTTCCCATTAGTCAGAAACATTCTTTTTACGGTGCCACAGGTGAATGAAAACAACTACAAATGCAGAAAAAGGAGGATGCTGCGATACATGCTCTCTGCACCAAAGCAACACAAACAGCAGTAATAATCAGAACAATGATGGTACACTGAATACTGGCTGATATGGACTTTTAACAAACCACAAAGTCTGATGTCAGTACTGCTTTTCAGATTTTGTTATGCTACTTATCATTTAATGCTTTGCTCTTTTCTACTGGTTTTATTGAGTTTGTCTTTAGTAATTTTATGGCATTTTAAATTATGTTTTTGTTTTTTGGAAGCTGTTTTGAATTTTATTTTTAAATGTTATTTACTTAAGTACATTTATATCCCACTTTTCTTCTATCATAGAAACTCCATGCTTGCTGCCCTGAGTTCCAAGCGGCCTCCCACCCAGTCACTGAACAGACCCAAACCTGCTTAAGTTCAGCATGGAGTCGTTCATTATATATGCCACAGGTAAAATAATCTGGAAATGCCTATACTTCTGCTTTAATAATAAAGCAGAGTTGAGGACTGGTGTCTCTGAAAATATGTTGTGAACCTTTGTTCTACTTTTCAATTCACTTGTCTTCGTTCTTGCATGGCACCACTTTAAGCCCAGCTCCTGAGGAAGCTGGCTTGACGTCAACCCCCACATTTCAGAAATTATGGGGAGAACCTGGCACCCAGGAATATCCGGGGATCCTGGCTCCCTGCAAACCCATAACAGTATGCTCTTTGACGCTATTATTCTATATCCTTAGAAGCAAGTCCCGCTGCTCAAGGGATTCACTTCCAAATAGTATGTACAAGTTGAGGGGAAAGCCCCTACCACCATCCCCAGCTCTGAGTTAGAAGCTAAAGATAGAAGAGTCTTGCCCTCACAGTTGTGTCAGTCTACTCCTGCCACCACGGGGATGATCTTTGTCCGCCTCTTCAGTTCTAAACTTGGACTCAGGCAGGGGATTGTTTTTGTGCTGGGCTGCCAAGGCACTCCAAGCTCCTACGCAGCCCAGCACCCAAAACAACAAGCCTCAGCCTTTTATTCCAGTTTGAATCTGGAGAGTGTGAGAATCTGTGTAGTTGCATGGTGCTTCTGAGAGCAGAGCAATGCAGTTACTGGAACAATCCCAGCTCAAAGCTGGAGAAAGGCTTGGACTCTGCTTGCCATACTCACCAGAAAGTGAAAGAATTGTCAACATGGCGAGTGGTATAGTCAACTATGGTTTTGGGGTTCTAGCATTTTTATTTTAGGTTTTGCATGAATGTTGTTTTAGCAACAGTCACAATTGCCCCCAGACCAAGCCTTTAATCTCAAATTAATCTTAGGAAACCAAGACGTAACTTCTGGTTTAAATATTCTATATAAATTCCAGTACATATTTTATGGCTAATAGTGTTTACTCTCCATCACTCTTCCCACTCATGGGATGAATTTACTAGCAAGCATTTCTATGAAGTGTACTATATATTCATCACTTGCAATTCTACTCCAGGAAGAAACATTTAAACACACAAAACCAATAAATTCTTTCATCTTGAAGACTATAGCATGTCAAAATCCTGTTGTATTTGGAAGCAGGGTCTTTAATCCGGTTTTGAAAATGTGATGGTATCATTTAATCCAGAATTATTCAGTTCTCGCATGTGAGTAATAGTCAAGAAATAACATTAATTTTTGTATACCTCAAGAAAGACACTACTAGAAAAAGTAAGAAGTATTTCCAGATACAAATGCATGCAAAGCACAGGCAAATATAAGAAACTGTGCTCATTATCCCGGTCCCCAAAATTAATTAATCCTTCCTATGCAGACCACAGGAAAAAAATAGTTGTGTAATTCTGCACCAAGTAAGCTTACTGTAATTAACGCCATAACTAGGAACAGAACTCACAGATTCCTAGTTCATTTCTTTAGATATTGATTGCACAACAATACTGCAGGAATAGATTGAACCCAATCCGAACCATGCACAAGCCCAAATCCTTTAAAGACATTTTAACTTACTGGGGAAAGAAACAGCGAGAAAGTAAGAGTCGAGAGGAAACTAGGTCACTAACATATCAACCTTACCTTACCAGTGCATCTGGTTTGCTTAGCTGGTTATTGGGAATACAATTTTCCATTAAGTCTTTATGCGCACTGGGGCTTTTGCTAGTGCATTTCTGTTTTTTATCATTCTTAGCTGATGCAGAAGGGATGCTCCCGTTAGTTGCACTGTGGCTGCGAGGTGAGGAGTTCACAACTCCACTAGCATTTTTGTAATTTTTGGATGATGCAGTGCATGAGTCCTCTTTTAAGAGGTTTTCTGTACTTCCCACAAGATCATTATTCAATCTTTTACTGTTGATATGGTTCTCCATATATTCAATTTCTTGTATTTTAGAGTCTACAGGTTGCAAAATATTGTTATTTATTCCAAGGTTATGTTTTTTGGCATCCTTATCTTTTTCTTTTCCTTTTTCTCTATATTCAAGTTCCGGTAATGTTGAAGATAACTTTTTATTGGCTGGAATGCCTCCATTGTGTTGCAAAAGTATAGAGGAATCCATATCAGACAATCCTTTGGCTGCTGCAATACCAAAAAAGAAGAAAGAAAAGAGGCAATATTTAAAACTTAAATAAGAAGTATCACATATTCTCAACCTCATGTCCTCCTCACCATTCATATTAAGGATATGAAAACAAATAAACAAGCAGTTTCTTTCAACACACAGAAACTCATACAGGACATATAGGAAATATTGTATCACCGGTCTCACAATTTCCTATGAGTGCTGCTGCTTAGCTAGTAAAAACAACACTTTCTTCACACAAGGGTAGTGGGGTTCAGCCAAGCTTGCAGAAGTACAAAATTATTTGGGGGAAAAACATATAATTGTTTTTGGGGGTGTGGTGTGGTGAAGAGAACCTAGACACAGCCCAGTGAAGTCTGAGTGTGCTCAGCAGTCACAGAATGCTAATTGACTATTAAGAGGAAAATACAGAAAACTGAGTTGGGGGAGGTAATGAAATGGATTGGTTGTAATCCTAAACAACAGCACTCCACACTACAACATTTTGTTGCACATCCCTAGTCTAGTATATTTCTCCAGTGAAGCACCCTGAAGAGTTGTCTGCAATATGACTGTTCTCATGATGCATAAACCCAGGAATCAATACAGCAACTACTTTCATAAACTTTAAATATTCAGCAAGATTTAAAATACTAAGGAAAGCTCATTTAACCTGCTTCCCCAAAGGGAAAAAGTAGGATGCCTAGCTAAATAAATCTTATTCATTGCATGATTTATGGTTAATGAAATTTTCATATGTTAAAAATGATTGTTTGGAATCAAAAGGCACTTTTCCATTATTTAATGTCCAACCTATGTGTCATAGCAGAGGAGTTCCTCCTGCCTGACGGAGGAGAGCTAAGGAGGTTAAGATCGTGCTTTTCACATGCAGTTTTTATAAGTATTTGTATTTTTAAAATACTTTATAAACTGCCTGATTAATTAGGTAATCCTTTTAAAAAATCAAAAAAGTTTTTTAAGTTGCTTACCGTAATTTTCGCCCTATAGGACGCACTTTTTCCCCTCCAAAAATGAAGGGGAAATGTGTGTGCATCCTATGGGGCGAATGCAGGCTTTCGCTGAAGCCTGGAGAGCGAGAGGGGTCGGTGCGCACCGACCCCTCTCACTCTCCAGGCTTCAGGAAGCTATCCACAAGCCTTGGGAGCCCGCGGGAGTTCCCGCCGGGCTCCCACGGCTTGCAGAGAGCTGCCTGCACCCCAAAGCCTGGGCGCACTGAGCAGTCGCGCCCGGGCTTTGGGTAGCTCTGCGCAAGCCATGGGAGCCCTCCCACGGCTTGCGCAGAGAAGCCTGTTCTGGGGGCTGGGGTCGGGGGAAGCTCGGGCTTCCCCCACCCCAGCCCCGTGCCTGGGGGGGAAATAAAATTTTTTTTCTTTATTTTCCCCCCAAAAAACATAGGTGCGCCCTATGGGGCGAAAAATACAGTAATTAAATTGACTGAGAAAATTCTAGAGTCCTAAACACACACACACACAAATATTCACCCTGCCCCAGGAAAAGTAATTCACTGATCTTATTGAAATCAAGAATATAAAACAGCTAACAGCTTCAGAATCTCTTCTTAACATACAGAAGGTGGAGTATTAATAAGCCAAATGAATAAATAAGAAAAGAGTTCCAAGGAAAGTCTCCGGCAATGCTGCTATTGTGGTGGTCAGATGAGAGCTGAATAGGAAAGCCCTCATCTCTCTTGGGGATGCTTAAAGTGGCCAATGGTTGCCTCCAAAGGAGAGGAGACGAGCAGGGAAGTTTCCAAAGACATCCTGCATAGGTGCAGAACCCAATAACATGATTGCACAGAGACAAGACCAATTGTTTATGTTAAGAGTGGATTGTGTTGGTGCATCTGGATTGAGAACCCATGGTTAAGAGCAGGAACAGTGGGAAAAAGGCAGAGTAACAAGGCTGGTTCTAAATTTGCAAACCATTATGCCTGCCCCAGGTCTGTGCTAAGCAAAAACTTACCTTCCTCTGCTTCTCTCTCTTGCCTTTGTAGCATCTGTTGTTCCGGAGGCAAAGCTTGCTGAAGAAGCTGCATGTAAAATTCGTTCTCTTTCTGCACTTCCTTTTGTTTTCTTAATCGCATTTTATAGCTGACATAACTTTTGAAGCCGAAGCCCAAAGTCACAACAGGATAGCCAATACTAGAGAGAGAAAGAGAAGAGGGGACTTTGTTAACATAGACAATACAAACAAACTAATAAAATGCCCAGTATGCCACAAAACATAGTATAATCAGGATTACATTCTTTATCAGAAACAGTTGTCTACAGAAAACAACATGGCCCTGCTATTCACTTATAAATAATCACACTTCAAATTGTATGAAGAGAAATGTACTTCTGGATTAGGACCATGAATAACTCCACTGCAGGCTATCAAGAGAAATGACAGAGCAAAATCTTATATGTATCATTTATTAACCTGAGGTACTATTTCTGGGTTAGCGGAGTCTGTAACCTGAAGCGTCTGTAACCTGAAGCGTATGTAACCCGAGGTACCACTGTACATTAATTTTCTACATTTAATTACATTAATTACCCAAATTAATTATAGTTTTACAACCCACTAATTTAAATAAAAGGTGTGGTCCATGGCTTCATTCCACCAACTGAACCATGTTGACTTCAGAAGAACTTCACTAACAATTAATGCAATTGTAACCTCTATGGCAGATTCTAGGGACGCGGGTTGCGCTGTGGGTTAAACCACAGAGCCTAGGACTTGCCGATCAGAAGGTCGGCGGTTCGAATCCCCACGACAGGGTGAGCTCCCGTTGCTCGGTCCCTGCTCCTGCCAACCTGGCAGTTCGAAAGCACGGCAAAGTGCAAGTAGATAAATAGGTACCGCTCCGGCGGGAAGGTAAACGGCTTTTCTGTGTGCTGCTCTGGTTCGCCAGAAGCGGCTTAGTCATGCTGGCCACATGACCCAGAAGCTGTACGCCGGCTCCCTCGGCCAATAAAGCGAGATGAGCGCTGCAACCCCAGAGTCGGTCACGACTGGACCTAATGGTCAGGGGTCCCTTTACCTTTTTAACCTCTATGAAAGTGACAAATAAATTCAGTAACCAAGTTTTTAAAATTGTAAATGTAAAGAAGGTAAGCTGTTGGGTAATGGGCAGCAATTTTAAAAGGAAATTATATATTGGGTAAAAAAGCCAAATTAAATATGTAAAAGTCCCCCAATACACAGCACACAGCGGCCATGTAAAATTGCAAGGAGAAATCACAAGCAGAACTAGTACAGTGGCCTGGTTATCATGCTAAGAATTGGTGTTTTTTAAACTAATTCTCTTATTCCCAATTTATTAAAGAAAGAACAAACAAAAAAGAGGGAGAAAAAAATAATCAAAGAAACAAAACACAACAAAAACATGAAACTTAATTTGCACACACAGATCAATATATGTCATCCAAACAAAGTTGATAACATAATTATAGAAAGTACATTCAACTGTTGTAAAGGAATTAAGGTCTTCAGACCATTATATAATAGATGGTGATTATTTATCCTTCCACACTAAGTCAGGGTTAAAGTTAACCATAATTAATAGGTGTCTGGAGGATGGATCACTTCATAGAAGGGATCCCGAGGATAATCTAGTCTAACCCCCTGCAATGCAGGGGGATCAAACCTACAACCTTGCCATTACCACGCTCTAACTGACTGAGCTATCCAGGGGACAGGGTTAGGGCTTAAACCAAGGGTAGGGAACCTCCAGCCTATGTGTCAATCTTGGCCTGCAAGGGGACAAATTTGGCTCATGGGGCCCACTCACTAATCAGCTGATGTCATTCTGATGAGAAGATTGTACCAGCTGTTGCATAGGGCTTGATTCTACATTGGCTGTGTGCCCCAGCTGCCCTGCTGGTGCAGGCAGCCAAAGCAGCAGGATTAAACCTCCACTTAGCAGGATTTTATCCCTGATCATCAACTGGTAAGTTTTACTCTGTGTATCTGCTCTGTTATTGGGAACAGGCATTGCTGTTTAAAAGTCCTTTTGCAAATAGCCCATGAATAAACCACAAGTTTAAAAAGCAGCACATTGCTATATCTATAGAAAGTGCTTATGAGGGTTCAGCATGAATGTCTGGGAAGCTCCCCCACCTGCCACACTGACATAGAGAAATCTACCTCTGTTATGACAAACTATTCAGTTCAAAGAACTCTGAAGAATTAAGTTTTCACAAATGCAGCTGTAACATGCTTGACACCTGTGATGGTTAAAGTACAGTCTGCTTAGGAATAACAGATGAGATCATAAATCTGAGAGAATACTACAAAGAAAAAGAAAAACAGTGACAGCGAAGGAACACTTACCAGTGTGCAGCGAAAGGTCGACAAAGGTCTACATGAAAGTTTTTGAGATCCTTAAATCTAATTGCTGCTTCAATATAAACAAATAGTATCCACAGCGATACTGTTGGTAAGCACACGCCCCTCTCTGTTGGAGACAGACAGGCAGAAATCAAGCATCATAAACATCCAAAAGGAAGTCAGAAGTCTTAAGACATATCTTTTATAAACTAAGAAAAATAAAATAAAAAGCTTTGTTATGATCGATCTAGAACTAAAATGCATTTTCCTTCTGAAACCAGCTGGCTATGGAGATGTGTTCTGTAAGCAGTTTGAAGGTGGTTAGAAATTAAATGAAGACAATAGATTGGAGACAAAAGGTGAAGTCCTAGGAAAATAAGGAAATTAGTACTCCCTTAACAAATATATATATGACTTTAAGGTCTGAATCTTTCATTTAGTGGTTGGGGGAAGTTAGCTTCCATAAATTAGAGAACAGCACTTTGTCTATTTTATTCTGATTATCTAATTGACTGATTAAACTTGTTATTGCTGTTTAGAAGGAGAATTAAATATATTGTTGATTATCCATTGTAGTTGGACAAAGTCACTTCCCACCTTGTTTTTCTCCAGTTTTTCATAGCAAGAACTAGATTACATTTGTGAATGTGAGAGTGCAGAGTAGCAGAAGGAAATTCCTCAGGTGATGGTTGCAGACTGGTAATACCTGCAGTAGACCTCTCACAGGTTGAGGTGTCATAGTATGTATGTATGTATGTATGTATGTATTTATATACATTGCTTGATTGTAAAAATCTTCAAAGTAGTTTATATAAAGAAAAAAGCAATAATATTATTAGTAAAAAAATTAAAACAACTACTTAAAACATTCAAAAATTTTAAACCATCAATCAACTAAAAACACATCAGCATTCTAGACATCTGGGTAGCCTTGTCTAAGCAAAAATGTTTTCAGCAGTCACTGAAGAGAGTTCACTGAAGGTTCTGTCTGATACAAATAGTATGTTTAAGAGAAAGTATGTGCTCTCTCTCTCTCCATCTTTCACACCCGCAAGAAGGAGACTGAAAGCTGTTGCTTTCTGTTTTAAACTAAGCTACGGCTCCTGTGACATCAGGGAACTGTGGTTTGCTGAAACTAGGGCTGGTGAGAACAAACCACCTTCAAACCATGGTTCTGTTCTGGCACACCATGGTTTAAAGAAATGAGAGTTGCATAACAAATGTGATAGGGAATGATGGTTCATTTAAAATCGAAAGTGTCTCTTCCTTGCAGGTATGAAAGAAGAGACAGCATCACTATTCATTCTTGTAGTGGAAAACAATGGTTTCTCACTGCATATAAGACAAGCCTGAAAGGCTTTCTCAGACCATATTAAATAAAAATATGTGAAGTTATTTGTGGCACATCAACAGCTTTAAAGAACCAACACACTTCCAGTTGTCCAAAGCTGCTCTCTATGGTTGCCTGGAGACAATTCTCATTGACCACAGGGAGCCAAACAAGTGGCTATTTAAAAAGCCACCTACATGGTTTCTGCACCCAATTGTTATCAACACGGTGCTGGAAGAAGTTATGGGGTACCTGTGCTGCTAGTAGCATATGAATCATCACCATAAGTATGTGTATGAAACAATTTTGTATCTTCCTCCAGATCTCCTTATGTTTGCAAACTATCTATCAGAAATCTAAGATTCTTAAATAAGGAAAAAAGCAGTCATAGTAGGCAAACGTCCCTGAAAAACAACTTGCCAATTAGTAGAAGTTTCCCCTGGAATGTGTTCTAAGACACAGTACATTTTTTTGCAGGGAGATTCAACAGGCAGAGCAGTGTCCTGCATGATCTGAGCATGTAACTTAGAATATGCACTAGAATCCTATGCAATGCATAAGTTCTACAGCATGCAAGTAAATGTAGAAAGTATGCCCTGAAAGAAAGAAGAAAATGCACACCCTGAAAGGCCAAGATCCCTAATGCTAAAAATGCAGCGCAGTTCACAATACAATGAGTGCCAGGCCTCAGACTCCAGAGTTCATTCTCATATAAGCAAGCTTGTTTATTTTATTATATTATTGTATCTATATCCCATCCTACCTCTCAAAAGAGCCCATGGCAGCAAACACATAAATCATATCCAATATTGATGAGGGCTAGGAAATGTTAAACCTGAAGGCAACATTGTATATTTGAAGACTAAATTCAAATATATAGAGACAATTTGAATTCGGTACTACCAAATTAAGCAACAGGAGACTGATCTAACTGTGACTATGTGACTTTTGAAAAAATAACCAGTAGCCATTATTTTGCATAATAAGATTTACATTTACTGTTAAGTGTAATGAATGTGACCTACCTGTGTGCCAGACATACTGTACCCAAACATACGTGCTGGCAGCAAAAAACAACCACTGTATTGGTATGAAGAGCAGACATATGATATTTGATGTAAATGCTACACAGACGAAAAATACTGAAAAGGCCTACAGAAAAGGGAGAGGGGCAGAAGAAAGAGTATGTTAAAATTTAAAAATAATTGCACTGAACAGTCTTTAAACAATGCATTGCAATGGTTTTTATTTAAGCTTTTAATTTTTTATATGAATCTTTTATATGAATGACAAGTCTTCTATTATCAATATTTTCCTGTTACCATTGTTTCTGATAACAACTGCATTGTAAATGGGCATTTCTTTTACCATAGATTCATATCAGTCACTCCTCAATTTATCACACAAACCAGATACACACAATTTAAAAAATAAAACATGCTTTTGGTCATGTGCTGTTTGGCCCTATGTCACCACAGTGGTCTTTCTGACACTATATTCAGAGGACTACCTGTAGCAGCAAAGATGGCAAAAGTGTGTCTGAAGACTACGTTATTGCAGTTTGAGCAAAAAATACTTATCAGAAGTCTTTGTCTCCTTGCAGTGTGCAAGCCTGCTGCTCCATCAACAGCATTAGTGAAGAAAAATCATGCCAACCACTGTGAAATTGATTGACTGATGGATTGCACTTTTGTCCCAGGAGCTCATGGTCCCCTGCTCCATTTTAGCCTCTCAGCCAACCCTGTGGTTAGGCTTAGAGAGAACGACCACATTCACATATTATGACAAACTACAGTTTATTAGGAACGAGCTGCAGCAAGACTTGGTCTCAGACCAGCTGGGAGGGAATGCGCAGAAGCTTTTGTTTTTGCTTTTGCTTAACCACAGCTTGCCATGTCATCCAGATTCGGAACTGAGGTTAATAACTATTATTAGTTTTTAAAAGCCAGCTTTATTTATTATTTTTATTTATTTATAAAAGTATTTATATACCACCCTCTCGCAAAACATCAGGGCAATGGATAGCAGTGTTAAAAAAACCTTTAAAAGGTGTACAGTACAATAATTAAAATGACTGGCTTCATAGTTAATAACTATTGTTTGACCCTGATGACACAAACCAACCATAGTTAAGGAAAAGCTTCTGAACTCCTCATCTCAGCAGTACAGGAAGAAGAAAAGTAAACTACACAATCCTGAGGTTTACTGCAGCTCATCACATTTCACTAAGCTAGGGTTTAATGTGAAAGTGACCAAAAACTGGTACACACACAATCACACCAGCACTTTTATGCTATACATACCAATCCCTGGTATCTGAAGGAATCATAAACACTCCTGATGAAAAGCCAGAATGGCCACAGATATTCAAATCTGAATTCCAAAACAAAATCAGCCAGCAGCACAAGGGCCCAAACTACCAGGAATTTCAGGTACAGAAACGTACTGAGAAAGAGAAAAAAGAAAGCAAAGCATTAATTTAGCATACATAGGCATTACCAAAGCAGTCAAAGGAACATGTTTTTCTTGTTGAAAATAAATACATTTGAGGTAACGCTATTATTACATGAAGATGTAATGTTCAGGGAAAGAGGCAGTGTGTTGAAAATGGCATTACTTAATTGAAAACATTTTTAAAAACTTGTTTACTTCAGTTTTAGAGCTTTATAGATCTTTGGCACTATTGTTTTCTGTTGCCAGTTTCATGCTGATGCTGGTTTAAATTTGGTTGTGATATGTCCATGCTGCATTTTATGTTTTAAGGTTGTTGTTTTGTTTTGTTTTTTAAAACACAACTGTACACCACCTAAATTTTTTTTGTTAATGGACATTTAAAAATGTTGTAAATAAATAAAAGTTACAAACATGCTGATTGCTTTCACACAGCAAGATACTGGTAAGCCAAAAAGCATTGCTGTACATCATGGCTTGTTGGGAGCAAAACAAACTACAATTGCTAGTTTGGATGATATTCCAGGAATATAGTTCATTGCTCTCACAAAGAGGGAAGTGAAGCAGGACCTATCTTCACAATTAAAGTACTGTAAACCATTAACTATGGTTTATCATGTCATATGAAAGCAGTGTATGTAACTATGACTTACTGTGACATGTGAACAGGGCTACTGCCCTCCTCCGCCTTCTCGCTCGCTTCCTCCCTACCCCTGAGGTGGTATTCGAGGGGTGCCTCTGCAGGCATGCCACCACCACTGGAGAAGCAGCTGTGGCAGCTTTCAGATTCTCATGAGAGCCCCGTGAAATCACATGGAGGCCTCCAGAGGCTTCATGCAACCTTCCTGAGACCCTGTTAAGTGAGGCAGATCTCACTGGAAGATGCAAAACCCCTGGTAAGCGAGGCTTCAATGGGGACCACAAGTTGGGGTCCAGACGGTGTGCCCCTAGGTATAGATGTATATTTATGCTGCGGCCAAAGCAAAATTTCTACTCCTTTTTAAAGAGGCATATTGCACTACTCTAGAGAACAGCTTCAGCTAGCAGCTCTTTTCATAATTAGAAAGAAAGTATATTTGTCACTGTTGTTAATTTTGGTTTACAGTTTTTGGTATAAGTTTGCAATGCTCACATAATTTGTATTTTGCACAAGTAAAGGATGCAGAAGTCTTGTATTTTTGCCCCAAATTGAATTCCACATAAAAATCAAAGGATGACAATGCCAAAGTCTATTTGCAGCAATTTGGAGTCCATAACTGTCACATGCTTATAAGAGTAGTACAAAAACTTCAGTTCTCATAAAAGTTCAGAGAATTAAGTTGGTGTGAAGGATAAAACTGTTTGCAGCTACACTGCATACCAGCACTGCAGAAAGTGTGAAAAACTATGAAGCTAAGTACTAACAATAGCCTTATTTCATTAAAACACAGCAAGATGCCCCACCTCAGAGTAAAGGAAAGTACCTCAGAAAACGGTCACTGTTTACCAATTAATGACAATGATTATTTCCTAATACAAGGTGCCATGTAGTATCTTTGCTGGATTAACTTTCAAACAGCATATGATCGCAATTGTTCAGAGAATCACAAGTTGTCCTACATACAAAGCAAGCAGGCATGGGTTATTTATCCAAAGCTTGGTTTGTTTTCCAGATGCTGTTGCCTCATGCCTCTGTAGCTTGGCAAGCATCAGGGATGGTGGGGGTCAAACAAATGATAGTTAAGTAAGCCTGTTAGGTTCAGGCATAATGCCAAGCCATAGTTAAAACAGGCCATGGTTCATAAACCAAAAAATGTGGTTTCACATTGTGGGCTGTTGCCAGAAAACAAACTATGGTTACTCCGCTGGGCTTCAATGTTCAAACAAACCACACTTTGGCTAAACTGTAACTTGGTGTTATGTGCAAACCACATCACTGATAAAGGCTCACCTCAGCCTTCTAGATTCATTTACACCGCAATTACCTGCATTTCACAGATTTTAAAGGGTAGGGCTCTGCTTTTTAGTTAATATTTTGATATTCCAAAATAAATGGCCTAAATCAGGCTAGCAATAGTTGAAACTAAACTTTGTGCCTGCTCTCATGCCCCTTATCTCTCCTTCTGCATCCAGGATGAGGTCTATTTTTATTGCAAGTCCTTTAAGGACATGGATCCATAGGAGCAATTAAACTGCTATTGCCATATGAGAAAGTGCAAAATAGGAACAATTTTTAAAAATCCAATAAAAACTTACAGCAGCTAATCACAGCATCAATAGCAGTCATGATTTACCCTTGGTGAACAACAGGTTTATTTCTGTACAGAAATAAGTACTACAATGTTGCCTGTGAAAGGCTTGCTGACAACAGGCACTCTATCCAAACTGAGGATAACAGATGGATTTACATGAGGGCTGGGCCACTATGGCTTGGCATTACGTGAGTGAACTTCAGGCTCACTTGCTTCCTTCTCTGCCTCTTCCCCCACAATCATATTGTAGTTTCCAATTCTGGTTTGGAGGGCAAGCACAAATTATTGTTTACTAGTCTGGATGCAATGGCAAGCTGCAGTTTGCCACAAAAATAAAACATGGGGCAATGAGAGGGAAGGAGAGAGGACACAAGCCTAAGGCTCACTCAGGCAGTGTGAAATAATTGTTCAGCATTATGTCTGACTTTGGCAAGTAAGCCAAGTATTACTCTTCTATGCTTTTCCAGTGGGCCTACTAGAAGTAAACAGAGAGACCTTCAGTGCATGGATCTCAGGAAGAACTCTGCATAACAAACTTAACAGTCAACTAAAAACAAATAAAAACTCATATTAACTTAATTTATTTGTATAACCCCTGCCCACTCCAAGTAATCAAGTCAGGCTGCATGGGATACAAAAAGTTAATTCATAAACTTGAACAACCCTCTAGGATCGTTTTACTGCCTGAGCACAACAGAAAATACCCTTCCCATCTGATGACATCTCACATTCTTTCACCAGAATAATTACTCCATCCAGTTCCTGCGAATAGTTTGAAGAAATTATTTCGAGGGAATGAAATACACATTACACAATAAAGAAAGAGCCAGTTTGGTCATTACAACAGCAATTAAAACAGATATTTTCAAGCAGTTAGCAAACATCCACCTATTACTGAGAGCCTTCCCTATCTTTCAAGCACTGGCAATCCCTGAACAATATGCACAATGCTATTTTGCTTTTTAAGAGTTTGCTCTCTTATTTCCAATGTCTAAAAGCTTTTTAAGAGTTTGCTCTCTTATTTCCAATGTCTAAAAGCCACCATACGTGCTGGAAGCCTGTACAACAGAATGGAAACAACTTTATCTGCATAGTTTATAACACCTTATACAATTGCTGGAGAATGATCTTGTAATAAGATATTGTTGGACAAATGTAACCCACCTCCTGGGCTCCGGTTTCATGTGCATACTTCAATGATTTGTCCTGCTCCACCAAAATAACTGTAGTCATAATAAGAGTTCTTAGCTGCTTATATGAAGTCTAGTGCAGACCTGGCATTCCCAATCTCTTAAATGCTATAAAGAGATTGGAAATGTGTCATAGGATTCATGAACTCCCTTGCCCTCTCCTTCCATGGTAGGTTTTAAATATGGCACAGTGCTACATCTTTAATAATGGCTATGGTATTTATTTAAAGTACCTGCATTGCTGTTCAGCAGGACAAGACGAAGTGTGGATAAGCGAGTGGACACTAGTTCTTGTTACAAAGTGCTCTTTTGGGCAAGGTGACCTGTCCTTTATCTGGCTGAAGGATGGGGCCAGACTAATCTCCCTCTTTCCATGATGTTCTTCCTTGGAGAGGGGAGAAGCAGCTTTCCACTGGCTCTAGGTCATCTGGCCCATTGTTTTTAATACAGTATTGGTAATGCTAAGCAGTTGATAACTCTGCGCTGACACAAACAAAACACTATACAAGCGCTAATTAATGCAAAAAGAGAGGGCATTTGCACAAGAGACAGGCGGAGGAAGGACCAATATGCTGCAACATGCTCCCTGATGTTCTTAGGTCAGTAGATCAGGAATATTATATTTGCCTATGGGCTCTAGGCATAATGTCGAGTCAACAGCAGCAACAACATGTCTAGCAGTATAAAGAAACTGCAGTACCTCAAATACCTCAAAATATATGGAGGTACCTCAAAGTACCTCCATATATGAAACAGTCCAGAACCTGCAGTCACCATCTGAGGGCCTTCATCATGTGCCCCCTTCACAAAAGGTCCAGAGGGTGGCAACAAGAGAATGGGCCTTTTCTGCAGTGACTTCCCTTGTGGAATGCTCTTTCGAGGAAGACTCGCCTGGCGACATCCTTATATATCTTTAGGTGCCAGGCAAAAACTTTCTATAACCAGACCTTGGGCCTTTAACTACCTATGACCTTTTTGAAGTGGGCAGGATGTTTCTAATGTATTTATTTTTCCTCTTGGTCTTAATGTATCTATGTTGGGCGGAAGTTTGCCTGTTTGTTTGGTCTTTAGTTGCTTTGTGTTCCCTGGGCAGGACTAACAAAGTCGATGAAGAAGAAGAAGAAGAAGAAGAAGAAGAAGAAGAAGAAATTTTATATAGTATGAGCAAGCTTGCCAGAGGAAGTAAAAAAAGGAAGCCCTGCAAGTAAACCTGAACAGCAACGCAGAACAATGTTTTCTGAATATTACTTCAAGCAAACAAGCAATTATAGAATCATAGAGTTGGCGGAGACCCTGAAGGTCATCAAGTCTAAGTCCCTGCAATGCAGGAATCTCAACTAAAGCATCCATGGCAGGTGGCCATCCACCCTCTGCTTAAAAACCTCCAAGGAAGGGGAGTCCACCACCTCCTGAGGGAGTTTGTTCCACTGTCAAACAACTCTTTCTGCCAGAAAGTTCTTCCTGATGTTTAGTCAGAATCTCCTTTCTTGTCACTTGTATCCGTTGGTTCAGGTCCTCCCCTCCAGAGCAGGGGGAAAAAACAACCCTCCATGTGACAGCCCTTTAGATATCTGAAGATGACTATCATATCTCCTCACAGTCTCCTCTTTACCAGGATAAACTTATCCTATTCCCTCAAGTTAGAAGAAAAAGCCACTAAATTAGGAACTGCCTCCTCTGGGCACAAATAGAGGCCTGAGAAAAGAAGACTGATTTGCTTGGTTTCTAGATTTGCTTAATTTGCAGATTCTGCATAATGTTATTACACATTTTGATCACAAACTTTGCTGAATAAATGAGTAGAATCTTCCCCTTTTGAGCAGGTAGCAGTTTGTCTCACCTAAATCATCCACGCTCCTCTGAAAACCAGCCCTGCAGGCTCTGTGCAGGCACCCTGAATAGCAGCACTTACAGCAATTCTCTGGAGCTCAGATTCCTCCTCCATTCTCTTTTCTACACTCATCTCATTCCTCCCTTCTTTTGTTGCACTCCCCACCTTCTCTGTCTTTATGTGCCATTTTATTCCATTGCAGCAGCAACAACAACAACAATAATAATAATTTATTATTTATACCCCGCCCATCTGGCTGGGTTTCCCCAGCCACTCCAGGCGGCTTCCAACGAAACACTAAAATACAATAACCTATTAAACATTAAAAGCTTTCCTAAACAGGGCTGTCTTCAGATGTCTTCTAAAAGTTTGGTAGTTATTTTTCTCTTTGACATCTGGTGGGAGGGTGTTCCACAGGGCGGGTACCACTACCGAGAAGGCCCTCTGCCTGGTTCCCTGCAACTTTGCTTCTTGCAGCAAGGGAACCGCCAGGAGGCCCTCGGTGCTGGACCTCAGTGTCCGGGCAGAACGATGGAGGTGGAGACGCTCCTTCAGGTATACTGGACCGAGGCCATCTATGTAAGATGAAGCTGTGTGCAAGAGCTGAATGAAGTATATCCTTAATACAAGCATCAAAAATCAGAAGGTGATTTTCCCCAGTCCTGTTGTGTACCACAGAGCTTTTCCCATGAAGTCAGTGTGCTAGGAACCTGTTGCCTACATCACAGAAGTCACAAACATGTAATAGGAAGGGGCAATGTTCATGCAGTTACTTCTAATTCCTTAAGGCTTTGTAACCTTCTGTCATATGCTGAGAGTGAAAAAATGAGTAGGTAGAAGGGCAATGTCTTCAGTTCTGGCACTGTTTGCCCACATCAACCATTGCCCTAACCAAGGGCCCACTGTTCACAACAGAGAGTAGCCTGTAGTTCTCCATGGTCCACTTGATAGGCAAACAGTGCCAGAAGAAGGGCATTCGTCACTCCACAGGCATAACTATTAGTATATGTTCATTCACTGCTGCCCAGTAAAGGCAGGATAATTTCACACTGACATCTGTGGATATGCCTGCTTTAAGCCCACAGCAAAACATCTTGCTTGGCAATGTAATAATCATTCTGTTAGGACTTATAGCAAAGAATCACAGCATGCAGGGTGCTTGCAAACTGTCACTATTTTCTGGGGGATTCAGTCACATCTCAGCAAATTCAAGCTGCACAATTCAAGCTGATTCACAGCTCTTGTGAAACAAACCCGCTTCCCTAGAGTATCAGACTGCATAAGGAAAGTAACAGGGAAATGCACAGGAAAGTATGGGATAACACTTGCCTGATGCAATGTTATCTAATCTCCCCACAAACAAATCAGGCTGAATGTTCATTAATCAAGTCATCTGTAAGTTGTTTGCATTATCACCCTCCCACCCAGCATGCTCTCAAGTTTTTGTTGTTACTCTCAATGCATTATCATGAACACGGGGCTAGCTAACCTGTGGCACTCGTAGATGCTGAGATTATGACCCACCAATCTAATAGTTCATGATGATGGGTCAGAAAACAGGGCCTTAGACATTGATCTTAATGCATAGGCAGGCTATGACAGCTACAGCCTGGATCAGCAAACTGTGACCCTCCAGACACTGGTGGACTGCAATTCCTATTACCCCTGACCCAACTATTGCCTAAGCTGGCTGGGGCTGATGACAGCAGGAGTCCAGAAGCAACTGGAAGGACACAGGTTATCTATTCCTGGTGCACTTAGACCTTGTTATCCGGTACATTCTTCTACTGCACCTTACTCTGTCTTATATGATCTAATTGAGATCCCTGCATTGCAGGGGATTAGACTATATGGCCCTCGGGGTCCCTTCCAAGTCTATAATTCTATGATACTACAATTCACACAGTGGGGGTTCTTTCAGCTTTTAGCAGCACAGATTTGTTATTCTCAGACCTAACATGTCATCGATCTATCTAGGCATTGTGATGTGATGGTTGTGACAACAGCCTTATTAACAGAGGATATTCATTACACAGAAGGACTTTGAAAGCTCCCTTACTATTCTGTTTGGGAAGGTTCCAATACATATGAACTACCCTTGAGGAATTAAAGAAAAGGTCCATCCACTTCAAAGCAGTCAGTATGCACAGCCATGGAGCATATGCATGCACTGCCTGGGGCGGGCATGAGGAGTGCGCCCCCAAGGGAGGGTAGAGTGTGGAGGGCGCCCTCCCATGCCCACAGTTCAGGGGAGGAGAGGGGCGGGGAAGTTGCTGTCCATTCTCCCCCTGCTCTCCACCACGGGTCAGGCCTCACCGCAGCCAAAGTGGGATGCTCTACGCCAGCCGGACCAGATGTGACCTGGAGCCACTGCAGCCGAGGAGCTCTGCTCTCCGCCGCTGGGTCAGAAGTGACCCAATGACAGAGCTGAGGCCGCCAGGTGCGAGGTGTGCCACAGCCAAGGAGGATGGGCAGCACTGCTGTCGCCCACTTGCCTGCTATCATCTCCCGGGTCAGGCCTGACCCGGGGAGTAGAGCTACAACCGGCACAAGTGCTGCAGCCAATGCGCAGCTCCTTCTGGCACTGAGCCAGGCTCCGATAAAGGAACCTGCTGTGGAGGTGCCTGTTTGTGCCCCCTCTCAACATTGCACCTGGGGCCACAGCCCCCACATGCTACGCCTGAGTATTCAATCCCTCTAGATTAGGGGTCAGCAAACTAAGGCCCGGGGCCGGATGCGGCCCACCAGGCTCGTTAATCCGGCCTGCAAACTTTGCGGACCCTAACGCCCGCTCGGTCAGTCCCCCCGCTAAACTGGCGCGGTGCGGAGGCCTCGCCGCGTGGGGACTGACTTCTGCGACACTGACGTGGCTTCAGATTGGCTGCAGGAAGCTCCCGAGGCCAATCCAAAGCCGCGGACACACCTGGGTGATGCCCCTTCCTTCCTGCTGAGGCAGCTGTGTATGGCCAAGAGCCGAGCGGGAGGAAGTGGCGGCGGCAGGGAGGCTGCCTCCGTCGCCCAGGCCAGCAGCATGGGCTCTGCGCCCAGCGAACCCCTGGCCGATGCAGAGGACGATGATGACGCTGCTGAAGACAAGGTGGTGGCAGCGGCGAGTGTGAGGTGGGGGGTCCTTTTGGGAGGGGGGTGCTTTCAGGAGAAGGGTGCTTTTGGGAGAGGGTGGGTCTGGCCCTCCACAAGGTCTGAGGGACAGTGGACTGGCCACCTCCTGAATAAGTTTGTTGATCCCTGTTCTAGAAGCTTACAAACACAGCATAGGTGTTATACCCACCCCCACTTTATTTCTAATAACTGGAGTTCACAGATATACTATATAGGAAGGAACCATTATCAGCTTTCATAGCTAATGACCACTGATAGGTGAATTTGTAAAAGGGTTGGATATATTCTTAGAGGAATGGCCTAAGTCAGTAGTCTGTGCTGTATCTTGTAGTAGTTAATTTCCTAAGTTAATTATGTGCTGCATGATGAAGTACTTCTGTTTAGCCTGTCCTCAACCTACGGCCAAATCAATTCCATTGGTTCCAAGTTCTATTATGCACACAGAGTTCTATAATTAGGGAGGAAGAAAAAATGGTGTCTGTGTCTACTCTTGCTACACAGGGAGTTCTCAAACTGTATACCTCCAGGGCCCACTTGATACAGCTGAAAATTACAGAGGCTCACTAGTCAGAAAATGGTGGCAGGTACGAGTCAGAGTTTGTCCTAAACAGCTTACCATTACCAACATAATTTTCTACAGATACAGTGGTACCTCGGGTTAAGTACTTAAATCATTCCGGAGGTCCGTTCTTAACCTGAAACTGTTCTTAACCTGAAGCACCACTTTAGCTAATGGGGCCTCCTGCTGCTGCTGCGCCGCCGGAGCACGATTTCTATTCTCATCCTGAAGCAAAGTTCTTAACCTGAAGCACTATTTCAGGGTTAGCAGAGTCTGTAACCTGAAGCATATGTAACCTGAAGCGTATGTAACCCGAGGTACCACTGTACTGTTTATTTATTTTATAGTACAGTACATTGTTTATTGCTTAAATTTTATGGAGCAATGATCCAATAAGATAGTAAAATTCATGTTATATTGCTGTTTTAGGGGTTGTTTTTAAAAGTCTGGGACGGATTAATCCATTTTGCATTACTTTCCATGGGAAATTGCACCTTGGTTTTGGAACGCTTTGGTTTTGGAACAGACTTCCATAACAGATTAAGTTTGAGAACCAAGGTACCACTGTATAAGAAAAGGCAAAATGAGGCGTAACAAGGTAAAAGCTACCCTAGAATTACAGGGAAGTATAAGTTTAAATAAACAACTATATTCCTTATCTTGAGGCTCCTTTGGCAAGGTGTAGCATTCCTCCTACACTCTGATTTATTGCTAAGTTATAGAGCTGGATGTTGTAGGTTGTATGTAACCAATTATACAAGCCAATTTGCTAGGAACAGCAGTATGTAAGATACTCTTTCAGAGTAATGGGATTCAACCAAGTGGATTTTATATCAAACTTTTCTCCTCTAAAGGCCTATTCAGATTTTTTTTTGAAAAGTTACGTTATTTTTCTGTAGGAATGTATTGAACCTGCTATAATCACTTGGTTCTTAGTTTGTCTTTTATAATTGGTTTTATTTAGGCTGTGATTTTGTATTTTACACATTGCATTTCATCTTATTGGGCAGTTGAATAGGATAAACATCTGGCAGACTGACAGAGATGCAACACATTATCTTACTGTACTAACACCTGATGGCAAATGCATATACATATGCATTGTATGTGTGTTTGCTTGTGCGCGCGCATATGTTTATATATATGGTAGACACACATGAAGCATTTTAAAAAATATATGCTACAGAGCCCATCCCATTCCAGTTTAGCCCTGCCACTCACAATTAAGAACATGCAGAAAATTACTGCAACAGTTCCAAAAGATGCTTAGGAGAGGGCAAAAAGTTCCACAATTGTGGGAATGTCACTTAGAAATATTCTTCTAGCTCTGTAATGTGGTGTTAGTATAGAAGCAATTTATTCACAACAAGCAAATGTTCCTGAACAGCAGGTCTGATGAGATAAAAACTGCAACTCAGCTGAAAAACACAAGAGGTCAGAGAAGATAAAAAGACTCAGGAAGCAGTAAAGCAGAATATAAGAAATATTACTCACGATGCCAGGGTTAACACGGTTTTCACATTGTAGTGAATTTCATTTCTGGTTAAACTAAGGCCAGGTGATTCAGAAATATTGAAGAAGGTTAAAAAGGTAGCTTGCAAAAAAAGGGGGAGGACATCTGGCTGCTTTGTAAAAGGGTTATGCTACACAGAAGCTGCATTACAGCACATTCATCTAGCTCAGTATTGCCCAATCTAACTGGCAGGGGTTCCTGAGGGTAACCCAGAACCTATTGAATATAAAGTATGTGTTCTACCAATGAGTTATTGTTCCCTGTTCAGAAAAAAAGTAAGATAGTTTTAAAAATGCAACATACACCCCACTTCCACTTTGTTACCAGAGAAAGGTGACTATGGATCATAATTTCCTCTGTATGTGCACTGCCGTATTACTGACAGGAACTCTCAGGGGTGTAGACACTGGGTGTTAACACTGCACTACTTGTGCATCATATTTCTATAAATAAATGGAATATATACACCTACACTAGCTGCTAGAGACATTCTACCTTTTAGATGGGTACCTGCTCCTGCTGTATTGTGTGAAGTGGCCCTCTGACACTATAGTTCTTCAGTTGTGTATATTTCAATATTTTATTAATTCATCAATCCACCACAATGCAGTGGTGTACCCCTTTAAAATAAGGTGTATTTGTCTTTGCTTAGCTTTAAAAGAGACTAAATTATCACATGTCATTATTGAGAAGCTAATCTAGCCCACTATGAAAACTGAGCAGCAGCCAAACAAGCAAGAATTTAAGTTTCAGCGCCTTCAATTGCACGCACGCACGCACGCACGCACACACACACACAGCATGCTAATTGTTCAATGTACTTCATATACATACTTGCTGGTAGGAAAACCAAGGTAGATCAGACTCCTCCATACTGCAGATGAGGTTCAGAGAATATTAAGTTGTCCTGCATTTAGCTAGCTTGGTGGCCAAAGGCAAAAAAAAAAGAGCTACATACGTACATGCATTTGAAAGGGTTGGTTCAGGAGGGAACAAGTATTCTGTTCTTCCTCCACATCCAACATAGAAATTAAGCAGGTGGCTACAGGAGAGAAGCCCCCTCCTCCACACCCAGCGCACAAATGCAGTTAGCTTCTACAAGACAGACTGAGCCTCCTCTCCAAGCCCCCATCCCCAAAAAGTAATAAACATAGTTGTTCTTAAAGTTTTTAAATGCTCTTATTTTATTTTTTAAATTGTTTTGCTGTGCTGCTTTGTCATTTTCTGCACTGGGCTCCTTTTGAAGGATAGGTGGGATAAAGTTGTAATAAGCAACAACAACCAGTTGCCTATTTGAAACAACAAGCAGGACATGATGTACCATTCAGTACATCAGAAAGTGATAAGCATATCCTTAATAATCCCATAGAAATTGATGAGAGCACTCAATTTGATTGGACTATGCCTCCCACATTTATTTGAAATAAGTCAACTATAAAACATTGTAATAGAAATGAATTCCTATGCCACATGTGAAAAGGGAGAAGAGGGGAAGAATGAAGTTCTGCTCCCCCCCTTTTTTTAAAGAGCACCTTGGGTAAGAGAAGCAAGATCATTTAATCAAAAGAAGTAAAACAGGAAGAAAGCACAAGACTTTGATTATCATATTGCTTTCATTATCTGTGGGAGTTCATTAAATATCTATGCTATTCCTCCATATGGAATAGGATAAACTCAAGCATCTGAGAGCACGGTTTGTATAAAGCAATGGTTGTCAATGTGGTACCCACCAGATGATGTGGATTACAATGCTCAGCATCCTAAACTAGCATGGTCAACAGCTAGGGAATGCAGGAGCAATAGTCCAAAAATCTGGAGGGCACCATGTTGGCAACCCCAGTATAAAGAAATCATTGCAGATGGATATGACAACAGCATGGAATCCATGGTGTGTTAAAAAGCAAGCATGGAGTGTCAGGGTACACTATGATGAAAGTGACTCTGTATGTGACCTTAGTGGCCATTCTGGAACAAAGTAATATTAAAAAATGCTAAATTACTATACATCAACAGATTCACTTGTGGACTGAACAGAGACAAATAATGTTTAGCACATTATATGTGTTAATTGGTATTCCAATGCCAGAATGTCATTGTTATCAACAACTATTTTGTTAATTAACATCTGTAATTAGCAACTTGTCACTGTACTTTTCTCCATTTCATTTCCCTCTGACCTCATTCTTTCATGTATTCATTCACTGTTTACAATCCCCACCCTCCAAACAAATGTGTAGATAGATAGATAGATAGATAGATAGATATACACCTGCAACTCAGGGTAACAGTTCATGCAACTGATGAAGTGGACTGTAGTCCACAAAAGCTTATGCCATAATAAATTTGTTAGTCTTTAAATTTCCACAAAACTCTTTTGATGTTTTTAACAGAGGAAGAATACATAAAAATGGAAATCAAAATCTACCAGTTTAATTTCAAACTCCTCTCAAAACTAAACCTGCAGAAGATTGGCATTAAGTGCTATCAAAGCTATGCAATGTTACAAAGAGCTGCATCAACAATGAAATGAAGGCTTTATTACAGGTGGTGTCAAGGAATAGAGACGTCAAAGGCTATTTTTAACAAAAAATAAGCAGCTACAAATTAAGAGTGCAAAGAATAAAAGGAGAGAACATATCAAATTGAAGAATGTCACTTTGAGATAAAGACTTTTAATACAGGCAAACGAGAAGGAGAAAAAACAGAAAAGCCCAATCAACTCAAGATGACTGAAAGATTGTACACACACAGCTTTGGCAGCAAGCACCACTCTTTACATATGAGAGATATGACAACAAGCAATTAGAAAGTAGTACGTGCCAATTTCTTAACTAACTAGATGGGGAAACGGGGGTAGGGAAGTTCCAGCAAAAATGCCAAAGGGAAATAATTAATATTTGGCAACCCCAAATATTCTAGAGAAAGATTGAAGTTAAAAAAAAAAAAGCAGTTGCCTCATATCAGAACAATATGATGTCACGGTCTATGAGCATTTAGTTAAAACACCTCCTTATATTTGCTAGTCTGTGCCTAAGAAAAGGGGAGGTAAGTAAGTTTTTGTAAAGGTTCTCTGCCCAACCTTACTGAGGGGCAATTCTTTATCATCCTAAATTCAACGTAAGCCTACACAGTAACACAACTGTACATAATACTGGGAAAGCAGGATCAATAATACTAGTCTGTTTTCAGGCAACCATTCCAAAATTATCTATCGTTTGCTCAGAAAGGATATTTAGTGCAGTAATGCTGGCATTTGTACATTTTAGAGCTCATATAGGTAAAGAACTGCAAGTTTTGAAAACTCAAATACAGAGAAGACTAGCTTCAGAGAGAGGCAGCTAGGTTCAAACTCTTCTTGCTGGGTTATTCATCCATGCATTTCTAATGTTTGCATTCTGAAATAGTGCAGAGAATTATATTACCGTATTAGCCTGAATATAAGCCTCACTTCCCCCCCCAAATTCCAACCGTAAAAAGTTAGAGTGTGGCTTAAATTCACAACCTTACAAAAATGGGCTTTTACGATATCACTGCTGAAACAGACATATGGTAAAACGAAACAGGTTTGAGTGCCTGTGGAATTTTAAGGGAGTGGCTTATATTCGGGTATTGTCTCCCCCCCCCTTTGAATTTTAAACATGCGGCTTATATTCGGGCCAATATGGTATATATTTTTCTGAGTGTGAACCCCTCCTAATTGGGGCTGAATGGTGCTTTTAGCAATGTTGGAAGATAACTCTTTAGACAAGGAGACACCACAGAGGACCACACAAGTGTGCTTTAAGCAATCATGGGCAGGTTACACAAGAAGATGGACCCCCAGCCTTCCACACTACAGCAGCACTGAAGCAGTAAGATGGAATATAATGCAGGCTTCTAGGACAAGACCTTGTAAACTTCAGCTCTGTAAGAAATCAGCTCATTTATAGTTGCTTTAGACCACTGGTATTCAACTGGTGGTTCACGATCCACTAGTAGGACCCACTAGCAGCTGAACCAAGGTGGGTCGCAACAAGACCACTACCACTACCATGCAAATATATGGTAATAAATAGATCCCCAACTGCATGTTTGAGTGCTCGTCTCAAAAAGTTGAAGATACCTGTTTTAGAGCACCCACTGAAAATATACACACCACCCATCTTCTTCCTCTTAAAAAAAGAGAGAGAAAAGAGAATTATAAGAACTAACTTCATCACCATTCCAGGCTATCCCTTTGAAAGACTCCATAATATAAAATTTGTCTATTGGCTTTTTGTTTTTGTTTTGTTTTGTTCTGAATTTAGCTTCAATTCTATTCCAAAATTTGAATATTATATACCATAAACCAGCAGAGCCTTTAGGGGGGGGGCCTGTTGTTCTTTATGGCAGCAGCAACAGCACCACCACCACAGTGTGTCTTAATACTTCAGATGTTTTCAAGAAAAGAATGTCTCCATCAAAGGGAGTTTAGCCCTGGGAGCAGTCACTTAGTGGACAAGGAAAAGGGAATTAAGTGTATGTCTTTAATACAACTGAATTGAACTAACTGTAAATATCACAGTAAAAATGGTTCTTTACTGAAGTCCTGAGCATTAGCAGCGGAGCATATGCCTGCGCTGCCCAGGGTGGGTGCACTCCCGAAGGGGGTGTGGCGTGGAGAAAGCCCTCCCAGGCACGGGATAGCCACTCGGGTGCACAGAACGGTGTGCGCGCCCTGCAGCCAGGGCCGGAGCAAGCCACCCACTGGGGCAGATTGTGCCACCCATGGCGGACATTCGGTTTGGGGTAGGCTTGGGAGTCGTGGGCGGGCAGTGTGCTGAATGTCATCCCCCTCAGTGACGGCACCCGGGACTGTCTGCCCCCACTGCCCCCCCTTCCTACGCCCCTGCTGAGCACTGATGTTTTAAGTGCCTTGCCACTGAAGCCAGAAACACCATTAGGTCCATTAATTTCAGTGGGTTTACTCTATTCTGAATAAAGCTTAGTTGGCTACAAATACAGTATAGGAACATGTTGTTGTTTTTCTAAATTCTGTTGGGAAATTGTTGTGAATCTTGGTCAGCTCTCTCCCAGCCAGTCCTATGATCCACTGTACTAATACCCCTTGTTCACTGTGCTATGACTGAAGTGGTCCCTTAGGACTGAGCTGTCCAAAGAATTAGATAAAGACTCTTATAGGCATGAGTCCAGATGTGACGAGGAAGAAAAACATCCCCTTCTCTCTTTTACCACACAGTTCAGCAAAGTAGCTCCCCTACTGTGCAGTCCGCATTTCATGTACAACTATGATACTACTATATAAAGATTGCTGCTACTTTAAGGCAGATCAAGAAAATACCCTAACTTGAAAGTGTGCAGACCATGACTAATGTGATTATATGCAGCATTCCTCTCATGTCATGACCTACTGATTATAGAGTCAGGATAGGTGATATAAGAAAGGACAGAAGAGGAAGAGCATTTAAAAAAAAATAAGAAAAAGCATCTTTGATATGCATCAAAGAGGCTAATCCTCATTAGCACACGCTTCTTCTTTCTCAAATGGCATTTACAGTCTGCCAAGGAGGTGTGCTTGTAGAAACTGTCAGTAAGAAATGAAATGACAAATAGGAAATAAAAGTTACAGTCCAGGTAAAACAAGCCCTAAAATCAGCATGATTCATCAGTACTGGGGACATACATAGACATACATTGGGAAATGACAAGAAGAATAAAACCTCTGGCATTCCATTACAATCCCTTCCTGAAACAGAAAACTTAAGATGAAATTCATGATTTATAAGGGTCTTCTAAAAACAGAAATTTTAGTGGCCATGCAAACAGAGTATTTTGCAATTTCTGAAGCGTTTCACTTCTCAATGAAAATACTCTCAAAATGTTTTTGCTATCCAAAAATGAAAAGAAACTGAATATTTCAGAAAGAGTAGAAAAATGAATTTTTAAATCCTAAAGGTAAAACACGTCAAGAACAGGAGCCCATTTTGCACAATGGCTCCAACAAGAAATCTACAGACAAATGTGAGTTTCTAAACAGGATTTAGATAAAAGATGGCCAACAGTACTGCATCCAGCCACTCAGCATATGCCAAGTCACAGATGGGCAATGTGGTACTGCCAGGGCAGCAGCAATATGTGAAGTGCCAATAGCTGCGCACAAGGCTCTGCGTCTAAGCTGGTCAGGCACACATTAGTCTCCCAAGCACTGAATGGAGGTCTCCATCTTGTGTCACAGAAGCCACTGGGGCACCCGTCCCTTAGAACTCAGAAGACTGAGGGGTGGGGTGGCTCCGAAATGACACTATACTCTAATGTGTGCTGCATTGAGCTTAGACAGTGCTGGGGCCTGAAAATGGATCCAGGCTGCCCCGATTTAGACAAAGATATTCAGGCTAAAGTACAGAAAGAAGATTCTTAAGCACAAAATGCCCATTAATGAACTGTAATCTACACACTGCACTGAAGAAACCCATGCAGGAATTTCAGTACATTAGTGTTCACCATAAAAAGAAATATCTGTTTTATATGTATTTGCTCCTACCTACTGCATCTACAGATCCCAAGTGTACTATAAATAGAACCAACAGATTATCACGGCCCATGATTTTCAACAATCTGCTTTTCAGCTCTTTCTGAACATCTAAAATTCTCCTTCAAGAATGTTTTAGTCATACAACTGAATTCAATATCCCTTTACTTTGCTTTTGCTAAGGAATTCCAAGTCCACCATCACCACCAGCAGAACTCCATTTTGACCAGCAGGCTCAAGAATGCCTAAGAAATCACTTAATGATCCACCACTTAAGGAAGCATTGAAAATTAAATTCTTAAAATAAAAAACTTGGATTTAAATACTCTTGATACAGCATGATCAATGTCATGTTATTTTGCTATTTCAGAACACAATCAATGTGTCTCTGACATCTAGAATGCAATTTTGAAACACTAATTATTATTTTTTTAAAAAATATAATAAAAACTTGCCAATAAATCTGGATTATTGTTTTCAATTTCTAAACATTATACATTGCCTTGGAGGACAGGGTCAACTTATAAATAACCACATAATCATTTTAGACCAAGTTTGGAGCAAGCCTTACAATATGCTAGGGATTGCTTGCTGAAAGAATATCCCACACCTCAAAAAATGAATAGTGTACTACCTTCCCACTTTGATACTGCAAGTCTCACCCACACATGCTTCTTGACGCAAAAATCGATCAAATGAATGTACAGTGAATACAAAGTAAAGAACACCTGAAAGACAGTACAATTTCTTTCTTTAAATATCACCTGCACAGGATTCTTCCCCCCCACCTGTTTCTTTTGCAACCTCTTGCATTTTCGTTGCTTTGCTTTCCCAAAAGAAGCAATGTTGCAGAAAAATATTTCTGTTGAAAACCTGCACAACTAGTCCCATGAGACCATGGAATTTGTTCAGACTTGTTTTTCTTGAGCAGCAGACCCACCCCCTTCCTACTGGGTGGACCACATAGCAGGCTATTTTGGAAGTTGAGAGGAGTTGGTAAAACTCTTAAGAGAGGGAAGATATCAGCTATTTAACTCAAAAATTATACTGGGCACATTTACATTGCCGCAGTAGAAGGCCAGGTGAGAAGGCACAGGGTACTTCATCAGCTTGGCTTGGAGCAATTACCACTTGACTCTTCCCCTCCCCAAACAATGACCATCCCATCCGGTCATTTTATCAATTATGTAAGAACAGGTGCCTACTTTCCTTATTTTTGTTATCCCGCCCTATCATTTTCCCTTCTGCATTGTGTCTTTTAGGTTGCAAACATGTGGGCAGGGACTTTGTGTGTGTGTGTATAAACAACACCTAGAAAATGTTTGACATTTTATAAATGAATAAAGTCCTCTGATGAATCTAAATAGTTCCTTGGATCCCAGATTTTAAATGAATATGCACCAGCTCAGTATAGATGTCTAAACTTTTCAAATTAATGGATACCAAAACAATACTAAAGAATAAGAATAATAAAATCCAGCTCTAGAACTGGCTGTGGTAGAAATAATATTATTTTTAGTAATGATACTTAGCATTTATGTAATGTTTTTAAAGCATTCAAAGTCCTCCACATACATTTACACATGAAGCTTTACAACAGCTCTTTAAAGCATGTCAGTATATCCCCTACTGCAGCTTGCCTACAGCCACCCTTTCAGTTTATATCTGAAGTAACATTTGAACTGGGAACTTTGGTAAGATATACAGGTGGTTAGAGAATTGGTTATGGCCAGCAAGATCAAAGTTCAAAACTCAACTTTACCATAAAGCTCACTGTGTAACCTTGGGGCAGTCACTCTCGCCCAGCCTAATCTACTTCACAGCACTGCTTTGAGGATAAGATGAATTACCCACAGTCTCTGTACATCCCCTTGAGTTCAATGAATCACAGAATCATAGAATTGTAGAGTTGGAAGGGACCCCAAAGTCCAGCAGCAGGAGCACAACAGAAGCATCCTCTGGATAGAAAGCTCAATCCTGCTAAATTTTAGATTTTGGGTGTTCTAGAAACACCACCAATCTTTCAAACCCCCCCCCCAAAAAAAATCAAGCAAGAGCTTTTGTTAAAAGTAAAACACAAAAACAAAAACAAAAAAACCACCATTCCTAGAAATGAAAAAGTCAACTAGCAACAAGCATTCAAATTTACAGGGCTGTGGACATTAATAATTCTAATAATTGGAAAAGGGTAATTATTTTTTTAAATCCTTACAGAATCTTATGTTTCTCTTTCACAACCTGAAATACTGTAAGTGAATATATCTCCTAATTGGTAGTTACTAATAAGCAACCACTTCTCACAATCCCTTAGCATTAGCTGCTTTATACCAAACCTCATACAGGCAGAGATATTATGCATCCACCTCAGCTGGAAGCCAGTGCAATCTACTCTAGAAATATGACGACAGAGAAAGCTGATAGCTTATTCAACATGCTACTGTTTATCACAAACATCAATGTGAACTGGCAAGTCTGACAATGTAATACAGACCTGCAACACTTTCCTCAAGTGACCTACTAATATTTTGTCTTTCTGACACACTTTATCAGATCCTCTTTGGGCCTGGGAGTCTTTTCCCTTCACCCTCAGGCAACTGTGCTGTGTTCATCCACCCCCAACATATCTGCAGGAATATTCAAAATAAAGCCAACAAACCTATTTTGCTATTGGCAGGGAAAAATAAAACACAAGGAATATATTCTGCTGCATTAGGATTTAAGAAATGCAGGAAAAAGGCTAAAGTCACAAATTAATCTGCTTAATAAATTAACCAAATGTCTGTAGCACATGCTGACCAGCTTACACATGTTCAACAGGCAAGTTGACTGTATTAGCCTCATATTTGCAGAAAGGGCATAACTGCTAAATTAAAATAAACTGCTGTGACCTTGCAAAGCAGGATCCACAAAGCTGAAGCCACACCACCACACACTGAGAGCAGGGGCCATGTTCCTATGGCTTACACAACCCTCTGTAGTACATATGTGATTAGCACTGGCTTTTGCTGTGTTATTCACCAGCATGTGCAAAGGACAAAGTCTCCTTGGTCTTTTCCTTCCATTATTTTTAAAACATGTAACCATCTTCCACTGCCATCCCCTCCAGATGTTCTGAGACTCCAACTTCCATCAGTTGAAGATAGCAAAACAATGTTTTGTAGCCCAACACTTCTGGAAGGCATAAAGTTGAGGAAAGCTGATCTACATAAGCTTGAGCTCAAATGGGACAGCTTGTAATACTCATAGCTAACAAAGAGAATTTACACTTCAGTGGCTAGTTCTACACACAGGTAAATTAACATTAAATTGTTGGGAGGCCCAAACCCCACCTCTGATAAAATCCTGCTGCTTGCTGTACAGTAAGAAAAGTAACAGAGAAGCACTGTTCTGGTGTTTGTGTGTAAAGTTGTATACACATGTATTAAAGTAATTAATGTTCTTAAGCAATCACTTATGCTATCTTTTTATAACAAAATTGTGACTTCAATTGGGCAAAGTCTTTGAGGAAAACCAATTTCTCATGGTTTAGTCTTGTCCCAATTTACGGTATTCTTTAAGATGGCCTTTTATGGACTTAGCCAGGATTTTTGTATGGGAGGTAGGCCTTTTGTTAGGCGGGCAGAACCTTAGTTTGTTATGTATTTTAACTTATTTTCATTGATTTGGGGGAACAGCTGGCTACTGTGAAGGCAGAAGTCATAAACTGCATAACATTGGGTATTAAGCTGAAGTTTTGCTTGGTCTCTTTTCCAAGTCTCAATAAAAACATAGTTTCTTAGGCTTTGTCAATGACAACTGCAATTTTGTCTGCCAAAATTTCACATCTATTAGGCCCCTTGTAATTGTACAAACTGACAGCATAACAGCACTTCTGCAAGTTGTGCATAATTTTAACACCTGATGAACCAGAAACTGTGAGTCCTGGCTGTAAGAAGTAAATAGAGCAAGGTAAATAGAGATGGCTCTAGCCAACAGTCATTTCTCTAACTTAAAAAAGAAGCTCCCCAAGACCTATTTAATAGCAGTTGGGAAATAGCCATGGAAAATCCTGGGACCCACTCACCAGAGAATATGAACAATATCTTCATCATTGCCTTTCACTCTGACACAGCTTTAAAAATAAGTCACCATACAAAAACGGAAGACGACACAAAAAGAAAGTGAAATAACACAACTTGGGAAGGAGGTGTGAATCAGAGCATCTCCTGAATAGATATGAGTATTCGCAAAGAAGGCAAGAACATATCAGGCAAACTTTTCATTCATGAAGCGATATAATATAGCATAGCGTGACGGGACTGAAAGAAACATTAAGATGAGCACAGAAAAGGTTAAATGAAAAAGGGATAGTGGCCTAAGAAGAGACATCACAAGGAAAAGTCAGTCATTTGAAAGACTGTTTGGAAGTCCTAAGGGGCAGGAAGGGGCTTCAGTGTTAAAAAACATGTTTTGATCACATACTTGTGGGAGTATTCAGCATATATTCAATAAGAGGGCACAGTGGGAAGGTAGTTAGGGACATGGGAAGAAATTGTGGCAGTAAAAACAAATGCAAGGGAGAATCTGAGAGCCTATCTGGTGTGGGGTAAAAGAGGACTGCCAGTTTCTGGAGGGCCTTCCTCATTGCTGTGAAAGGTGTTAGAGGAAGATATGTGCGTGGGTGGGTGTCCTTTGGAGCACATGGGGAATCTGTGGCCCTCCAGATATTGTTGGACTACAACTCATGTCATCCCTGACCACTGGACACACTGGCTTGGTCTGGGTGGGGGAAACATAATGAATGGGGAAGTTGTAGGTCTGTCATGGCACAGAAGGTGGGGAACTCTTAAGGGTAGGACTATCAATGTGCAAGTGCATAGCCAGTGGAATGGGGACTTCAGCAGAATTTGCGAGGGCAGGGTTTGAGAGTCAGGCCTGTCACTGTAAAAGTGGCTCAAATGAGTATGGGGTAAGTGGGATCTCTGTCAGTGCAGAGGACAAGGACACAGTGGGTGGATGACTCTTAACAGCAAGAATTGTCAGTATGTGTCTGGGATACAGTGCATTGTGTGAGGGAATCCTAGGGAAAGGTATATCAATGTGTGTGGGGTAGACTCTTAAGAGTAGGGCTGTCAATGCAGGGCAGGGTTGAGCACTGTGGCAGGAAGTTTGATTGGATGGGACAAGCAGGAATAGAAGTATGACAATCACTGCAGAGGATGACAAATGAACTGCAGTCTGACAAATATATCAATAGAAATACAAAGGAGGGGAAATAATAGTGGAAGCCTAAAGGACCTTTGAGTTAGGGGCAGTGGTTGTTGAAGGGTGGGTGGAAGGCCACACAACTGAAGTGGGGTGGGGCTTCAGAATACAGTACCAATCTAGAGTAGCATGAGTGACAAAACTGAGAGCAAACAGGACTACCACTCTATGGAAAGTGTGACTTCAAAGTAAAATATAAATGAGGAAACTCTTAAGGGCAAGAATAGTCAGGGTTGTGGGTGCCCAACTGATGGGTGTGATTGCATTCTAGGGAAAGGTATTCATCTATGTGGAGAAAAACAGTGAATGGAGGCCACTAAGTGTAGGGTAGTCGATGTAACTGAAACCACAACTGGGGTGAGGACATCAAATGACGGTGTGGGAGCAAAATGACTGGAAGAGCACTAGAATTGTGGGGAAGGTTGTATGGAACGGGTTAAGAGAAAGGGATTAGAGGGGGGACGATCTGTCTGGTACTGTATCTAGAAACACTTAAATTGCAAGAGTTGTGGGGTGCGGAGGAAATGGCAACCAAAGAGGAGGTGTGGTTTCAGGGAAGAGGGGTGGGGGGGATATTTCAATAGAATGCAGAGCATCATTCATTTAAGCCTCTTAAAAAGAGAAAGGGTGTGTGTGTTGTTAGAGAGATCATAGAGGAAAGCTTCCCACAATTGGGAGAAGGGGAACCAAGTTCTAAAGACAACTATCTTGGGGGAGGTGGAAATTGAGCCAGAAGTGAAGCTTCTGAGGCCACAAAGCATTTGTGTGTGTGTGTCACTAAACAGTTTGTCCTGTCTTTGTTGCAGCATTAAAATACAATAATTATCAGCAATGATTTGGAGACGTTCTAACGGATGCATGGGAAGATAAAGTGCAAGAACAAGTAGCCTGTGTGTGTGTTTGCACACACATTGGGGTGGGGGCTAGGCTGTGGCTTCACAAGAGAGTAATGGGATGGGAAATCTGTCAACAGACATTGCCCCTGTGAAAGCCTCAAAGCAAGAGTTGTCAGTGTAGATGTGAGTATAGACAAAGTGTGGGGAACTTTTGGCCCAGCAAGCTTGGCCAATGGTCAGGGATGATGCAAGTTGTAGGGCTCACCACATCTGTTATAGAGGGAAAGGGAGGTTTCTAGAGGGAGGGTTCCCAATGTGAGGCATGGGGGCGGGGGGAGAGAAGGCTCCTAAGCATCAGTCTTCTACTTGTGGGTCACATCCCACTATTGTGCTGCAGCCTGACTTAAGAGCAGCAGGGCCATCATACAGAGGCAGTAAAATGAAAGAAGGCGCCCCCAATGCATGTCTGCAGGATGGGTGCCAACCCCAAGTCTGAGCGGACTCTGTGGGGGGGGCAGAAACGTGGGAGAGAGACGTTGCTTCAGAGGAAGGCTGAGGAGGGACCCGAGGTAACTATTAAGCGAGAGAGAGAGAGAGAGAGAAGGCAAGGCCCACTCAGGGCTACCCCAAAGCGTTTTGAGGGGAGGTGTTGGGAGGAGAGAAGTGTCGGGCGTCGTGGGAGGGGGCTACTTTTGCTTCTTCTGAAGACAATGGCCCAGAGCGCCAAAGAAGCGGGGCCCTGAGGGCGGACAAAGGGCGGGAAGTGGCTGCATGAGGGGAGAAGCAATTGGGGTGTGTGGAGGAGATAATGAAGGGGGGGCGTGCGAAAGTGGTGCGCGTGTGCGTGTCTGTGGGGATGAGGGGAGTCCCGCCAAGCTCGCCTGTCGTCCTCCTCCGTGTGAGGAGGAAGAGGAGGAGGAAGCCCCGTCGGGGGCTGAGGCGGCGAAGGCGCCCCCTCCCCTGCTTCACCTCAAAGCCAAGAGAAGGAAGGAGGGAAGGAGGGACCGGCGAGGCTCCCTCGATGCCACTGACAGGCCGGGGCGGGGCGAGGCAGGTGCGGGCCATACCTGCCGTAGATGCCCTCAGTGATGCGGTTCCGCTTCAGCGGCCGCCGGAGTTTGCTGCAGTCGGCGCTCCGGCGCTTCATCCTCCCGTCCGGCCCGGCGAGACCCAACCCGGCCTGGCCCGGCGGTGGTGGTGGCGCCTGCTGCTGCTGCTGCTGCTGCCCCCCGTCGCCGCCGCCGCCGCCGCCGCCGCCGCCGCCTCCTTCTCCGCTCCTGCCCCGCCCGGGTCACAGCGACAACATCCAAGCCTGTCCGAGGGGACCCGCCGGAGGGAGTCTCAGCGGGTCTCCGGGTTTTGGTTTTTTTTTGGCTCGCCTTTCCCCCCTGTCCCCGTTTTCTTTCTCCCTCTTTTTTTTTCTCCCCCCGCCCGACTAGGAAACAAAGAAATAAAAAATAATTTCAGATCTGTCCCTCCCCGCCGCCGCGTCCCCGCGCGCAGCCTCCGCGCCCTGCCCCGCCTCCTTTCAGGCATAAGCCAATCGGCGGGAGGCATAACATGAGGTCGACGGACGAGCGAATCAATCAACATGGGGCTAGAGGGTAGAGAGGCGGGCGGCAGAACCAATGAGGAGATCGACGCTTCTGGTCCCGCCCTTTTCTAGGATGACGAGTCCCGCCCAGCAGGGAGAACGGCGTCCAGAGCAGCCCGTGAAAGTGAGGATTTATTAAATTGATGGCGATACTACCCAGTCGTTGAATAGTTGGTACCAAAGTAGGAGGAGCAGCCTAGCTATCCCCCAATGAAAGAAAGGAGCTTTTTTGTATCCCGCCTTTAGCTTTGACATTTAGGTACGGGCCCCTATGGTTTGATTGGCGGGGCAACTGACCAATAAAACCGCGACTAAAAGGCTCGCGTAATCCAAGGACCAAAGGTAAAAAGAGGCAAAGAATGGTGATCCCGCTGCATTCTAACACAGCTCGCTCACAGTCCCGCCCTCCAGCTTGACTGACAGGCTATGTATCCAATAAACTTCTGACTTGAATAAATGGTGTTAAGGAGGACCAATAGAGAATGCGAGAGGTGAGACTGGGTGTAACGGCTAAGTAAAGTGACACGGGAAACTGAGTCTTGGCCAATCAAAGAAGACCTTTCTTCCCTGATAGGCATTTGTTAAGGTAGCAGCAGTAGCTGCTGCTCTCTGCCAAGGGAGGAGCTGGGTGTATTCCTAGTTACCAGCCAGGTTTTGTTATGTGGGTAAATATTTTGCCAGTTGAGAAAATGCTGTTATGCCCCAGGCCCTGAGCGTTTTTTGCTTTGAAGTAAGTCCCATGCAGTTTGCCTCGCATGTGAAAGCGATTATAAAGCATCGCAGCTTGACAGCCCGATCCTATTCTGTGCATGTCTACTCAGCGGCAAGGCTGCATGCCTATTCATGCTTTTCTAGAGGTAAGTAAGTCCCATTAAATACAGCGGTGCTCGCCTCTGAGTAGACATGCCTAGGACGTGGCAGCGTCTTCGAAATAAGAGAAGAACTTCATCTTGGGAAGGCACCTTGTTAAACCTTTTTAATGAGTTTTTATGTTCCTCTTTCCTCCTGCAAATGGAGCTGCCCTAAGTGGCCAACAACAATCGTTAGAGCAGTAATAAGTCAACAGTAAAACCAAGAAGTTCATAGCCGGCTGAGCTCCAGACTAAGACTGCAACCCTGAAAACATTTACAAAGAAAGTAAGTCCCATTGAATTCAATGGGGCTTATTCCCAGGTGAATGGGGCTAGGATTGCATCCTGTAAGAATGTTATAAACACTTGGGGAGAATAATACAGTTTGATTTCCCTGTGGAAGGGGCTGCCGCTTGTCGATTACGGCAGCATCAGTACAGAAAAGGCCTTCCAATGATACAGCAGATTTAAGGGAACTCAGCAGGTCTGAATCTAGCCAGGCCTAGATAAGAGGCTTCCTTGGGTTCTTTGACTGAAGAAGAGTGAGATACAGAAAAGTAACCAATAACCCATGTATGGACAAAATAGAAACAAGCTAATTATCATGAAAATATTTATTTAGTGGCCGGGAAGCTTTTCTCAAGGGTCTGTAGATGGCTTACAGTCAATAACACAAATGGAAATGTTTCTGCTTCAAACAAGGATACTGTTATGAGTTTGCAGAGGGTAGGCTGTATGCCTGAGCCCCCTTCCAAGTCTTAGATCCAGCGTGAATGCAATTCCTGGAATAGCCAGGCTAGCTCCCAGGTGAGGTAATGACCACCTTAAGTATGAGCCATTAAGGTAACAAAGGAAGTGGCTCTGTGTCAGATAACGAATGTACCTCAAAACTCTGGTTGTTAGAAATGCAACGGCAGAGTTGTGGTAGGTAATGTAGAAGCCAGCAGGCTGTGCAGCTAGGAGACAAGGCTATGCCAGATTTCTGCTGGAATCCAAGGCCATGGCTATAGGAGAAGCAAGACCTGCTGTGAACCCCTCCATTGTAGGCTCAGGTGGTATATATGTATAGATAAACAACACATCACAAAGACACCACAGTCTCTGCTGTCCCTCATTCAAAAGGAAGCACGAACCCTGGACAGGCACCTGGAACCCCTGGAATCTTGCACCACTCAGGAGATTGGGATGGTGTGCAACAATACTTTTCCTCCATTGGGGATGGGAGAATTTTGGTTTCTCTGTTTCTCATTTTTCCAAACTCAAGTTGAGTTCTCCACGGCCTCTGCCCGGTATATCTGAAGGAGCGTCTCCATCCCCATCGTTCAGCCCGGACACTGAGGTCCTTCTGGCAGTTTCCTCACTGTGAAAGTGAGGTTACAGGGAACCCAGGCAGAGGGCCTTCTTGGTAGTGTCGCCCGTCTTGTGGAATGCCCTCCCATCAGATGTCAAGGAAATAAACAACTATCTGACTTTCAGAAGACATCTGAAGGCAGTCCTGTTTAGGGAAGCTTTTAATGTTTGATGTTTTATTGTGTTTTTAATATTCCGTTGGAAGCCACCCAGAGTGGCTGGGGAAACCCAGCCAGGTGGGTGGGGTATAAATAAATTATTATTATTATTATTATTTCCACATCAATTTGCAATTTTTTGTAAAATCCTCGTGAAAACTCAGCATCTTAGCGTGAATTTCTAATATGCATATTTTTGTATGCAATTTTGCCTTACGTACACATTTTTGAAAGCAATTCTCCATCATATGCTGCAATTGTGTATGTTAGTTTCACTAACATGCATTTTTATGCACATTTTACCCTAGTACCTTTTTGGTGCACTTTACTTGGCTGGATAGCAGCATTGCAAAATTATGAGAAGTGTAAATTTCGAAGGGTGACTGTGAACTGAATCAAAATTTCTCCCCCGATCCCTAATTGAAATAAATAAATTAGTGAATGAAAGCGGTCCATACCAAGGCTTGTGGCAGCATGCAGCATCCTCAGAAAGCAGAGCCCACTGATAGTGCCAGTCCCCACCCATCCAGCTGGTTTCTTGGCCCAGGCTTATGGCAGTAGCAGATGGGAGCTGCCCATTTCAATTTTCCCATGATTGCTCCAGAGAACATCTCACTGGATTGTGGCCCTGTTACTTCACCTTTCTATTATATTCACTCCGTTCTCAATAGAGACAATGGTTTCTAGTCTCACTACAGGTATTAATTTGTTTAGGAATGCTAAGATGATTCTACTGACATCAATCACTGCTGTTATCAATGGTCAGGGTGTTCATCTTGCATGTGCCTACCATCTTAATTGAATTGTCACTTCACTCAGCAATACTAAGATGATTGTGCTGTCAACAGTTGCAGCTGCTATGAAAGCTCATTTTGTGCACATGAAAGGTCCAGTTCAATTACCACATATTGTGGGTAGTATCTAATGCCCCCATTCCATTAGCACAAGTATTTGTGCAATGGAATTCTTTTCTGTCTGCATGCGCTCAGCAGCTTCCCCAAATCTGCTTCAAAGGGTTGGGGAAACACCCAGAGCAGGTTTTAGGGGCTCATGAGGGGGGTGGGGAGTTCTGCTACACAAGCAGAAATCCTTGCACTAACCTTTTTTTAAAAATATATTTATATATTGCCCTTCATCAAAAGATCTCAGAGCGGTTCACAAATGACTGACAATGCAATTTTGATGCAAGCTTGTTCTTTTGGACTCCCATCAGATGTCAAAGACATAAACAATTATACGACTTTCTGAAGGCAGCCCTGCGTTGGGAAGTTTTTAATGTCTGATGTTTTGTTATGTTTTTTATATTCTGTTGGAAGCTGCCCAAAGGGCAACCCAGTCAGATGGGCAGAGTAATAAATTATTGTTGTTATTATTATTATTACTACAGTATTATTATTCCATTATCATTTAACACCAGCTTTACATACACACCTTTTCTCTTTACAGTGGTACCTTGGCTTAAGAACAGCTTAGTTTCGGAACAACTTGGATTAAGAACACTGCAAACTGAGAAGTAGGTGTTTTGGTTTGTGAACTTTGCCTTGGAAACATAACATGTTCCACTTCGTCTTGAGTGTGTTCAATTTGTAAATTGAGTCCCCTGCTGCTATGGGAAAGCATGTCTTGGTTTATGACCGCTTTGGTTTAAGAATGGACTTCCGGAATGGATTAAGTTCATAAACCAAGATACCACTGTACTGGAAAACTGAACATCACACTCCATGCATCTGGTCCATGAAAGTTTTTTCCATATCAAATAGTTATTGGGATGTATCCAGTGCTAGCCCTGCTCAGACTCACTGAAATTAATGAACCTAAGTTAGTCGTTAATTCCTCTGGAATAATTCTGACCACTCAAAAGAGCCCTCATTCTAGCACAGCCTTATCCCACAACCTCAGATTACAAGGCAACCCCACAGCAGTCAAAATACCCAGCAACAGAAGATTGGCCTGCTCTCCTGGGCGGCATTAGATAAGGACTTAATGCCTTCTGGCTATCACATTCAGACTTTCTCAGCTACTTTCTCTCTTTTAACTCAAGGAATTAACACCCGCTTCCCTTTTGAAATGCTGTAGTTCATGGACACACCATGTCTTCTCAGTATCCTCCAAGTCTCCGGATTCGCCTGCCTGGGCTCATTTTCTTTTTGGAAGCTGCTTTTATCCTTATATTTTTCTTTTTCTTTTCATATGACCATCAAAGTGTTCAAAAAGACCTTGCGATCTACCCAGGTAAGCCTGCTTGTTAATTGAAATTAGGGTTGCAGGTGTTATTCTGTTTAATTAGTAGGTTAATTGAGCAAATACTTAAGTGGCTGGGGAGAGTCTCCAAGGGTGAGGCTCGATTTCCCCCAAATGAGAATAAGTTGATTGCATTCTTTTAAGTAGTGTTAGTATTTGATGAGTTACATCTGGAGTGTGTTTATGTCCGCATGTAAAAAGTGACAAACAAATGTAAATAACAAATGAATAATGGCCTCTGTTGCACGCAGCATTTCAAGATGTCAGCATCATGGTGGTCTTGGGCTTCGCCTTCCTCCTGGCCTTCCTGAGAAGATATGGCTTCAGCAGCGCTGGATTCAGCCTTTTCCTTGCAGCCCTTGGAGTGCAGTGGGCTTTGATTGTGAATGGCTTCATTTTCCATTTCTCAGATGGGCAAGTGAAGATAAATCTGCAAAGGTAGATAACACGCTTTACAGGGCCCTGCCTTGACCAGTAGTTGCTATGTCTGAGGCTTTATGGATTTAGTTTAGAATGTTTCTTTGAAACATGGGCAGCTGGAGACCAAGAAATATTGCTCTTCTCTCTCATTCCCTCTCTCCCTCCCCCCTCTCATTCACAGAGCAAACAATAATGCTAGGCTTCCCATCCTCATAGCTGTTTATTATGAGGGCAACCAGAACGATCAAGGGGCTGAACTCAAAATGAATGAGCCTGTTCCCTTTCTTAATGATGTGCTTCGTCTTCATTCCTGGTGTGCTCCAAACACAGACCCCCCACACACCTGCATTTATTAGCTAGAGCAGCCTTAGTGAGCCTGGTACCCTCCAGATGTTTGGGACTGGGGTTGATGGGACTTGGAGCCCAAAACATCTGGAGGGTGCTAGTTTGGCAAAGTCTAAGCTAGAAAATAAGTGTTTGAGTGAGTGGAGTAGTGAATGTATTATACCTTATTGTCAGGGCATCTGCAGCTCTTTTCATCTCACCTGTAGCATAAATCTCTATTGGTGTTTTTTTTTTTCTTTAAATGAAATGATTCTTCAACATTCAGGCCAACGCAAGCAATGCATAAAAACCAGTTCTTCGGGGGCATTGTTTGGTACTTGCAAGATTTGCAGTATAGACTCATAGATGCACATTTGTGAAAAATTTGCACATGCCAATTTACATGTAAAGATGCAAAATTTAAAATTTAAAAGTCACAGAAGGCGAGATAATGCGTTTTCCATCCAAATCACCTCAGATACATTTGTCAGTTAGTCAACCCAGCAGATCAACCCGAATAATTTCCTCTTCAGTTCATTACCCAACAGAGCTTGCTCCAAATCAATTAAATTTTCCTTCGAGTACCCGATTCTTTATCCCCAAATCATATCCAGATAAAGTCATCTAAAGTTAATTTATTCCCTCAAATTAATATCCAGCCAGTAATGCAGATCATCCTTCAATTCAATTTCCCCTGAATCCATTGCTGACTCTGATGCACGCAAGGCATTTAGGAAAAGATTTGGCGCCACCCCTAGTGACATCCTCGGCAGTTTCTGGATACTCAGAATTTTTTCAGGCTTGTGAAACTCCTCAGAATTTACTGTGGACCATCTGCAGCCTAAATCAATACACAGGCCCAGTGGAGGGCTAGCTAAACCCAATAGCTATGGGGTGGGGAATCTTTGGCCCTCCAGATGTTGGTCAAGTACAGCTCCCCTCATCCCTCACCATTCTTGCTGGGTCTGATGGGAATTGTAGTTCACCAACATCTGAAGGGCCAAAGTTTCCTCACCCTTGCAATAGACAGTAGAGGCCCTGGCCTGGGAAGCAGAATCCAGAGGTTTCTAGCTAATTGGGAAACAGGAGGAGCAAACTATCACTTGTAAAAGATTTCCCCAGCTATGGATATTTCTCACACACACATACACACAGAGTTTTATGTAAGTTTTATTTTATTTTATTGCAGATGGGTTAAACAATTAGATTGCCTGACCAGCTGTCACCTGAGTAATAAAAAAGATTGATTAATCGTATGAAATTTGGTGGATTAATCAACTAATTTATTAAGTTGCCATAAATGTCCATATAATTAAAGCCCTACTTCTGGAGAAAATGCAGTCTTGGCTTTGCTTTTAGATGACGTTATTGTGTGTCATCCCAGGCGCCATGTCAGGGCTCTGATGAGTGTGTGGCAGAGGCAAGGGGACTGGAGACTGACCCAGGAGATAGGGCCAGAGATTTATGGGGTTTGGTGCCACCTGTGAGGCAGGAACCAGGGCAGCAGGGAAGAGGAAGGGTCGGAGCAGGCAGAGGTGGGGGCACAGGACCTGTCAGGAGTGGAGGAAGAGGCTGCTGAGATGTGGGGTGTGCCAGTCAAATCCCTGCCTTCCCCTGCCCCACTGTTTCCTAGAAGCAGGAGGGGCCTGAAGAGAAAACAATGACAACTTCCATGCAGGAGAACCCCGTCCTCCGTCCTCCCCCTACATGCCCCCTAAATCTGTTATGGGAGTTCATGAAATCCTCTAGAGATTTGTGGAGGTTCAGGAAGCATGGGGAGAGGAGAGGGGGAAATTTTGATGCACAATCGGAGATGCTTGTGCTGATGGAACAAGTTAGTTGGCTATATCCACTCTGTCTATATCCTATTTGTGGATACCACCCAGTCTCCCAATCTGGAGGAGGGGGCTTCTTCAGCACTCTAAAATGATGCTACGGACAATACTGCTTTCTCCTTTTTCTTTTCCCAAAGCATCTTGGCAGCCATTATGAGTATTACAGCGGTGCTGATTTCAGCTGGCGCGATCCTCGGCAAAGCCAACCTGATGCAGTTAATCTGCATGGCTGTGGTGGAGGTGGCTGTTTTCGCTGGGAACAGATGGATCATTGTGGCTGTTCTGGGGGTACGTATAGAAACCTCTTTGCTACTGAGACAAGGCGTGGGGTGGGTGATTCTGTGGCAGCTTCCCATTTCCAGAGGCCTTTTCCCCTCTGGAACCGTCCCTTTGTGGTATCTGAAGGTCAAGCACAGCTGCCCTGTTTTGCCATCTTCCCTAATTGGCATTAGCTGCCAAGGCAGCCTTTCTCAAGAGTGGCTCTCTGTGTCTTAAGACTTAAGGTTGCTGGCCTCTAGTAGGTTTGATAACCAACCCTTGGTGCTGGATCAGACCAGAGGCCCAACTTGTCCAGCATCCTGTACCCCACCAGCAGCCAGCAAGGAGCTCTAATGGGAAGCCCTCAGCAACAAGTGGCTTGTTTCCCTGGAACTTTATCTGGCTCCGCCCCATAGGCCAACTTTGACAGGTGGGGAGGGGCAACCCACCTGTCAATCACATTATGTCATTATGGCACCACATGATTGATAGGTGGGTCGTCCTGCTCACCTGTCAAAATCCCTTGCGCAGCGTTCCCCAAGCACCAAGTATGGGGTTGGCAAGGGCTTCTTTCTCCTCTCCCCATCATGAGCAGGCCCTCTCATAGCTGAGGCCTGCCAAAAAACCAACAAACCAGGGTTGCTTGCCTTGGATGTGTGTGCCAGTTCCCAGCACAATTGAACCCTGCATTTTCACCCATCACCTGAAGTTATGAGTGATGTTAGCTGATTGACAGGGGTGTGGCTTTGGGGAAATGGCCTCATGGGCCAAATTGGATCCCGTGGTGGGCCAAGATTGGCCCGTGAGCCAGAGGTTCCTGACCCCTGCTCTGAACTATGGAGATTCTGTTCAGCTGTTGTGCAGTGATAGATAACCCTCTTCCACACCGTTGTCTAATCCTGTATATTAATTTCAAGCTCAGTTCCCTGAGTGGGTAGGCAAAATAGCACAGCCCATGCAGATTTGGCGGGGTGGGGGGGACCCAGAATTTGCAGAAGTCAAAATAACTTTAGAGGGGGAATACCCTGCAAAGTGAGGGTGGAGCAGCCTCAGTGGGTATGTTGGGGTGGAAAACAGAAAACCAGAGAGAGGAATAGGATATGGGAGAGGGCAGAGTTGGCTGGCTGGCAGGCACATGGAGCAGGAGCACGCTGCAACGTTTTTATTGCAGTTCCTACATAATATATATTAACGGAAGAGCTGTGCTGAATCAGATTAAAGTCCTGTCCATTCCAGCATCCAGTTCCCCACAGAATACATTCCACCCTGGCTCTCTATGAAATGGTGACTGTTTTTTTGTGGTCTACAGATTAAGAGCCACATCAGCTTGATGCATGTTCATTTGTTTGGGACATTTTTTGGCTCCACTGTCTCCTGGTTCCTCTACAATTCCTCACAGCACCCAAAAGTTGAGAAAGAAAGATCAAAGCCTGCCTCTGATGTGTTTGCAATGCTGGGTAAGCTGTTTTCATCAGTGTCCTAAGGCAGGGTTGGGAGGTCAAACAAATCTCTTTACTGGAGCTTGAAACAAATACGTTTTGAGAAATTTTCCCCAGTGGATGTTGATGTTGAAATGTGGCATTTGACATAGTAGGATACATTATTCAGCAACTGGCATTTGATTTCTGAGTTTGATTTCAACAAAGATCTGACAATATTTGGTGTGTGTATAGTTCTGGTGACTCAACTTCAAGTGTTCTTAAATGAAACTCAGGCTGCATACACACTATAGATCTCAAGCGCATTCAAAGCACATCCCAACTCCCCCCAAAATCCTGAGAACTGTAGTTTAAGGGTGCTGCAGTTCTCAGGATTCTGGGTGCGGTGCATTAAATGTATGGCATGTACATGGCTGTGACTATATGGAATCTGGGTTCAGGCCCAGTTCTGGAACTGTATTTGTCTTGGCGGATGGCTTTTGCCATGCACTAAGCCTATCTCTTGGTTCTGCTGGATCTCTCAGTAGCTTTTGATATCATGGATATCTTTCTGGGGCATCTGCCTGGGGGTAAAGTGACCATGTGTCCTGCTTTTACAGCCATCTATTTGAAGGAGTCCTTTGTTTGAAGGGCTGCCTAGTCCAAGTCTGGTTTAAAGAGAAAGAAACCTACAGAGGGACCTTGAAGTTGCCCGTCAGCAGCACCTGGGCAGCGAACTGAGCAGGAAATCTTGCCACCTGGCCACAGTCTTCTTCACCATTAAGAATGTCAAGAATTGTTAGGAGACCCATATTCCCCTTATAGAACTGCGGTCCCTAGAGTTTCCTGAGAAGAGGGGTTAAACCACTCTGGAGGTTGTAGCTCTGTGGGGACAGTGGGGGGTCACGTAACTCCTTGCACCCTTAACAAACTACACTTCCCAGGATTCTTTGGGGGAATCCATAGCTGTTTAAAGTGATCTGATATTGCCTTCAGCTTGAAGTGCCAGATTCAGTGTAATAATTACAAACACATTTGTATGTGCTCTTCAGGCTGAACCTTCATGGAAACAGTCTTATAGAATGACACAGAGAGACAAGAAGCCTGCAAGGAAAAGTGCCCAGCCCAGAATGACCAGAGGTTTTTTTAATCAGCAGAAGTGACATTCTCCACTAATTGAGCTATAAAGTGCAGTTCCAGTCTCTCCATATTTCTCCCCGGCCAGAGAGTCATGGCTTGATTGGTGCTACAACGTTAATGGGTGGCGCATGTGTTAGAGTGAGGTTGGGCCTCAGAGACATTTCCTTCTGCTTATACAGATAAGCATGCCTTTTTCATAGCAGAACAGTGTTTGGTGTAGGGAACCGCCCATCCCACAGGCCCAGGTTGCCAAAAGTTCTGTGTGTAACTTGTGATTAGCTGAAAATTTCCCTCTCCAAAAAACAATTGGAGCAGAATCATTGAGGGCCATGTTGCTGAAATATGCAGTCATCACTTGTGTTAGGCTGTTTTACGCTATCCTGGAAAATTAATGCATATGGCAATAATAATGATGATGATGATGATGGCTTTTTTCTTTTTGTAAAAATGAGGTGTCAGTATTCGCATATTGATAAAAGTGCCACGAGCACAGTACTCGCTTGTGCAAAGGACCAGCATCTCTTCTTTTGCTACCCATGGCAGTTCTTTTGTGCTCGCCCAGAGGGGTGGAGCTGCAGCAATAACCTCCCAGTAACAGCATTGCAGCCTCAAGCTGAGAGGGTTAAAGTCAGGGCTGCATGGCCCCCCAGTGGAGGCAGTCTTGGTGCTTCCGCCACTGTGTGGCACAGCCCCAACCCCTCCATGGGGATGCAAGAAGGCATCACCTCCCATTACACCCTGTATCCATCGCATTTAGCTTTATAGTGTTTGAATCTCCCATTGTTACATGCGCATTTTGTGACAGGGAATTTCATTAGCGTGAGCAGTTTCTGAGCTCAGGGCACAGTACTGCGCCTAAGATTTCAGATTAAAACTGCAGAGTAGAAGGAAAGGAGGACCTTTTCCTGCCTCCCCACTTCCAGCTACTCTCTGAAGACTGGAGAAGAGACCCTCTTAAAAATATTAGGGAGGTGGGCAGAGGAAGGACTAGACCATGTGAAAAACGAACATAATATTTTTAGCTGCAGTTCATTCATTTTCAGCTTTGTATTCTTGTTATTAAAAAAGTGTGCCTAGACATTCCGTTGTTGCACCCATAACCTAGGATTAAGGTGTCATTTAGCTCCTAGCTTTCATATCTCAGTTTCTAACACAGCAGCTCTGTTTCTGTTCTGCTGCAGTTTACCTTCTACCCAAAATTACGTGATTTGTGTCATGTTTTACTGTGGCGAAATTGCAAAACCTACGTAATTAATTACGTAGTTTATGTTATTCCACCCTGTTCATTTCAACGCAAGGGAAGCACCATGCAAATTAATTAGTCACATATTGTTGATGGGCTGAGAGCAAAAACAGTAGATATCAGTCGTGTTTACTTGATTGATTTCCGTTTCAGACATGGGACGAATAGGCAAACATTTCCACTCCTATTTCATTTTTTAAACATCTCTGTCTTACCTGTCCCTCTCCTGGTAAACAGCCGTGACACTACTGCTGGAGAGCTATTGTGGCGACTCCACCCACTTCTGCCCAGGTGGGAATGCTGCCATGAGTCTGAAAAGGGTTCTGCATCTCTGGGTTAGAGGAGCAGCTTGACAGAGGAAGAACCCAGGAGATTCTGTTGCTAGTACTTTAAGCTGCAGCTTCTGAGCCTGACACTTGTCTTGAACTTGCTGATAGGCATGGAATTTCCACGGTGGTCAACTCTTCACTGCGGTTATTGCAGACAGATCCCCGCCTGCCTCCCGTGGCTGCAATAAATTACAAGCAACACGCACCTGTTGTTTCCTTGCAAACATAATACCGCAGTGGGAGATCCAGTTACATATCTTCTTGGCTCAGTGTTTGTTTTGCCATGTGCAGGATGATTGATAGACTGAATCTTGAATACTGTATAGGTTTTTCCGTTGTTTGTTTAAGTATAGGTAGTGCCCAAAGCAGTAAGGTAAAGGTAAAGGAACCCTGCCCGTACGGGCCAGCCTTCCAGACTCTAGGGTTGTGCGCTCATCTCACTCTATAGGCCGGGAGCCAGCGCTGTCCGCAGACACTTCCGGGTCACGTGGCCAGCGTGACAAGCTGCATCTGGTGAGCCAGCGCAGCACATGGAACGCCGTTTACCTTCCCGCTGGTAAGCGGTCCCTATTTATCTACTTGCACCCGGGGGTGCTTTCGAACTGCTAGGTTGGCAGGCGCTGGGACCGAACGACGGGAGCGCACCCCGCCGCGGGGATTCGAACCGCCGACCATGCGATCGGCAAGTCCTAGGCGCTGAGGTTTTACCCACAGCGCCACCCGTGTCCCTACCCAAAGCAGTAGTGGTAAACAAATCGTTGCAAATTTCTTGCTCCACTCCTGGGGTGTTGGGAAGGACTGCTGGACCAAAGGCAACATAGTGTCTCTGGGGATGGTCACATGAGACTACTACCTTGTTGAAGCTAAGTTGGTCTAGGCATAGTCTGTGCTTGGATGGGTGACTTCCAGGAAACTTTGTTTATGCTGCCTTGGGCTCCATGAAGGAAAACAACGTGGAACATAAATGTAAAAAATAATAAATTTCAGGAAGTCTTCCTTCAGATTGTGCATTGTTTCTGAGAAAGAGCCTGCAGGAATTCTGCTGCTGTTCTTTTTTAAATTCAAATTTCCGCATACATGTGGAGAACTGAATTTAAGTTCAGAAAAACAAGAAACCAAGAGAAACTGCAACGGACAGATTCACCCATCCATTGGTGCAAGACAGGACTATGGCTGGATGTAAAGCTCAAGCTGCTCTGTAGGAGAGCAGCCCTCTGATGTTGCTTCAGCAGCCATCAAATGAAGACTGAGCTCAAAATAACCACAGCAGGTGCATCTATATTGCAGCCCTGCCCTCGCTGTAAAGCGACTTACCAGTTAAAGGGCCCTAGGCAGCTCAATCAGTCTTTTGCTCCAGCAGAGCAGGGAAGACTCTGGTCTCACAAGGGCTTTTGCGATGGAGGCCTCTGAGTCTGAGGATGGCAATGCTATATCCTCAGGCTGGGGGGACATTGGCAGCACAGGTTAATCTGGTTGAAGCTGTCCTGTCTCGCAGCCAATACATGCAAAGAGATGCACTAATGTGTAGGTATGGAAGGGATCTTTATTCAGGTACAGGCTCAACAGCAGGCCCAGAGTTCAAGAGCCATGATTCAGGAGTGCAGGAATCGGGCAGCAGGGACATCTTTACCATTGGGCATAGTGGCGCAGCGAGCCAGGGCGCCAAGCAGTAGAGGGCGCCAGGCGGAGAGTCCAGGGAAGGGAGAGTGGGGAGGTAAGCGAGGCGGAGCAGGGGCTTGGTGTCTGCGTGCCTCCAGCGCCCATCGGAGGCAGGAAGGCTCCAGATGCTTTCCCGCAGTCCGGAGCTCTCTCCACTGGTTCCGTGACACACCACCACCTCAGCTGTGTGGTGTGTGCTTGCATCCCAAGCTCTGTGCATAATAAACATGACTCTACCACCACTTCCCCGTCCACTCTACCTCGAAAGATCCCCGCGCTCGAGGCTACACACTGCAACTGCTGCCCCCAGCACCCCTCCCTCCTTCCCCTGCTTCTCCACTGCCTTGCAGGGAGCCTGCCTCCTCCTGCTGCCCCCACCAACTCTGCACTCCTTCACACGGACTGTTTCCTTCCCCTGCCCAATCCCCTCCCAGTCACGCTCTCTCCTCCCCAAGCAAGGACGGCGAGACTGCGGCTGAGTGTGCGTGCTTCTCTGCTGCGGTGACGCGGATGGCCCAGCTCGTGTCGCCTACCCCTGCCAGGACGAGACCCCCGCCTGCCTCCCGTGCCATCCAGCTGCCCAGCCCCACACCATGATCCTGCCGTGGGAGGTGATGCCCAGCCGCGTGCGAGCAGCACAGGGCAGCAGCACGAGGGCGGGAGCAGCCTTTCCTAAAAAAGGTCAACAACTTTGGGGTCCCCCCCTTAAAAAAGGTTGACAACTCTGGCGGGGCGCCAGAGGGATCTTTGCACCACGGCGCTGGATATGCTTAAGACGGCCCTGTCGGGCAGTAAAGTCAGAACTGGATGGAAGCAATGAAGATGCCCCAAAAGTTGCCACTCCCCCATCTGCCAAGCTTTTGAAAATGAGGCGCGGTGCACTCACTGGTGGGGCTCGCTCGCTTTGCAGAAATGTTGGGATTGCCGCCGCCTGCTGCTTTGGGGTTGGTGGGTCTTCTCCCATCCATGGAGGCAGATCCTGGTTCTAGGCAACAATACAGCATCCTCCCGTTCAGGTGCCTGATCAATTGCAGCCCCCTCCTGAGCTGCCTCCCACTTCGGCTGCCCACTGTCTCCACAGAGGCGTTCTGCTCTGCTGGAAGGTCGGGGGGTAGGGAGCCACCATCCCTTCTCTCCCTTCTAAAGTGGCTGAAGTCAAGGCACAGATAGCCCCCTCCACTAACCCCAGTTCCCATCGTTCAGGCTTCCCCTTCTCTTTTGCTTCCTCCTCTTGTATTGGGGCCTGCCAATCTAAGCCCAAGCCTTCCTGGTTCTAGATTCAGGTCCAGCTGCCCAGGCTGTGAGCATTTGGAGTTGAATGCTTAGCAGAGTCTTAACTATACACGGAATACCGGTTGGAGGAGCTCTTTGTACAATAGATACAATCTCATTGGGACTCCAGGTTTAGGAAAGTAACAAAGCTAATGTTTATTGTTGGAAATATGTGTTTGATAGGAAAGATCCTAGTTTTCCCTGAGTAATTGAGCCACGCTTGCTCTGGCATCTCAACAGGACAAATCTCAAAATAAATCTGTTCTCATAAGGGGTCTTGGAGAAGAAGGGGGAAGGTGAGGAGGAAGTGAGGTCTGCAATCATAAGATTACCTGCGGGAAGATCAACAGGTCAGGCACAAGCAGGACAATCTAGGAAGCCTGGAAGTTCCTCTCTCTCTCTACCTTTTCTCATGCAGATACATTAGCTGATACAGTGCAAGCTGAGTTGCACCCTGTCACTTCCAACAAAAGCAAGTATTTAATGGGTTCAAGAGGGCACTAATTATTCTTTTTGTGTGTGGGTGTTCACTAGGTACTCTCTTCCTTTGGACGTTCTGGCCCAGCTTCAATTCTGTGTTGGTAGAGAATGAAGAGGAAAAAATGGTTGCCATTTACAACACCTATTTTGCAATGGCTACAAGTGCTGTGGCCGCATTTGCGTTCTCGAAGGCTACCAGTAGTGATGGGACGTTCCACATGGTAAGTTAGAAGTTTCTGTTCCCTAACTTTCTAGAGCATGGGTAGGCAACCTAAGGCCCGGGGGCCGGATCTGGCCCAATCACTTTCTACATATGGCCCGCGGACGGTCCGGGAATCAGTATGTTTTTACATGAGTAGAATGTGTCCTTTTATTTAAAATGCATCTCTGGGTTATTTGTGGGGCATAGGAATTCGTTCACCCTCCGCAAAAAAAATATAGTCCAGCCCCTCACAAGGTCTGAGGGCAGTGGACCAGCCCCCTGCTGAAAAAGTTTGCAGACCCCCGTTCTAGAGGGACTTTCTCCTAACTAGAGAGACAGGCGGAAGAGAGATGCTTGCACTTCCAAGCAACCTGTTTATTGAGAAATCATCCTGATTTGCTTGCATATTTGCTTTCATTGGTTATGTAATGAGCATTCCCTCTCAGTTATTTGCGTGGAGACTGGAGAATGCGTGCATCAAAGCAAGTGCCCGTCTCACACTTCCAGTGCAGGTCCCCATCACTTTCATTATCGCAGAAAGTCTGATCTTCTGGGGAAACTTGCTTGTTGCACAAGACCTAATGGTCAGCTAGAACTGCGCAACTTGAATTTGCTGATATATGGTGGACAGGCTGGTTCTGCAGCCTAACTGGTGCCTGGCTGCTGGTAATCCTGATTCAAGACATGCACACGCGCACCCACACAAACATCTACACACCCACCCACCCATCAGCGTTTTTCACCCGTAAAACGTTTCCAGCCAACTTTTTTCATTCCTCACTTTCTTCTTTTGCTTGTTCTACAGGCCCACATCCAGAATGCCACTCTGGCTGGTGGGGTTGCTATTGGCTTCTCAGTTTCCATCATCCAATACCCTTGGATTGCGATGACTTTAGGTCTGGCAGCTGGGGCAGGCTCTGTACTTGGCTTTGCCTTTTTACAGGTAACAGTTCCCATTTTGAACCATCCCATTTTAGATTGTGGGCAAGGAGAAGCGGGCATTTTTTTGCCTGAGGCAAAGGGCAAAATGGCGCCTCCTCCATTCCTTGTGCAAAAGCCAGTCAGGTTGGCAGTTGTCTCTCATTTCAACAGTGGTGATAAGACCGAGTCTCATCTTCACCTGAGAGCAGCAGGCGGGTTTAGTGGGATGGTGCTTAAAGTTGTTTCTTGTCTCTGAAGCATCTGTTGTTGGAGGCAGCTTCCTCACATTGCCTAATGGTAGGGCCAGACCCAAGAAGGAGACCTGCACACGTCATCTTACAGAGCAGTTGGGGAATCCTTGACTCTTTTGATTATGAAACCCTATCCATTTTATTATTACATTTATACTCCACCTTTCCTCTGAGGAGGTCAAAGTGGCATGAATGGTATTCCTCCCTCTCCATTTTATACTCACATCAATGCTGTGAGGTAGGATAGGCTGAGGGACTGTGGCTGGCCCAGTGAGCTTCATAGCTTACTGAGGATTTGAACCTTGGTCTTCCTGGTCCTGGTCTGACTGCAAACCACTATGCCACACAGGCTCTCTTGGGTCTTTTTCAACGTATGCTAGTCTTTTCCAGTCTTGTTGTTCTAAACTTCTTAATGCCAGAAACTGAACCTTCCTGATCTACTGCTAAGCAGTGTCCCCCTCTCTGTGCTTCCATGACATTGTGGCAGACAAGACAGTCCTGCTTATAGCCAGCCCACAAGCCCTTCAACAGCTACCTTCTGATTTGCAGCGTTAAAGGTTATTCACATGACTCTTTAGCTGCACACATCCCATACATTTAAACTACTCCCTGCCCAAGATTCTTGGGAACTGAAGTTTATTGAAGGTGCTGGGAATTGCAGCTGCGTTAAATTAAATTACAGTTCCTTTTGGAGGAGCTACATGATTGAAATGTGCTTTGAATTTATGGTGTTTACACAGCATTTGTGTTTTTCACATGTACCCTTCCCATCAAACTCAGAAGCGCCTGAAACCAGCACTCAGGATTCATGATACCTGTGGAGTTCTTTACACATTTGGCCTGCCCAGTTTGATTGGAGGGATCACCCGCATTATTCTTATCCTAATAGACAGCCAGGAAGACCTAGAAGGGTAGGTGGAATCTCTCTCTCAAATGTTATCTCCTCTGAACTTTTCAAGATAGTTATTGGGCCCCACCAGGAAGTGTGTAGACAGAAAGCTTGCACCACCTTGAGGGTTTTATTTTAAAAAGTTTTAAAGGCAAGGGAGGGGGGAAAGGAAATACTATCCACTGTAGTACTGGACATCATCTAGGAAAAATTCAATTGAAACAAGTCAGTGGAAAGCTCTTGGTCAGTAGTAACACACTTGAAGTGTGTGCCCTCCAGTTTCTCTTCAGTGTCCTGTGGTTCAATGGCAATTGTGAAGGAGGTCTTTGTAAGATCAGCTGGTGTGAAAAGGGCTCTCTAAATAGAGAAAGTTTAAAAACAGCAGACAGAGATAGTAAGGAAGGATTGATCTTCTAAATTTTGTTCCTTTAATTTTCTCTTTGGTCTAGGTGGCTGCATTTCTGCTGCAGTTTGTGATAGACTTCACAAAAAACTGCCAGCATCATATTGCACATTGCCCCTTACATATTTTTGTATGCAATTTTGCCTAACATAACATGTTTGCAAACCATTTTCTTTAATGTGTTACATTTTTGTATATACATTTTTAAGCACACTCACTCCTTATATAGTTTTTTTAACACATGTTTGCTGGGATAGCAGCATAGCAAAATTCAGAGAAGTGCAAATGTCAAAGAATGGTTATGTTTTGATTCATGCAAATGTTTTTGGAAATGCAAATTAAATCACTTCATATTATATGAATTGTGGATCACACGGAATTCTCCCCCATCAATAACAGAGTGTAAGGCCTATGGAAAAACACCAAGACTGTAGCACTGAATAAGTGGTAAAGTATTCACTGGTTTGTGAATGGTTTTTGTTGTTGTGATTTTCAGAATGGGTTATTTGGCTTTGATTGAACTTGGTGCATCCTGCGCGATCATTTCCCTGGGTCTGATGGCTGGATTCATTACAGGTCTGTTATCGCAAACACTCTTTGTGATTTTCTATGGAGCTAAATCCTCTCCTTTCCTTGAATGCTACTGGTGTCTGATTGCTCAATGGACACACATTGTACCTTTTCAATGCTGCACCAAGCAAGGGGCTAGACTGGATGATCCACTGGATATGTGGAGTAGCAGAGGAGGAAGCAAAGATAAAGTGAAAACTTCAAGAATGCTTGATAATGTCAGTAGATGTAGAAACTAACAAAGAAGCAGGAGAATTTGCCCTGGATCAAACTGAGTGATAATATACCCCATCAAGCACCACCCACTAGTGTAGATGGGAAAAGAATTTAACTGAAAGCACTCATGTGTGGATGAATGTGCTCTAAAGTGCCACATGGTAAACTCGGATCTGTGTGACCTATGTGCATGTTAATGCTCTGGTGTGTGCACAGCCTATGCCACACTTTAGGCTTAAGAGAGACATCACTTATCTGCCTCATTTAATGGGTCTAGGGGATGCAAGCCTATAATTTTTAATTCCTACATATATGTTCATACAGGTCTATCAAGCGAAAAACTAGTGTTCCAACAGTCAAATAGCTACGGTTGGAGGATGTGCTTCAACAGTGAACTTAGGCCCGAGCTATGTATTTAGTGGTATCATACCACTTTAAACAATAATGGCTTTCTCCAAATAATCCTCATAACTATAGGTTCTTAAGGATGCTGAGTACAATTAGGAGACCCTTATTCCTGTCACAGAGATACAATTCCGAGAGTTCCATGGGAGGAGGGATTGACTGTTAAACTGCTCTGAGAGTTGCAACTCTGAGGTGAACAGGCGTCTCCTAGCAACTCTCAACACCCTTACCCAACTACAGTTCCCAGGATTCTTTGGGGGAAACAATTACTATTTAAAGCTGTATGATACTGCTTTCAGTGTATAGTGCATATGGGGCCTTAGAGGGTACAGTGAAAGGTATTTTGGGAAAGGTTTGTCGCTTTTCAGTACATATTTTGCATTCTTTTCCCAATGTCTTAGGTTTCTTACTAACTTTTGAATTCTGGAAAGCACCTCCTATAACAAAGTATTTTGATGATCAAGCTTTTTGGGAGGTAAGTTTTTAAATTTCACACTAGCTATTAGTCACTGTGCTAACTGTTCTCTATCCACTTTCCATGCCGTTTTTAATTTTATAAACCTCTACCGTGCCCCCTCTTACCCACTTTTTCTCTAAACTTAAAAGCCTTAGATGTTATAACCTTTCCTCATAGAAAAATTCAATAATGTTTCTTTGTTTTTAGTTTCCACATTTAGCTGCTGGATATTGAATACAGGCATCAAGACTGCAGTAAACTAGTTGTGGAAGATTTTGTCGATCTGCCATTAAAGCCACCAGAAGTTGTATAACCTTTTCGTAGGAACCATTTGTTTGCAAGACTGAATGAGCTACATTACTGCTTCATTAAGGAGGCTGCCAACCGCCTTCTTTTCTCTAAGGCATACTATTTACAGCTGAACCTGCAAAATGCTGAGGATTTTGTTGGGGTGTGTGTGTGCGCGTATTAAATGTGGATTTTACCTCATTTGACCTCCCTCTGCCAGCACCTTAAATGCAGCGGTTTTAAAAACTTTCCACACTGAGTTGTCTGTTGTAAAATTCTTGCCACCTGGCAGAGGATTCTGGGGGCATTTTCTAGGTGGCGCACTTTCAGCTGTTGCACCTTGCAAGGGAGTGACTGGTAATGTGGAAAAGTTGTACAAGTGTACAGTGTGATATATGACGCTAAGTATTTTATAATATGCTATGCCTCCACAGTTGTAATTTTATATCCCCATATGCCTACCATCTTTCTTACTGCTACCACTGCCTTTAATGTCCCAATTAACCCTGTGCATAAATGGCCTAAGTGGATTGTGACTCCAGCTGAAAAATACTAAAGCAATGAAGTCAGCATGGGAAATGAACTGCTGCTTACTATCACAAACTGAATGTTAGAACACTGCCTCTACAGCACCACCATAAAGCCACCAGTAACAAGAGAAGAGCCATCATACTTGGAAGTCACAGGCCCAGCAGAAACTTCAGAAGCATGGTAACATTTCAGTTAATAGTTCAGGTGTGGGAAACCTTTGGCCTGCCAGATGTTAATAAACTACAGCTCCCATCAGTCTTAGCAAGCATGGCCAAGGGCTAGGAATGGTGGGAGCTGTAGTTCAGCAACATCTGGAAGGCCCAAAGTTCCCCACACCTGGTACTTAAGTCTCCCCCAGAAAAAAGCAGCCTAATAATTGGTTGCTATGGTGCCAATCAGCCTGTCATGCACTGGATAACCTTGCAAGGTACAAAAGAAGCAGCTCAGATCCAGGCAGAAAATGTGTAAGAACTCCAGCTAGAGGGACCCATTTGTGGGCAAGACCTCTGCACCCCTAGGATCAGTGGAAGCTTCCATCTTGCTTAGCTCCACCTGCCCATCATTCTGCTTTCTAGGCTGACCATCAGAGAGAGCACCCATTCCCGCTAAATATCCCAGAGGCACTTGTGTGAATGAGTGTGACCTCTCTAACTTTGATTTCTGAATTGCATTCAATAAATGTGTTGTTTTGCCTTCCCCCACCCAAGACTCACTAAATTACTTCAGCTTCAGTACAGATCAACTGTATGCACAACAAAGGAACCCCAAACACAGCTGGAAAGCCACCCCTTAATAAATCTAGAGAACAAATATGATGTTAGTACATATGTATTACATTTTAATGCACCGAATTAACTTCTTTCATTTGAAAACCTTCCAAAGCCAGTCATAATCCCATTTTCAAAAATAAGTTATACTGTGAAGACCCCCCCACACACATATAAATGATCTGTAAAAGAAACATTTACATTGTTTAATATTCATTATTCATTTATAAAAACAGTCAGGAAGAGGACTTCATAAGTGTTATCTCTTTCTCAGTTTTACATTTTAGTTCACATGCTACATATTTAATGTCATAAGCCAAGAGTAGAAAACAGTCTCAAAGAGAATGAAAAACAAAGGAATTTCATGATTTTCAAGCGCTGTCAGTTTTCATCCTCACTGATACCAGAGCACAAATGCTTACAAAAGGGAGTGGGCAATTAAAATAGAAGGACATATTCTGTTGCTTATTGCCACAAATCTTCAGTGCGACCAAACTTAAAGACCAGGCCTCTGTTAACAAAAGAGACAGGATTAACTGCATAGAATGTTGGAATTGTCACATCAAACAGAGCAAAGCAGTATCTTGAAAATATTTTATGGAAAGCGAAGATAAAAATATTTTAAATAGTCTTCTACAGCACAGCCCTATGCATCTTTCATACAACAAAGCCCCACAAAGATCAACCAGACTTACTCTCAGGGAAGTGTGATTAGCATTCAGGTCGTAAGGCTGCTTTAGAAAAAAAAGATACTTCCATGTGTCTCTGTGTTAGCTCTGTGATGTTTTGGTGCAACAGTGTTTGTGCCAGTCCTGCTCACCCATTTGAAATTTACTTATTTATTATTATTCCGTGACCTAAACATATTGGTTTGGTATGAATGACAGTGCTCCAAGCTACTAAACTTCCATGCATGTGAGATTTAAACACAGAATAACAAATCAACTGAATGGAAGAAATATGCTTACCCAAAAAATATAAAAGCATTTTGGAAGAAGACTGCTATCCCAGGGTATACAGAGATCTTTTCTTTGTCTGGGAAGGGGAAAAAAGAATGTCCTTTATCTGAAGTCCATGAGTTTATTTGTAGCCTCCCCCAACCCCTCAAAAAAGCACAATGACCAGCTCACTGATTTGTTAAGTTTTGCAGGGCTTGCCTAATGCCTTCTTATGCTACCATTGCTACCAGAATCTGGAAAATGAATATACTTGCTTACTTACAACACTTTTATACAGCTTTTCTGTCACAATGGTTCTCAAAATTCTCTTACTTAAAAACAACTAAATACACAAATAAGATCAAGAGTCATAGCTCAATAGTAGAGCCTCTGCATGTAGAAGGTGCTAGGTTCAACATCTCCAGGTAGGGCTGGGAGAGACTCCGAAACCCTGGACCAGTCAGTGTAGGTATTATTGAGCTAGTTGGATCCATGGGTTTGTCTCAGTATAAGGCAGCTTCCTATGTCCCCATGTCCTAAACCATAAAGTCTATAATACAGCATCAAACCAGCTAGAGGATGCAACTCAATATAGTAGTAAACTCACAGCAAAGGAAATTTTCACAGATCTTAACACTCCCAAAGTGTCTATAATCACAAAAAATATTTTAATAATTTAGAAGGCTGAGAAAATAAAGGTGTTTGCCAGGCACCGAGAATACTAGCTTAGGCACAAGGTGAAGAGAAATGACACAGAAGCCGCCTCCCCCCCCTTTTTTAGGTAGGATAGTGACATAAGAGACACTTTCATTATTATAGGGCAGGCTTCCTCAAACTCCGCCCTCCAGATGTTTTATGACGACAATTCCCATCTTCCCAGACCACTGGTCCTGCTAGCTAGGGATCATGGGAGTTGTAGGCCAAAAACATCTCGAGGGCTGAGTTTGAGGAAGCCTGTTATAGGGTATAGGTAGTGTTCATAATGCAAGAGACAAGGTCTCTGCACTTAACCTGATTGCAATTTAAAATGTATACGCATAAGCTAAGGTGCTAATTTTAAAGGTTGCCTTTAACAGATACTTTACCTTGAATAACATAGCCTCCAAAGAGGACCCACATAGATGCAATCAGAGATCCAAATGCCAACATAAATCCAATGAACAGCCAGATGCGAGCACCTGCAAAAGAAAAAACAAACCCACATCAATTGTTTTAAAAACAAGCTGCTCCTTTGTTCATAACATAATATTTAAATAATGGGCAATATGTGACCTGAGGAGGACAAATTAACCATCCCTTCAGAACTACCTAAAGCCCGTGTGCATTAGGAAACATCTGCATGCTCTCCATGTGTCCTGGCTGTGAAAGTGCAACATTTCAAAATGTACAAACTTGGTACACCATTTTTCATTGGCGTCCCCTAAAGTAGCCCTTCTGAGAGCCTGGTGCAGTGGAGTGGGGGCAAGGGAGATCTGGGTTCAAACCCCTGCTTAACCAGAAAGGCTGCATTAAGATATACATAATCAGAGCCGTGCATTTGTTGGGAAATTGCACTCATGGCAATTGCAATGCACATCTATTTTGGGATGTGCTTTACAGCAAAACAGATCACTTAGTTGAAAATATCTTAAATATATTATATGGATGCTTATTTAATATTTTTATTAAATCTACTACTTTCTAACCCTGCCACAGGGAGCCTCGTCAAGGCCCTCTGCTGCTGCGGGGAAGCGCAGTGTATGGTGGGATCACCTGCCACTGCGGGGAGGCCCAGCAAGGCCCTCCGCTGCTGCAGATATATGTATTGATATATTGAGATATTGTGATATTTAGCTGGTGATATATCGTGGTGTTGAAAACCAGATATCGCCCACCCCTAGCAGCGCTCTTTCTCTCTTACACCCACACACTTTTTAATAATTTTTATTTGTTAAGATTACCTGTTTGCCCAAGGCAACCTTCACTGTAACTGTCCCCACGCACTTGTCCATTGGATACTGCATTGATCCTTCATTAATAAGAACATAACATATCACATTCAGATACTTGGCATTTGTATAGAACTGTTTAGCATTACAATCTGCTTCACATGCATTATCCTTTATATCCATACTGTAGTGTGGGTCTTGCCTAATGTGACCTGGTGAATTCATAACATACTCAAGGTAGAGTCTTCCTGCTCCATAACTCAGACTCTTAGCTGCTATGCTTTACCAGCTTTCTATGAAGCAATGACAGTAATTCTCCATATACCTCAATACTACCTTGCATTTGGGAATCAGCTGTTCTGAAGAACAATTCAAGCAGCTCAAAACAGATTAGTCAAGTACTAAGTGGGAATCTTATCACTGAAGTAGGAATCACAACTGCAAAACATCAATTGTCTACAAGCCTGCAGTTATTCTCAAATTTCAATGTGTACAATCAAACACAGAAGACTAAAGCTTCACAGCTCAGGAATCTTAACACCACTGACCGCCCCCTCCCTGAACTGATTGATTGAGTTTACTTATATGCTGCTTTTGCACAATATGCTATGCCCAAAGCAGCTCACAAGATTCAAAACCTTGAAATACAGACTAAACAAAAAACACAATCTAGCTTAAAATACATAAATAATAAGCAAAACCAGAGTTAACAGACAATGAAATTTCTGGTACTGGTCTTGCTGCACTCAAAGGAGCCTGGCTTAAATACAGTTTAGAGGGTGGGAGGAGGGTAGATGGCATACAGCTGGCTCTCCCATCACTCCTCCAGAGGAGGCTGACAGCCATAATTCACTCACCCCCTCCATAGTCAAGCAAGCAGTCTGGGAGTTTCTTACTCAAGATTACATCATGCCAGTATAGAGATAACCCAGACCATACTACATTCTGATATAATCGAGACAGACACTATGGGTCACCGGGGAAACTCATTAAGCTATAAAATGGAAGGTAAAGCTGTGCTATTCTAGGATAAAACAAAACATAAACCACCCCTGTTGCATGCTTGTAAGTCCAGATATGTTCTCAAATTCTGAACATTGCTTTTCTCATGTTTGTGCCTTTTCATTATATAGCCTCAGAACCTCAGTACTGTCAGGTTCCATGCCAGAATCAGCATAATAATTTTAAATCATTATGATTAAATAAAAGACTAGTATAAATTTCTCCTGACCCTAAAACAGTACAAGGGCTTCAATGCCATGGCCACTTATTTGAGAGTAAGCCCCACTAAGCTCAGTGGGGTGGATTTCTGAACACTGATGTAGGAGCAAAAAAAATTCTGGGCAAGTTTCTACTTTTCGTGGAAAATATTTCCATTTCATAAGTTCCTTAGTAACAATGAATGGATGCCCACTGCAAATACAATATAAGACAAGCTAGGCAGTTTCATTTTTTAAAGTTTTGTTTACTAAATACAAGTAAAATAAATATGCTAAATTTGATCAGCCCATAGGGTCCTCCCACGCAAATTACCCTAATATGGATAGGAAATTTTGCCAGTTCAAATCTGAAAAACCCACAACACTGCTTCTATGTTAGTATACCTAGGATTAGGCTACAAAACAGCCATCCTATGCTAACACAGTGCAAGTACTTTTAGTTCATTAGCCTGCATCTTGGAACCTATATCCCATAATCCATATCAACAAGTAATGGGTTCATTTTATAAGTCAAAGCAAGTTTTTTATAATTTATTAAATATAAGAAATCCAACTAGCATTTTTACAATATGCATTCTTATTCAAATTCTGTAAGAATATTAGTAGTACCTACATTAGGAATGCAACTGTAGCTATCACTCCACAAGCATGGTATGAATGGTTGAAGTCATCTGAATGTGGATATTTAACAGCTGCATCTATGATAATCCACCAACCTGTAAAGAACTATTTGAACACACAAGTTTCCAACATGATCTTCAATACAATGTTGCTGTAAAGCTACTATGACCACTCTATCAGACATCAATAATGGCAACAATCAGAAGCCGGTGGCAAAACATTTCAGTTGCCCAGGTCGTTCTGATGCTCAGTCAACCACAAAGTCAAATTCAATAAACTGATCCTAGAAGCTCCAGTATGGAACTGGTGAACTAGAAATATCAGATTTGATTCTATTTAGTTTCAGTTTAACTGAAGCTGTGGGTTTCTTTTTGCTACAGGTGTTAAATTTCCACAGAGAAACTAGGAAGACACAGCCATCACCAATTACTATTGTGTGAATGGGTTGCTATTTTTATCCTGCACACATTTGGGCTTCTTATAATGTTGTAACATACAGTACCTCTTATATATTGTGCCCTTTCTGTCTGTTTTGTACACACGTATATATCTTTATATCTGCCAACAAACACCACTTACTGCATCTGACAAAGCAGGTTCTAGTCACCAGAGAAGTGGTACACTTTAAAGTACAATATGCTTTCTTGTTTTTAATATAGTATGCTAGCAGAGCTACCCATTTGTAATGTATATATGCACAGTTTTATTCCATTAAACTAAAGTGGGCTTTTAACATGCACAAATTTACAAATGAGGAGGATCCAACACTGCAAAACTTAAGAAAAACAGAAATATAAACAAGAGATTTAAGTATACATACCAGCACTCCTGCAGCAATAGAAGCTATTGTATTTCGTTTTTCTCCCCAGTCAACACACTCAGAGCATCTCATGTTTTCAAGAAACCCAGACATATTTGAGTTTTGGAAAACCTAGGAGAGAAAATGAAATTTGTTTCTCAACTTCTGTTTAGGTGTGTGGCTTTAAATGTATTAATTGCATTTGAAGTGAGAAGAATTTATTTAAACCTATTCTTATATCACTTACCATTTACAAATAAATCTCAAAGACATTTCTAAAAATACATTAAAACCATTTTTAAAAACAACACAATGTTACAAATATCAGTAAGAGAATAAAAGATAAAATCAGACACATAAGAAAATAAACACAAAAGCAGCACACAAATGTAGCTGAAATACTGCTAGGGATGTGAGAAATGCAATGTTCAAATGTTCCAAAAGAAGTTAATACTTCACTTGCAATCAAGGATAGCCAGAAAACAAAGCAAGAGAGCCTCACAATTGGGAAGCTGAATTCCAAAGAGGTATCCTTTCAACAAGGGGTGGGGAATATACTTGTTTAAAGGAGAAGAAATGAGAAGGATTCTACTGTACTGCACTGCACACAGGAGCAGGGGATGGATGAAAGGATCTGGAACTGTACAGGCAAGCCACAGCTACCTTGCCCTGTGCTTGTCTGGCGATTCTTAGTTAATAATCAGGCTACTACCCAGACACCATAACTGAGAATTAACCTCCTCAAAGCAATTGTTGTTGTTGTATAGTCGTGTCCGACTCTTCGTGACCCCATGGAACTATCAAAGCAATAGTTCGTAATAAGTTCAGCCTTCCCTAATTGGATGGTCTCCAAATAGTGCTGAGATTCCAATTCCCACCATCCATGGGCGTAGCCAAGGAGGGGCAGCTCCCCCGCCACGAACAAGTAAAACTATGGAAATACTTTTTTTTTTTTTTAATATTTTATTAAGGATTAGCTGACACATCATGTCAGTTCTGTGCCCCCCCCCAACAAAAATCCTAGCTATAGCCATGCCACCACCCCTGTGTTGAATGAAGCTTCCTCCCAAGAAAGTGTGTGCAGGGCAGTTCTGTGCATACCTTCTTAAAATTCAGTAACTTTGAACATAATGGAGCTACTCCTGAGTAAATTTACCATGATTTAACCTGCAGGTCAGCCAAAGAACCTACTAGTAGGTATATACAAATCTCAAGAATTAGATGGAGCTGGATATCTCCTGCCACCCACCCATTTGCAGGGGAAGTGCTTTCATCCTGGTGGTCCCTGTCCCATCCAAATCCCAGGGATCATATTATGGGTTAGAGGCGGCGAACAGAAAGTCATCCAAAATAGATGAAACTGGCTAATTGATGGATGGCAGATCAAACCAAACAAAAGCTCTATTAAGGCTGGGAAACAAAAACCCATTCAACTGAAAGGAATCTATTTCTCAGAGTAAAGAGAGTGGTACTGGCCAAATGATGGTTGGATACCCAATCCAAGTCTCTAAGGCTGCTGCTCTAAATCCACTTCCCGAGGCGCACATCCCACTGATTTCAATGGGGCTTGTGAGTAAAGGAACAGACCCCACTGAATTCAGTGCAAAAGAGATGGGGAGGGCTAATTTGGAAGGCTGGACAGGCCAGCTTCAGGAAGGCTGCTATGGAAAACTCATTTCCTCACGAGTAAGCCCCACTGAATCCAGTGAGGCTTTCCTCCAAGTAAAGCGGATGGCAACGGCCAGTTTGGAGGCTGCGATCTAAAATGCGCTTCCTCGGGAGCAAATCCAACGGGACTTCCGAGTGAAACGGACGGCGAGGGGGAAACTGATGGAAGGCCGTCGCCCGAAACACACTTCCCGAGGATGAAGTCCCACGGAACTTATTGGGGCTTGGAATAAAGAAGCTGAGCCTCGGCGCTGCACGGCGGCGCTCCGCGCCCCATCTCCAGCCCGACACACCCCTGTGGGCCCAGCGGCTGCCCGCCAGAGACGCAGCTCCCGTCTCCCTCCCGGCCGCTCCAACCGCCCCAGCGACGGGATGGGGCGGGCGGGTGCCCCGTCCGCACTTACTTCGCCTCAGAAGCGCTCTTGAGACAACCGGCTCTAAGGAAAAAGCCGCCGCCGCCGCCCTGGCCGACTCGCCTCCAGCGGAAAGAAAGCCGAACCGCCCCTTTCCGTACCAAGTAAACAAAAACACGGGCTTAGGCCCCGGATGCTGAAAAGGCCGAAGCTACGGAGAAGGCGCCTCTATTGCGCAGGCGCTGCGATGCTAATAGCTGGGCTCGGACAAAAAAGGGAGCAGCTAAGTCCGCTCATGCGCACTGTGCCCTTCATGGTCGCAAATGGTCTTGGAGCTGGTTGCGCTCGATTCGAAATGGGAAGGCGGCATTGCTTTAAAAAACAGAAGTGTATATTTATTAACGTTTTACTTTTCAAAACTCGCAATCATGCAGAATAGTAAATGAGCAAACTTGCTTTATTGCGGTTTTAGCGTGGTGGAACGTTGACAGCGCGGCGAAGGCCCACTCGTGCGCTTATATAAACCGGGGACAAGAATGGTGTCTGTCTGTGCGCGCGAGCCTTGTTCATTCGGAGTAAAGCCAGGGCTTTATCGCAGCACGATCTGATACCAGCATCTTTTTCCCCGCCCCAAAGGGGTATAATTAAAAGTTCACGATCTTTCAAATTCAGGTCTTCCAACTAAGAAACCAGCGTTCTGCCAGTAAAATATGAAAATAAATAATATCTGAATCGAGCCAGAACAGTAATCATGCAGATGCACAGGAGGAGCGGGTATACATTCATGCCTAGTTGTGTGTTTGGGGAAAAAGCTGAATTTTAAAGTGTGAAAATAGCACTCCGGACAAGTTTGCTCAGGGTCGCGGAAGGATACCACTAAAATGATGTATTTATTACATTGACTAACTTCGCAAAACAAAACGTAGCTTTTGTCTTGTCTGCCATCATCAATAAGCTAACATCAGAAGAGCCTGTTGGATCAGGTCAACGGCCCATCTAGTCCAACATCCTGTTATTTCAGCAACTGGTATTCCGAAGTATTACTTCCCCCGATCGTGGAGACAGAGTATCAGCATCCAGGCAAATCCAGGAGTCTAATTCTCGTATGAAGGCGAGCCATCCGAGCTGGGAGATTCATAACCTAAAAGCACGATTTCTATATGTATTGTATAATATAGAGGGCGGAAGCTGAAGCGTGCAGCTCAAGCGTATACATGGTCACTCGGAAGTAAGGCCCAACGTGTTCGATATGGCTTCTGTCCAGGATAACGTGCAACCAAAGTAAAGCGCGCAGATCGGAGATGAGGCTGAAGGCGCCACTGTACCATGGATGCTTCGGGCGGAGGAGGCGCCTCCTGGTCTCTATGGCTACCGCCCAGTGTTCTATGCCCCACCCCCAATCCCGAACTGCGCTTGCGCACTGACGCCAATGTTACGTTACAAACACAATACTGTAATCCCTCCTCCTCCTGCCCCCTCCCTTCGTCGGTTGAGGATCTGGAAGCTTCTGCGCCATTTCAGTTGGTCTCGGGCGCCATAACAAGCCGGTCGACCTGGCGGCGGCTGTTGACTGTGGAGCGATTTTAACGCTGTTTGTTGTTCGGGGGATGTCTGTGTGATTTTTTAATTTTTTAAAAAACGTGTCTGACGACATATTTGAGAGAAAACCGAGCGAGCTTTATTACCAGCCTCTTTTTGTGGAGATTTCCGAGCGTATTTTTGTTCTTTCGGCACCTTCCCTTCGTTTCCTTCTTCCGGTTATGGCGGTTACCAACGAAGGTGGGCTCTCCCCTCAGGCACCACCACAAAGCCAGGGCCCATCCGCCTGGTACCAGTGAGTCTGAAGCGATTTTTCCCCTCTTATTTTCGCGCGGGGAGGGGAGAACTAAAGGCTGTGAGGCGAAGCGGGGGTATTTGAAGGAGACTGGAGGCAGTGCGGCTGCTAACACGAGCTTTCTTAAGGCTTCCTTGCTCCTGCGAGAGAGAGCAGCGGGTCAGTATTGGCCTCTTCCCGAGGGGGGAGGTACAGGCTGACACGGGTTGGCGTCGGATTGACCCATCAGCTGTGAAGACAAAGCGGAGGAGACTCGAGTTTGCAGTCCAGAGCTACTTGAAGGGCAGGAGGTGGGGGGAGAGGAAAAACCCGTAACAAATAAACCTTTTATTGGTGGAAGGAAGGCTAAGGCTGATATGGCTCACAACAACCCTGTTAGGTTAAAAAAATCTTTAAAATGAAGCTTCTGTAGGGGTACGAAGAGTATCCTCGTCGGATTGTGCTGCCAGCCCTCTTTGCTTCCAAACTCGTTTTTGTGGTGTGGCATTTCTTTAACTTGTTTGGAATTGTAGCCAAACAAAACCAAGGAAGTAATTGTAGTTGTTCGGGGTCATTCCTTCCTGCCCTTGGCGTTCCCCCCCATTGTTGCTTCCCTTTCCCATAATCCGTTTTGAGACTGTAAGATAGGAACCTCTCGTCTCTTTGTATGCAAGCAATGCAGTCGTGCCCATGATTCAGAAGTAAGCAAAGCCCTGTTTCCTTCAGTAAGGCTCACTTCCTACTATGTATTGTTCACGGGTGTGGCACTTCGCGAAAGGTAATAAAGGGCTAGGGAAAAGGCTGCCCGCTTTTAAGTAGGATGGGGGGGGAGTGCACGCGTTGGATTATAGCTAATAACTAATTTGTACGCTACCCTAGTAAAGTAGTAATTTATGCTGTCAAGCATGTTTTTGAACAAACGTGTCTTTTGTGTAAACTACCATGAGAGTTCACAAGGGCAGTCTAGTTTTTCCATATCCCCCTAAATTAGAACAATAAGCTGTCAGAAACAGTCAAATCCCATGTATGTTTCCCAAAAATAAATGTCCAAAGCAGTCTTGAGAATGTTCTTGAATGCTTCCTTTGAAATCAGCAGGGTTTAGTGGTGGTTGACATTGGCAGGATTGTGCTGTTTTTTAGGCACTTGCATACTGAGCACCATGAGTCCTTTTTTGAAAAGCCCAGTAAAATCTGCTTTCTGTTAAGGAGGCTTTTGGAGAAAGTAAAATTATACAGTGTGTGATTAACAATAGAGATGACGTTTTATCTGGGAGTAAGCACTGTTGAAGATGGGAGTAAAAATGCTTAGGAAAAGACTAGTAACTTGATCCTAACACTTTGAGTATGTCGCTCAGTATTATGCCCATATTGCAGGGGAAGGACCTGAGAAAGTATTAATTTTTCTGTAGAACGAACTGAAGGATAATATTGTAGTTCTTCTTAAATTCTAATAAAATTTATTTTAAAAAAGAACTGACTGAATGGTTGCAACTCTTGTTCATAGGAATCCACAGCAGAACCATGGAAGTCCTGAGCAGAATGGGAGTTTTTCAGCACCTATTGGTATGTTGCTTATGGGAATGTATGTCTAGTGTTTGGCTGATAATGTTTTATATTTAAAATGTTTCCACCCCATTTAATTAGTTGTCTGCAATTCAAAGGTGCTTGCTGAATTAGGTGATCCAAGGCTCCAGACAGAACCTTTTTCCTGTATGGTTTGCTAGTGATAAATATTCCTCTATTTAAAGCATTAGAATAATTTTCATACTTTGTGGTAGCAATACAGTACAGTAAATATTTTTGCTTTGATTATTAATAAACACAAATTAACAAATAAAACTCTTAACGAAGAGAGCAGGATCATAGAACAAAAGTGGTTTGAAGAATTAAGGAAACAGGAGTGATTATACCCTAGTATGATAGATCCAGTGTGTTGTAACTAAAATGGCTGCTGTTATATAACAGCAGCCATCTTGATTGTTAAATACTTCATATTGCATACAGTTGAATGCCTCCAGCTCCATAGTGGCTCAAAATACTAATTTGACCGTTCTGTGATGTGAGTGGAGCATTAGCTTCTAGAATTCAAGCATTTTTGTTTGAAAGGAGGTTCTATGGCTGTCAAATGAAAGATCTGAACCATGCCACTTAAAGTCTTTGAGGCATAAGGTTTTTAATAATGCTTCCGAGTTGACTTGGAAGAAACATTATGCAGTTATGACATTGTCATAGTTCACAATAGCAGAAGTTTTAAATCAAAACTTCTATCTATCCCTCCTTCTCCTAAACAAAGGAACGGGAACTGGGCAACCGAAAGCAGAAGGCACAAGTTTGAAAAATACCGAAAAGCAAAAATCTAGCAAGAAGACAGATGAGATGACAGTCTTTATGGATGACTTGACTTTGAGTTCACCAAAAGAAAGGTCTCGTTCAAGGTCAAGGAGCAGCTGTAGCAGAAGATCATCTTCAAGATCATCTAGTAGGTCATCTTACTCCACAAGATCAAGTTCAAGCACTTCCTCTTCCTCCAGAAGCTGGAGTAGGTCAAGAAGCAGATCAAGATTACGTGCTAAAAGGAATTGTTCTTGGAGGTGCAGAAGGTATTCAAGATCTTATTCCAGAAGCCGGTCAAGATCACGTAGCTACAAATACCGAGAAAGATACCATCCTAGATACCATAGGCGATACCGTCGCTCTCCTCCAAGATACAGATCACGTAGTAGGTCTCCTGGAAGACCGTGCTATAGAAGATCTTACTCTAGAAGCAGGTCAAGAAGCCGAAGATACTATGGATTTGGAAGAACCATATATCCTGAGGCTTATAGAAGCTGGAGAAGCCGTTCTCGATCAAGATCTCGCAGTAGAACCCCTCTTCGCTTGACTGAAAAAGGTATTGGCAGATCATCAATATATATTGGTGGAGATAGGATATTTTCAAACTTTGCTATAGAAAAAATATATCCCATCTTAGTTTAAAAAGTCCTGTCTAGAGACTATTGCTGTACTTTCATTAACTGATAGAAGTAGAGAGTTCTTCTCCAAGAATAGCTGTACATTGAAGTTACTGTGGTTTGGTTTGGTTTGGTTTGGTTCAGTTCAGTTCCTGTGCTCAAATCTTTAGTTGGCTGTAGAATCACTTGATGTGTTTGGGAAGTCATTGTCTCAATTCTTTAGTGTACTGTCTTTGAAAATCACCTCTACCCCCCAAGTATAAATTTAGCTTTTCTGCTCAGTCATCACTAACTTCCCTTTATCTTGCACTGTGGAACTTGTCTGAATTTCTTTTTTGGTGCTTTCAGTTAGTTTTCTATTGCATTTTAAACCCATGTCACCTAGAGGGCTGAGTACCTGCTGCTGTTTATTTGTTTTAGAAAAAAGAGAGCTACTGGAAATCGCAAAGGCCAATGCAGCAAAAACTTTGGGGACAGACAATGTGGTCCTGCCAGCCAGCTTGAAAATTGGTACAATATCAAAAGAAAGTGAAAGCAGAAAGCCAAATGAGGAAAGTGTAAAGACTATGGTAAGTGAAATGGTTATTCAGATGCTAAAACTAAATGCTTTGAAAAACATAAAAAAAATAGAGCTAGCCTTGTTTCATCAATTGAAAATAAATATTTGAAAATATTTTCAGAATGTAGTTAATATTTTTCAAGTTTGGAAACCAAATGGCAGATGTCAAATCTTAGCCTGTTGAGGTAAAGTTACCAAGTAATCCTAAACACCTGAGTTCTTTGAAAATGTTCTGAGATTTCCTAATGATTAAATAATAAAATAAATTACGTATTTTACTAGCTCTTCAATTTACTAGTTGGGGTCCTTTTTCATACGTTTTGCTGACCCAGATAAGGCTAATTTATATGGATGTTAAATTTCAAATGGTGTTCTAATACCTGTCACATTGTGATGCAACGAAAAGTTCCCAGAAATTCTTTATCTGGACACACAGCGCATTTTACATGCTTTATTTCTGTCTTATAGAAATCATGAATATGGTCTCCAGCACTGATGAAGAAAATCTGGTGGTAACTAAGTGATTGTGGGCTGTAGCCAAGCTAACTTAGGGGAGGGAAATAAAAACCAAGTTAGCAAAAGCTGCATTATATAACACATTTTCCAGAAGATTAGAAAGCTTTTACACAAATGAAATCCTATGGTACTCACTGTGAAATATCAGGGGCTTGTTCCATTTCTAAGTTAAGCAGGAATTTAGACAACTATAAAATGGTATTGGTAGCTCTCCCAGATGTGAAGGGGAAAATCAGAAGAATCGGACTTCACTGCAAACAAGATCTTCTAATCTTTATGAAGCTGATATGTAGGAGTTAATGATGTAACAATTATTTTGATTAAAAATATTACACTTCATCAATTCATCTTCCAAAATATCTAGTGAACACAGCATTAAGGAATGAATGAGGTTATACACAATATTTTCTGAAAACAGCAAAGATGAACTCCCCTCTTTAGTAGGCATTCATGCCTCACAATGAAGGAAAGAGCAGGGAATAGCCTGTTAGTTCCACACTTTTTGTTGCACTCTCTGTTGTTTCATCAAGTAGTGCGAAGGGAACTTGTAGTGGTGAGCCTTCTCTTCATGTGTTGGCTCCCCACACGTCCTGGAAAATTGTAATGGGGAGGGGGGCGCCTAGATACGAGTCAACCAAAGGCGCATACTTTGAGTCTGATCCTAACCATGTTTATTTTAAAGCCTGATAGCTTTAATGTAGGTTATTTTCAGACATGCAAGTTTAGGATTACAGCTGTAGTGTGTTAGAACAGATTTCGTTCTTTACTATGAGCTATGTGATTAGGTTTAAAATAGACCTTCCCTTTGAACAACCCAGAAAAAAATAACAGAAAATGCCAAAAAAGGGATCTGAGACTAGTATTACAGTGCAGGACAGTGCCTTTCTTGTACCTCTGAGATCAATAAATTGAATGTATATATATATATACAGAGAGAGAGAGAGAAAGAGAGTAGTTTATAGTTCTATTCAGAAGCAAGTACACCGAGTTCAGTGGCACTTCCTTCAAAATAAAAACATGCTTCCAACCTTTCATGTGAAAACTTAAATATAAAAAAATAAGACAGAATTGGTATAGGGGTCTGGAAAAACAAATCCTACATCTACTAATATGGTGCTCATTGCGATAATGGATTTTTGTGGAGATTTGATTTCTCATATATGATCTATTTTTAGATATTTTAATATGGATTGTGTAAAACATCACAAACCTTAAGAGTAGGGATAGAGAAACTGTGACCCTCCAGATACTGTTTAATTCCCAATTCTGTCTCAGCCAGTGAACAGGGATTATGCGGGTTATAATTTCACATCTGGAGGGCCACTGGTTCCCTATCCCAGTTACAGATAAATCAGCTTTAAATCTGCTTAGAACAGGCATAGGCAAACTCAGACCCTCCAATTGTTTGGGACTACAATTCCCATCATCCCCAACCACTGGTCCTGTTAGCTAGGGGTGATGGGAATTGTAGTTCCAAACATCTGGAGGGCTGGATTTAGCCTATGCCTGGCTTAGAAGCATAGGACAGGTAGCAATGTGGAGAGTGCTCTAATAGGAATTGAACTTTTTAGTCCTTACCTATGAGCGTTAAAGATTCAAGTATGGAAGTTTGCACAGGAATTTATCTTTAAGCAGCTCTGTATGTCTTCATACGTTGTTCTAATTGGATTATATCTTACAATTTATGTTAATTTTATTTTTCAGAATGCATTGTGGCAGGGTCACTGGCCCTAAAACCAGCAACTGTTCCTTTTAAAGAAGCCACACTGTCCTCGGGAAAAGACAAGAAAAAAGAGACCCCATCTGGTCAATGGATTCCTGTTGGGAATGAGGAAAATGTTATGTTCCATAACATTTCACCTAAAAGTACATCCTCTAGAGCATGCCAGTACCCATGATCTCTTTGAGCTGTTGAGGCATTATGGGGTTTGAAATCCTCTCAAAATTCAGGGTTTAAATACAGAATGCTTAAAACTGTATTAATTTGAGATTTGGTTTATTTTCCAGATATACTATGGGAGTTATATAGAGGTCCAGAAATTACAGGTTGGAATCTTTACATTTCTGTAAATAACTTTTCATGTGGCTGTAATAGACTAAATTACAGGTGGGTAACTTTTCTCCTTGTGAGTCATGTAGCAACTTCTAGTGTTTTATGTGAGTGTAGCTTAATTACTGTACTACATATAAAATTATTTTTTCTACACTTTTAATACTTTTCAAGTCAACACTTTAAAAAGTGTGAATTATGGCTCCTGGTGGTAATTCAGTTGGCTTGTGTAGCTTCCCACATTCCTGTTTAACCTGAACACCACCATATTTTGCAAGTGGCAGAAGGATAAGCAAATAAAATTCTACTTGTGCTCTTGAAGTGGCAAAACTTTGAATTTTCAGTTGCACAAGGTTAAAATATTTTTTGTCTGCTGTCTTGTTATGGAACCAGCATAATTGCTCTCATGTTGCACTTTTAGTTAGAAGTAAAACATTTGCAATGTCAGCTATGACCTTCTGAGCTTGTGCATGTTCTAAGTACAACTGCTAAGAGCCTAGTGCTAGATATATAAATTCTGGGTTTTTTGTAGTTTGCCCCAAAGGCTTATAATGTTGTAATGCAAACTGAAGGTAGAATTTAAGTAGACTGCCTTTCAAGCAGAAGGGTTTGGTTGGGGCAAAGTTTATGTCAGATGAAAGTAGGTATTAGGTAATCCCTATATTGTATGGATGTGTTGCTATTGCTAAATGTGATTAGTTCGTATGACATTTAAGGAGAAAGCTAGATTTTGTGACTTGACTTAAAAGCTAGAGATAAGATCACTTGCACAAGCAGCACCTTTCTTTTAATATGCATAAAACTGGACTACGTGTATAAAATAAAAACTTTTAAATAAACCTATCCTGAATATTGTGTGACATTTCTGAGCATTTATACTTAACAAAAGTGAATGGGATGTTCAAGGCCAAAGAGGTATGAGCAAGTTGCACTTTTCCTCGTAACTTTGGTACCTGAAAATGAGGCAGATTCTTCTGTAAACTTCGTCAACAAAATACAAAACAGCCAACCTAACATCCACTGCAGCAAATGTAATGTTCACGGGCTGAGATTGTGTAATGCTAGCACCATCTACTGGAAGCTGTGGGGGTTTTGCTGTGAGTTGCCGTGTTTATTTCCAGGCCTCTACTGTAGCCAGCATTGCCTTAATTGTACGACATCCAGGCTGAGTCGCCTGCTGCCTTGGAAAGTAAGGCCCTTCAGTAAAAGCAAAGGCGTAACAGAGCAGATGAACTTTTGTACTACCACTTCAAATCAAAATTGCTTTGGAACTGCAAAGCAAAATTATTGGCATTTGCAAGGTGAACTATGCCCTCTTTAACTGAGTTGTGCCTGAAGCATTTTGAATGTTAACATTTATTCAAAATTCTGCTATGAAGCTGAATCTTTAAATATTGTGAAGATGTCTCATTACTTCATCAAAACCAACTTGGAAAAGAGGAATTTATGGTTGGCTGCTAAAAACAATCCTTTCGTCTATATTCTGTCCTGTAAAGCACATCTGAAGAAAATCAAATGGGGTTTTTTTCCACAGTACTTAGCACCCCATAGTTTTTTTCCTGCCTGCTCCACCTTGCCCAGTGTGACCTCTCGCCTCCCACCCTCCCCAGGATCCCCATTATTTACCTTGGAGATAAGCAGTGCAGCCAAAGGGGCCACCCAAAGCACCCAGCTCAATGAGCCCTCTTGTGGGGGCGCCTCGGGCAGTGGCCAACTGCACTTCTGTGTCTGTTCACTATTTGCTGCCCCAAGCCCAGCTGACGCCCATCCTCTTGGTGCCAGGTGGCTCCTGCTGCAGTAGCTGCTTGCTGTCTCAGGACCACCATGCTCACACCACTACTCCAGAGCCCTGGTAGCCTGCGGCCCACGTGTTGGACCACACTGATCTAGAGTTTTTAGTTCACACTGCTGAAGATAAAGGAACCCAGGTTGTTGGCAACCCAACCTCTCAATTTAGGCACCTAATTTGTCACCTGGAACACAGTCCCATTGAAGTATGACTGTCCATCTTGAAGTAATCCTTTTGGGTAGTTTTTGCAAAGATAGGGTCTGAGTTGACTGAATGATCTGTTGAGGATCACTTGTGTCTTCACAATGACATGGGTGGTGAGGCCAGATATTTAGTTTCTTCCTAAAGCCAATTCAGTTTCAGAGCTCATGCTTCCTTGTTAGTGACATGGCATTCACCGGGCATCTCTGGCAGCTATTACAAAATTAAATTAACTAGGAACTGTGTCCCTGTTCGCTCTGATCTACAACCCTTCTGACATTCCCTCCATTAAAGCCCCATGAGCTTCCCCTTCCCACACTAAGCAACTGCTAAGCTTGCTTTCCCCCTTCCCAGCCCCATGTTCGAAGCCACTTCTAAAACCCTTTCACTCACATCCATGCCTTTTTTTGTGCAACCCCTTCCTTGCACACAACACATCCCCATGGTAACCTGCATCTTCTGCCGTCCACACATTGCAACTACCAACCTTTTAATCTGCCCAATTACAAAGTCACTACCCCCTATTCTTCAGTCCCTTTCATGCACCTGCTTTCATCTTAACCCACTCCTTTTCCCTCTGCCATTTTTTCAACCCTTGCACACCATTTTCATGCCTTATTCCCTCTCAAGCCCCTTTGTCCATACCCAATTATTACATTCACCCCCTTTCCATTTTTTAACTCCTGCATGCACCCCAGCTGATACTATGTATGCATCATAAACATACAGGATTGTATCTTAAGACCAAACCTTTCGGCTTGTTCGGTTAGGGAAGATTAAGTTCAGCTGATGGCTGCTGTACATATATGGGTTTTTGCTTGTTAAAAAATGCCTCATTTTATTATCTACATTGAATCTGGAACTTCATGTTGGAAGACAACACATGGAACAGGGTTGAAATACACTTGGGAAGGTGCTATGGGATATTTGAGGGTTCTGCATCCTTTGTGGCAATTTTCTTAGGTACACGACCATAGAGGGTGATTTTGGGCAGGGTTTGCAACAGCAAATTTTGTCACTTTAATTAGGTGAGCCACCCTTCCTAATTGGTTCAGGTTAGATTCATCCTGCTCTCTTCTGGCTTCTTTCTGCCCCCTCAGGAAAGGAATATTTACAGTAAGCGCCTACTGTTCTGGTAATCACTTTCCAGTTTCTTATAGCCACACTGATAACTTATGAAAACTATAAACTATTTTTATTTCAAATACAAGAACTGCGTGTGTATTGACAGTTATCAACATTCATCAATAGGTGCCACTGGCCAGACTGTGGAGTACCTGGTATGTGATGCCAGGTTTTACATACGTGTCTGGCAAATTTAGCAGCAGCTTCCTTCTCTAGCTTTCACTTTACAATAGTAGGAATTCTAAAACTGAACAAAGCAGTGAGTCCGTTTCTCCAAGTCACCTATAAGGAAGGTATCTTCTGGCAATTCATGTGTGACAAATACATGCTGCAACCTTCATGAGTGCATGGCCACCCCCAAGAGCCCTATTGGGCATTGCTGTGAGATTAGGCAACTCTTGTTATATTCTGGAGTCGTCCTGCATTCATACCAGGGAATAAAACACAGGTTATGTATCAGTGGGCGTGCAGGAGGTCCTCCAGTCCATTTTCCCCCCTTATGACTTGTAACACATGATCCTCTTCAATGATGTCATTATTCCCTTCTGAGGCACAGGATAGCAGCCACAAAACTCCATTTCCACCCCCACCCCCAAGTTAGGGGGGTTCATTTATTGCTTAGGCTTCCCTTTTTCTGATCCTTCTAAACTGCTCTTTCGTTAGCATGGAAACTGGAGGGAGTTGCCAGTTACTGAAGGTTTAATCACATGTCCCTGCCGCTCCTAGGCATTGGGAGGTGTTAAGCCATTTGTTTTCTAAGGGCCTCCTGTTTGTCCACTTGAAAGAACATCCGGGCAAATAACCAATGTTCTTCAATAAAAGCAATATTGGAGAACTGGGTACATATAACAGTACATAATTTTGCATTTCTAAAAGCACAAACCCCATATTGTTAAATCACACTTTGGTGCCTGCTAACCACATTTGGCTATTCAGGAATAAGTTAATCCCACTTGCTTCAAAGGCAGGGCTATGGAAATGATTTGCCTACTTTGGAAAGAACAGCCCTAACTCTTCATATTTTTCTTTGTACCACCACTTGGCTCCTTTACCACCACCACACATTTCCACTTAGTCAGCAAACCAGGCAGAGTTCTGCACTATCCGATTTACCACAAGAACAGGGGTGAGGATCCTTTTTCGGCCAGTGGCCAAAGTTTTCATCTCCCCAGCCCTGGTGGGCCAAATTTGACAGGTGGAACTTCAAAGCGCAGGAAGAAGTTTGTACTGGAATCCTGTTAAAGGGGAAAAGCTTTTAGCTGGATTTCTCTGCAAACTGCATCCTGAATTAGGAAGGTGCTGGCATGGAATCCTGCCAAGCTGAGCAGGATTTGACCCCTGCTCATCAGCTTTCTGTCTTGGCTGCAGACACCTGTTCTCTGCTGGGAGTATGTGTGCATAACCAAGGGAGGATTTAATTCAGCCCTCTTGCCCATCAACTAAAATCAACTGTTGACAGGCAGGTGGATATGGCTTGGAAAATGGCTTCGCAGGCCAAACAAAAACCTCTGGTGAGTCAAAATTAATCCATTTTTTAAAAATTTTACATAGTTGGATAACTAATTTAATCAAACCAACATACAACTTACAGGTTTACATTTGAGCTTGAGTAAAAATGCAGCCTTTTAGCATATACAAAGGCAGTGGTTTTCACGGAAACCTCAGATACATAAAAAAAAACCTGAAACAAATTTGCTTTAGCTGGAACCTAGACTTAAGATATGAAAAGGAACAGAAAAGGGGTTCTCTGCCAAAATTCAAATGATGGTTTTTCGATGGTTACATACCTACTTATGTTCAAGACAAATTTGTTCTTGAGGAGCAATACTTCTTGGACTAGCTTAATGTTCGTACTACCTTAGTTTACAGTTCAAGGTGCTTTTGCAAAACAGGTTTTACACTTAGGGAATTTTTGAAAAACCAGGCCGGCTACAGTGCTGAACCTGCCTCTGGAACTTTCTAGCTTAGACAGCTGTTCCTCTTTCCAAATTCTGTTTAATCTCTGCAGTATATTTCCCATAGAACCTCTCAGCCTTCTTGTTGAACTTGGCATTTCTTTCATTAATGTAGTCAATATCAGCATCATCATTGTATGATCGTCTCCGGCTGTATTTTTCACGTTTTTGGATTCTGGAAGGAAAATTAATGCAGTGAGACTGTGCCTAATGCAAACATCTGTTCAAGGATGATTTTTCTTTTTTTGCACAACTACTTTTTCAGCTCCAAATGCTCAAAGGAGTTTAAATAAGAATTAAAGTCAACAGAATTAAAGTCAATTAAGAGTCAAATTGTCAAAAAACCCAAATAGCAGGAGACTATTTAAAAGACCTGACTACTTTAAAAGACTATTTAAAAATGTTTTTACTTGTCTTTGAAAAAAAAAGGAGAACAGAGAGACAGATGGAGTTTCAATGGAACGGCCTCCCAGGTTTTGAGGCTATGACTGAAAAAGCTTTGCCACTCATAAGGATGAACTAAATGGCTGAAAAGGGTGGAAGCTGGAGCTGGACTTCATAAACAGATCTCAACATTTGTGTGCGGTGGGTGGGTGGGGGTGTCATACAGGACAAGATGCTCACAAAGTTCTTTTAAAAAGCTCCGACATTGTAATTAGTTAATGTTTCATTTGCTTTTGTACTTACTGTTTTTCAAGATCCGAAACCATTCTATCAACCCCTTCTTTACATGGCACGTGAGTTCCGTGGAGAAGGCTATTTGAAGTCGGAAATAAATCTTCGCCACTGAATGGGGGGGGGGGGGGAAACAAACCCAGACACTTTTACCAGTCCATTACTGACAGTATTAACATACATGTTTTCTAGATTTCATGCCCAGCAAGTCTCTAATCAGTTAATGGGGGCAAGAGATTTTCCTACTGAAACAAGTACAGTAATACCTCCCTGAACGTCTGCCTTGTCTAGCGTCCATTCAGGTGAACATCTGCGGCAAACCCGGAAATACCGGAACAGGTTACCGTATTTTTCGTTCCATAGGACGCTTCGTTCCATAGGACGCACCTACTTTTTGGGGGGGGAAATAAAGGAAATTTTTCCCCCTTTATTTCCCCCCCAAAACCAGGTCGGGGAACAGTGGGATGGCAGCGCTGCGCCTCCCCGTTGTCCCCCGAGCTTGTGAGGCTGGCCCATGTCTGCCCGGCGTGAGGGGCGCTCTGCTTCAGGGCGCCCCACCCGCCGGGCGGCAGGCTGCAGACACCTGCGCGAAGCACGGGGTGTCCTCCGGAGGGCGCCCCGTGCTCGGCGCTGCAGGCTGCCGCCCGCAAGCCTTGCGCTCCCGGGGGGGGAGATCCCCTGGGTGCGCAAGGCTTGCTGACACCTGCGCAAAGCACGGGGGTCCTGCGGAGGGCGCCCCGTGCTGCAGGCTGCTGCCCGCAAGCCTTGCGTGCCCGGGGGAACTCCCCCCGGGTGCGCAAGGCTTGAAGATAGCTTCCTGGAGCCTGGAGAGTGAGAGGCGTCGGTGCGCACCGACGCCTCTCGCTCTCCAGGCTTCAGCGAAAGCCTGCATTCGCCCCATAGGACGCACACACATTTCCCCTTCATTTTTGGAGGGGAAAAAGTGCGTCCTATAGAGCGAAAAATACGGTACTTCCAGGTTTGCTGCTTGTACAGAAGAGCTAAATTGCGCTCCGCGCATGCGCATAAACGCAAACTGCTCCGCGCGCGTGCGCAAACACGGCACTTCACCCTGTGTCCTTTTCAGCTAGCGGCTAGGGCTATGGAATGGATCCAGGCCGCAAAACGAAGTACAACTGTAGCCAGACATTGTGTATAGATGGGCTTTGAAGACACTCGAACCCAGGGCACAAGGGAGAAACGTGCTAAGAGGAAGGCACGCTTGGCAGATCCACACCGTGATAAACTCCTGCCCGGAAACAAATGTCCCCACTGTGGAAGGGCGTGTGGATCCAGAATTGGTCTCCACAGTCACTTATGGACTCATTGCTAAAACTGTGTTTATGGAAGACAATCTTACTCCGCTATGAGTGATCGCCAAAGAAGAATAGACAGTTGCCTTGACCTTTTGAAGCTTAGCTGGGACCTGTCCATTTAGCCACAGCAGGTTCTCTCACAAGGGTCCAGTTGATACAATCACCCAAGTGCAGATGGTCCTGCTGCTCTTTCTCACAGAGCAGTTGCAACCAATTACCCTTTTGCGAGAAGTGGAGGTGCACAGCATGCCTGGCAGTAGCAGCACTGAGTGGAAATAGCAATTCTTTGCTGTCTGCTGCTGCACCTCTACCTCACGAGGCATTAGGAACTGATGGCCTCTGTGAAGGACAAGGAGGAACCCAGCTCCTTCAAGTTATTCTCCAAGGTACCAGAACTTATGTCTTTTCTTAAGATGCTGTATTAATTTTTGCATTTGTATGCTTTTTATATAATAATAATAATTTTTATTTATACCCCGCCCTCCCCAGCCAAGGCCGGGCTCAGGGCAGCTAACAAGCAATAATAAAAACAAGTTGAATGATTACAACTTAAAAACAAAATTAAAATACAACATTAAAATATTGAAACATTAAAAATGTTAAAATGTAGCCTCATCGCAGGAGGAGAAAGGAAAAGAAAAAAGAAAGAGTGGGAGGGAGGGAATCAAATTGGCTCCAAGCCAAAGGCCAGGTGAACAACTCTGTCTTACAGGCCCTGCGGAAAGAAATCAGATCCTGCAGGGCCCTGGTCTCATGAGGCAGAGCGTTCCACCAGGCCGGAGCCAATGTTGAAAAGGCCCTGGCTCTGGTTGAAGCTAATCTAACTTCCTTAGGGCCCGGGACCACTAGGGTGTTGCTATTTATGGACCTTGAGGCTCTCCGTGGGGCATACCGGGAGAGGCGGTCCCGTAGGTACGAAGGTCCTAGGCCGTGAAGGGCTTTAAAGGTCAAAAGCAGAATTTTACAATTTTAGAATTGTAAGTCACTCTGACACACTTGATGTAAGTGACAAATAAATGTTAATAATGCTAATACTAATAATATGGGGCAGACAAAATAAGACTTACCTTTCTTCTCTGAGTTTTTCATATTTCTCCAGGTCAGGTCTGATCTGCTTGGTCAACCTCTGGTACTGGCGTAACTGAGCTGCTGCATAATCTATGAAGTAAAAAAAAAAAAAGTCTATTGTACTACTAAACATAATCACTTGTTAATAAAAGCTCTTGATTTTATTCACACTCAATGGCTGGAACAGATGCGGCCAAACACCTTCTTACCAGAAAATCCAAGATCAGGATTTTTCTTCTTCCTCTTCCTCTCAAATCGTTCGGCATCCTCTGCGCTGATTTCTAACAGTTTCACTCTCTCATAATCTTCTCCTTTTGCCACACACTCCTAGCACACAGCAAGAACATATTGATATTTTGAAACGGGTTCTCTTTCAGCACAGTGAACTTTCCCAAGGCTAAATGCGTTCTGCCTGTCAAAATATAACCAAGACTGTACGCCCATGCACAGTTACTGGAGGGATGCACTCTGGCTCCTGCCATTGGTAAGAGGACCTGGGACCACTAGAAGACTGCCCCCTGCCTCCCAAGAATATCATCAAGGGGGAGACCAACCTGACCACATCCATTGGCCAGGGAAGGGACAACTGTTTGCTTACCTTTTTCTTTTCCTCCACTTTTAGTTCCCATTCTAAACGTGCCTTTTTTGCTTCCCAGTTTGTTGGCAATTTCAGCCTTTTATCTTCCTCCACAACCTCCTGGTGATTTAACTTGCGGGCTTCATTCTTTTAAAAAGGAGAAGAAACCAGAAAGATGTTTAGAAAACACGAGTTTACTACAAGTAAAACAAACATGCTAAAGAAGATCATCCTCTAGGGCAGGCGTCTCTAAGTCAGAAATCTTTGATCCACCATAAGTTGCTGATCTAAAACTCCCATCGGCTGCAGCCAGCATGGTCAATGATCAGGGATGCTGGAAATTGTAGTTTACCAACATCTGGAGGGCTAAAGGTTCCCCACACCTGATTTAAGGCATCAGAAAATTTCCCAAAGCAAACTGATTTTTTTCTGACTCAAACCTGCATTTTAAAAACCCATTTTAGTGGAGCCCCTAAGCAATTGTTAGGATGTAAATTCTCATGCTGGTTTACTGCTACATATGCACTCCCTCCAAGCTAACAAGCAGGGACCAGAACTGTTAGCACCAACCCCATAATGAGAGATCTCACCCTTTTCAAATGAAGCTCTCTGAATTTCCTAAGTCGCTCCTCTCTCTTCTGTGCAGCCATCTCTTCTGTTGTAATGGAAGCAGGTTCTTCTGATGTGTCAGAAGTAGCCTGAAAAGTCACCCACACATGTTAGAAAAGAAAGATCTGCTTTTGAGATTAAGTGTTTAGTATACGAATATAAGGAACGGTTATACTCTCAGGACCATGGAAAAGTTCTATTAAGGCATCCAAAAAACATTAAGCATGTACATTTCCACAAGAACAATGTAGGACCACAGAAGCTTTCAAGCTATGTCCTTAGAAAGCTGTCCTTAGCAGTAACAACAACGAAAGAGGAAGCTCAATGATGATATTTATAGCACACCTCACCTATCATGTTAGGCAGACTGAAAAATAGAGAAAGTGAACAAGACCCCCCAAACACAAGAGCACAAGAAAAAGCAAAATCCATGAAAATAGCCCCCAGTGCTGGCAATGCATATTCAGTTGCAACAAGGCATCTGAACTACTTGGACTGGTCATGATGCCACATACATTAAAGTGTTCCCAACACAGACCTCCTGCTGCTGTCCGCATTAAGGCAGCTGCGGAAAAGCTTTTAGAGAAGCTGCGGAAAAGATCAAACTGGAATTCTCTACAACATTATTTCACATGGCTCTATTTAGGGTGACATTGCAATTTTAATTATTTTAAGTTACCCCGAGTAATTTGTATGGCTCAGAAGCGTAGGCTATAAGCTCTTATAAAAGGAAATCAATAAATGTCTCCTCCCTGACAATGCCAGAGCCATTTCCCGTCCATGCTGTACCTCCCGCAGCAGTGACAAGAGAGATAAAGAGAGATTAAAAGATCCGGCTTTCCCCATCCCCAAAAACATCCCTTCGCCATCAGCTCCTGCCTCGGGGTTCCTCAGCACCTCCTCACCTCCAGGTCGATCCCTTTATCTACCATCCCCTCCTCTCAAACCTCTCCCTTCCCCAGTTCAGAGGCGCCCTCAGCCGTGAAGCTTCCTCATCCTTCTCCTTTCTTGGTCGGCCATTTCCTCCCCAACACTCTCCTCTCCTCTTCTCTCACCATCCCAGGCGAAGAAACACCAAGATCCTCTACCGACGCCATCTTCCTCTTGCCGTGTTCGTAAACAATGAAGCTACTTCCTGGCTTTTCCCTCTCCCCGTTCCGCCTCTCCTAATGACGTAGACGCCTCCTAATGACGTCTAGACTGTAAAAGGAACAAACAGTAAAAGGGGGGGGCGGGGGACGACAGCGCACGTATTAAGGAGACGCATGCGCAGTCTCTGTCGGCCTCGTGAGCGGCCGCCACTCGTCACAGTTGCGCTGCAGCGACGCCACAAGACTGAGGAAGGAACTGCATAGCATAGCAAAAAAGGAAAAAAAGGCGTAAGAGTATGGACTGTATCAGGAAAGGTATGTATAAAGCCAGGGTTACCATACAGGCACGGCAGATCCACTTCCTGTAATTCCGATCAAGAGCACCTATTTAATGAAGTAATTTTAAATTCCCTTTTAAAATCCCACTCAAAAGTCATTACCCATAAAAATCCATTCCCCCCCCCCAAGCTATGCTTACAAATGAACATGGGATGGCAGTATAGTTCTAAATATTCATCCACAGATGTTAATGGAATAGAATTTGATCATTAAGTAGACGGGTCACCTTTTCTTTTCAGCTCTTCTGTGACCAAGGGCACAGCGCCTCAGAGGAGATGCAGACTGCCTTTCTCATGAAAATATTTTTTTTAAAAAAATGGACACTGGCCTTTGGTCATGTGCAGTTCTTCCCCCAGAAACCTGCTCCGATTTTGAGCAAACGTAAAGTGGTTTGTCGCTCTGAGAGTACACACCGGAACATTTAAGATCATACGCAACTAAGTTCTGCTCAGAGTAGACCTACTGAAATTAATGGACCTAAGTTAGCCAAGTCCATTCTTTTCAGGGGGTCTACTCTGAGTATGCTGGATACAAGTCATTCTAAATATTTACTTAACCAGTAGACTACTTTTCCTTATCTATATGTTGTTCTAAACATTTAGTTTCCACCAGAGAAATGCCTTTAAGCTCTTCTGTGTAAAGGAAATTGCGCCACAAGTAATATATATTAGAATAAACAGTAGGGGGAGTACAACCCTGGAGGAATACTATTATGGCCTATCCACAACGGCCTCCTTATTCTTGTTGCCCCATAAGAACAGCAAGAAAAGAGATAGATAATCCACACGATAACACCTGACAACATGATGCTGTATGCCTGCCTCACTTCAGCACTCTTAGTACAGTAATCAATTGTTTAGCAAGTGACCTGTTCAGCGCAACGTTAATTTATTGATCAAACAACCTAGAGATAGAAAATGAATACAAGTCAACCAAGGAGAAATGTTTAAAGACTTGGGGGGGGGGTATCCAATGTTAGCCTCATTGAAATCAGTCTCACACTTTACTAACCTGTTGTTCTTGAGGATCGGCATCAGCGTGGCATTCTGACCAGGCAGGTAGATTTAGGGCTACATGGCAATCTTATCAACAAGGTGAAACCAGTACCTGAGTGACAGGGAGGGAGAATCTGTGGCCCTCCAGATATTGTTGAACTCCAGTTTCCATCAGTCCCAATCAGCATGGCCAATAGGGATGATGGTAATTGTAGTTCAAAAACATCTGGAGAGCCACATCACTCCTGTATGATATGCTGCAGTTGATGTTTTACTGCTGCCTTCTACGAGGTAATATGAGATATATTCCATTATTAAGTAATTTTATAGACACCAGTCAACAATATACTCTTCCTGGTCAGCAGCTAATTTCAAGGAAGGTTCGGAGAGGGAGAAGTCTCCCTCAAAGAGAGCTGTTCGCTAGTCTTGCTATATCTGTAATTGCATCCTTATACAGACTTTTCTTGTCTCTGGCTTTGAAGCTGATGAGTCAGATTTGGCCTTGGGACCTCTAATTGCTGACCCACATCAGCATCCATGGAAAACCATGACTTGACAAGGTTGTACAAGGTGATGGAGACTTGTTTGATTTACCTTGGGGAATCTCTGTGAGTAAAGAATTCACTTATTTGGAAAGTTAAATGTCTGTGATTTATTCTAGTCTAAGTATTTTAATGGGGAACATTTGTTTAAAGGTGGGTGAAGGCAGATATAAATCTGCCAAGATGTGTGAGACCCAGCTCAATCATGGCTGTAGTAAGATGGGAATATAAAATGATTCTTTGGAAGTGAGAGCTGGACCATAAAGAAGGCTGATCGCCGAAGAATTGATGCTTTTGAATTATGGTTTTGGAGGAGACTCTTGAGAGTCCCATGGACTGCAAGAAGATCAAACCTATCCATTCTTAAGGAAATCAGGCCTAAGTGCTCACTGGAAGGACAGATCGTGAAGCTGAGGCTCCAATACTTTGGCCACCTCATGAGAAGAGAAGACTCCCTGGAAAAGACCCTGATGTTGGGAAAGATTGAGGGCACAAGGAGAAGGGGACGAGAGAGGACGAGATGGTCGAAGCTACCAGCATGAGTTTGACCAAGCTGCGGGAGGCAGTGGAGGACAGGAGTGCCTGGCATGCTCTGGTCCATGGGGTCACGAAGAGTCAGACATGACTAAACAACAACAACTGGGATGAAGAACCTCTGTGGCCCTCCAGATGTCATTGGACTCCAGCTCCCATAAGCCCCAAGCAGCACAGCCAATGGTCAAGGATGATGGGAGTTGTAGCTTAGCAATGTCTGGAGGACCATAGGTTCCTCATTCCTGCTTTACAATTAAAATAAGATGAGGCGAAATGAAGGCGGGGGGGGGGGACTGTTGGAGAAAGAGGTTTGGAAGAGAGAGTCCTTACTCTCTTGTAGTAGAGTCACACCATTTTACACAATGGGGATTGCTCCAGGCACAGTAAAACTTGGTTAGATTTATATCTGCCCTCACCCACCTTTAAACAAACGTTCCCCATTAAAATACTTAGACTAGAATAAATCACAGACACTTAACTTTCCAAATAAGTGAATTCTTTACTCACAGAGATTCCCCAAGGTAAATCAAACAAGTCTCCATCTGCTGGCAGTGAAAGAAAGGTGAAAAAGGTTTAAACAACTCCCAATGAAAAGTACTTGGCTTCCTTCCTTCTGGGTTGCACGCTCATCTCGCTCTATAGGCCGAGGTAGCCAGCGTTTGTCCGCAGACAGCTTCCTGGTCATGTGGTCAGCATGACCAAGCCGCTTCTGACGAACCAGAGCAGCGCACAGAAACGGCGTTTACATTCCCACCAGAGCGGTTTATCTACTTGCACTTTGATGTGCTTTCGAACTGCTAGGTGGGCAGGAGCTGGGACTGAACAACGGGAGCTCACCCCGTCACAGGGATTTTAACTGCCGACCTTCTGATTGGCAAGCCCTAGGGTCTGTGGTTTAGACCACAGCGCCACCTGCGTCCCTTGTATGAACTGTAGTAACTGTATATTACAATGAAAACTTCCTAGCTATGAGCTTGGTTCAGCAGGGTAATAAAAGAATCAGAGTGAACTGGGGAACTTTGAAAGAAATTGCTTGGGAAATGGTTCATTTGCACACAGTGACTGCATTTTGATGTCATGATAAACTATGGTAGGGATGGGGAAGCTGTGGCCATCCAGATATTGCTGGATCAAAACTCTTATCATCCTTGACCATTGGCTATGTTGACTGTGACCGATTGGGGTTGGAATCCAACGAGAACTGGAGGACTCCAACAAGTTTAATATGACAGGACTGAATCTGTGTGAGCCTCCTCCAGCATGGCTGTGAGGTGGAGCTTGGAATCTTTCACCCCCATCTTTGTTTCACTGAGGCTTGTCATGTTGTTCAAAGCTGACAAAGTGTGGTTAATTATAACTATGGTTCCTTGAACCAATTCAGCTTTGTAAGCCTTATAAGCCATGCTTTGAAAGTGGTTTGATTCAAGCAAACCATAGTTATAGATTTAGGTATAACAGCCCCCACTCCCACCGAGCCTAAGGGTATTTATTGTCACAATAAACCACAGTTTGTCATAACGTCCAAATGCAGCTAATCTCAAAAGTATCCTTGAGCTCCATGACTGAGCAAAGGTGAAGTAAAAATCCCTGTGCCTAATGCACTACACAGCCTCCTTAAATCAAAGTTTTAATAAATGTTATGTTGAGTAGAAGTGCTTTTAAAGTGTGTGTAAAATGGTTTCGGTGCTGGTGAATTTTCATGAGGACTTAAGAAAAATCGCAAACCAATGTGGAAATGTGAAGAACTGAACTTAAATTTTGAAAAAATGAGAGCAAGAAATGGAAATTGGCAGATTTGCACATCCATAACCTCATTGTTTTACTCTTTCATTTAGGTTCAACAAGATAAAAGGGGCATTGGATTGCTTTCACTGGCTTTCTTAACTCTAAAGAACTTTGAGAAGAGAGCAAGTGAAAATTGTGAGTAGAAATAAATACCTACCTATTTTTTTGGGGGGGGGTGTCAATACCTCTTTAATTTACATCCTGACTTTTTTTCCCCTGTTGGACTGCAATTATAATCATTCAAAGCCCACAGACACATAATCGTTTGGCCGGGGAGCAAAAAGACCCTGACTGATGCGCTTAACAAAAATTAACCTGGTTAGAGTGGTACTCTGTTGAAAATGAGAAAGTGCAGGGGATCAAAATCAATGCCTTCACAGCCAAATGACTGCAGGACTGGCTTTGAATTTCAGCTAAATGCCCTTAAAATGATGATCTTAATTGCATTATATTAAAGCCCCTGATCAGATAGTTCAGATGATGATAATCTATCATATTGGATGTGGATGGCAAGGGGAAAAGGGGAGATGATATCTCTTATGCAGAGGTTGGCTCAGGATCTCCACGCGCTGCCCAGAGCTTCCCAAGGCTAGGTTACCCATGTCCATCTTGTTGGGCAACAGCTTTCATCATCCCTGATCATTGGTAGTCTTGGGTGTTGGAGCTGTTGGCAGCTGGAGTCCAGCAACATCAGGAGGGCCCCAAGTTCTCCATCCCTGCATAGCCTCACAAAGAGTTTGCAGGCATCCCACACACAAGAAACTTAGAGAACACATTGTGCCTGGAACAGCTTTGGACCCATTTATTAACTTGTAGCATTGTATGATTATTTGTACGTGTGAATTGACCATCTATAGATAGCTTATTATGCGGCTTTGATTGAAATACAGTGGGTTTTTCTTAGCAGTACAGAGGAACCTCGTGTTACGTACCGTCCTCCTTATGAATGCTTCAGGTTAGAAGCTCTGCTATCCCAGAAGTATATGCTCCTGGTTGCAAACTTTGCCCCAGGATGCGAGCGGAAGTCACGTGCCGGCGGCGTAGCAGCAGGAGGTGCCATTAGTGAAAGTGTGCCTCAGGTTAAGAACGGTTTCGGGTTACAAACGGACCTCCGGAACGAATTCAGTTTGTAACCAGAGGTACCACTGTAGCTGGGCAGCAGACTGAGCAGCCACAGAGTTAATCTCTAGAGCCACATCTCCCGCACGCTATGGGGAAATGTATTTCTTCTTAAATTACAACCAGCATTATAATTTAATTCCCAAACATAATTTCCAAGTTTGAACCTAGCTGTATAAATCAGGGTCCTTGCGGCGGCTTGATGTGTAGTAAGTGGCCCCTCTAGGAAGAGCCCTGGGTTGATCAGTCCAAAAGCCCATCTCATCCAGCACCCTGGGAGGAATTCATTGTAGTTCTAACTTAAAGGATCTCAGTTGTGTACCAGTTGCACTAGCAGAATGGCTTGCACAAGACAAGGCACAGGAAGAGGAGTTGCAGGCCCATCTAGCTCAGTGTTGCCTACACTGACTGGCAGTGGCTCTGTAGGATCTCAGACTGAGTTCCCTCCCAGCCTTACCCGGAGATGCCAAGGATTTAACCTAGGACCTTTTGCATGCAAAAGAGATGCTCTCCCACTGAACTAGTTCCCTTTCCCAAATGTGAGCCACCAATGCATTTCCATTCCATGTTTGCCTGCATTTTTGCCTGCATGTTTGCCTGCATTTCACACATGTGCAGCGAGAACCTCTGCACAGAAACTACACAGATTCCAGCGTGAATTCCCGGGAGCAGTTATTTGCATTGTTAGCAAATCTGCTTCTTGCAACCTGCCCTTTCTTCCTTCTTAGCCAATATTTGATCATCTCCCCATCGCTGCTGATAAATTACTATGATATTTAAAGATCTTCTTGAGCTTTGCTGAGCGATGCCTCTAAGTGGCTTGAGAGTGGAGATTTTGCTTTGCAGTACCACTCGTCATCTTCTGGTGGGTAAAACTCTTTTCCTTTTTAAAAGCCGGAACCTTGCAGAGTTTCCTGCAGAAGAGGGGCGAAAGGCATTAGCTCTGCATTTAAAATGAAGCAGATTTACAGTATATATCACAGAAATATAGAATGTCAGTAGCAGTCAGCAAGGACTCAAATGCCCATAATCTTTCTCTCTCTCTCTCTTCTTTCCGGAGTTTAGGACTCTATGATGCAATCCAACAGAGAGTTAAATCCTTTAACATTTTGGTCCTGCTCTAATTTGGGTTCATCATTATGTCAAAAATGGTTCAATTCCAGTATATTGTTATGAGTTTTGGCTGGGGGGAAGGGCTAGGCTGAATGCCTGGGCCCCCTTCTAATTCCTAGATCCAACATTGAGTCAAGGAATAGCCAGCCCAGCCTGGGAGATGGATCGCTAAGTGACCGACGGAAAGGGGGCTCTATGCCAGATGACAAATGGATGGAGCCCCTCCAGCTCTTAGATAGTTAAATGGACAAAGCCTAAGTTTGAGGGCAGAGTTTGCTGTGATGTGGCCCAGAGGGAAAAGCTGCAGGCTGGAGAGAAAATCCAGAACAGATTTAGGGGGTGCACAGAGGGTGTTCTGTTGTGCAAGCAGGAATCCTTGTGTTGACGGAAGAGGGGAGTTAGCACCACATTGGATTCCACCCTAAATATTTAACTTGAGCTACTGCATTTAATAATAGAGAGGAAGAAACACAGACCAAACTGGACATGATGAAGGTAATGTGGCCCTTGGACTCCTCTGTCTGGCCCCTGGGACCCTTCATTCCTTCCTCTAGCTCTTTTGCCTGATTGAAATGTGTCCTTGAACTGTGACAATGCCTTTTGTTTGCCTGGATGCTGTGATGTGTGGGGTGTGTGTTTAGAACCTTCTGATTTAGTGTGGATGGAGTGTGGCCTTCTGCACAAAAGTAAGAGTCAAATCTGGAATGCCTTCCCTCAGGTAATTTGTGAGGTGGAGACAGTAATGGCCTTTAAGAACCTCTTAAAAATGTGTGTTTTTGCACCCTGACACCTAATTCTCCATTTCATACACATCTCGGCTTTATGGACGACATGGTTTTCAGCTAGTTTTTAAGAAAGTTTTATTGATTGCCATTGTTGTATTCTTTTTAAAAAAATGTAAACTGCTTAGAGATTTTCAAAAAATATTATTCTCAATGGTATTATACACAAAGAAAAGTCCCAAAGAGACTTAGCTAGAGTTGGGAAGGCCTGGGGAAAACCCAGAAAAATAGGGAAAAAACCCAGGTTTTTTTCTGGAAAAATTGGGGGGAAAAAAGTATGTGGAATATTCAAACAATAGCAAACTGTTTTTTTTCTTTTCGTTTTTTTCCAGAAAAAAGGCTTTGGAAAAAACCCTGGTTCCCCCGCCCAGCCCATTTTTTTTTTTGTTTTTTCCGCAGGCCTTCCCATCTCTAGACTTAACACGATAAAATATGAAGAAGTAAAATCAGTTAAAAGTCATTTTTTTAAAAAAAAATGTGAAAACAACGTCCAGTACAAAATTCCTCAAATGCTTATTGAACTTTACAATAAGAACAACAAGTCCTAAAATGTTATGCAGCACACATATTTCCAAATAAATAAATGGTTGCTCTGCCCCCCCTTGTCTTTAGCTCCACCTACTTTTGCCTTTGGCTCCACCCATCACTGGCATGTGACCCCTGGAAGGATTTCCATGAAGGGATGCGGCTCTTGGGCTAAATATGGTCTCCCACCCCTGGTATTATGACTTGGGTAGTAACTCTTGGCACCATAATAATGGTGTGAAGATTGTATTCTTGTTTTCATTCATGGAGGAGATGAGTGACAGCTGATGGAAATGGAATGCAGGAGATGGTAAACCTTTGGCATGATCCAACATGGCTGTTCATTCAGAAGACCCTCTTCATGTCCACAGTGCCTGGGGTGTGATAACAACAACAACATAGCACTTGGTTGCACGAAACTGTTTCTTTGGCACTCAGAATTCCAGGCACAAATATTTTTCAGGTGCCTGCTGTCTGCCTGCAGGACAGTAACACAGATTGGGCCCTCCCCACCCTCACGTTGGGGGCATTGTGTCACAGGAAATGAGCAAAAGGAGAGTAAACTCTCCAGGCACCAAAGGGAGGATAATGTAATGCTTCCCTCAGATCAATGTGGATTTTGGTTTGCGAGTTATTAGGCCAAGGTCATAAACAACCCCTGTGACCACAAAAGTAAAAGAAAACAATAAATCTCGGGTTTATCTCCTGTGCTGCCTTTTCACTACTACTTCTTATTTTTCTCTCACACACACCCTTTGAACCAAAAAACACCCTTAAGCATCTATTAAATATTGCAGAGGCCACACTTGTATGTGCGAAGATAGAGTCTGGAGGATTTGGACTATGAATGAGGATTAGAGTGACCATGTGCCCTCCTTTACAGAGGACAGTCCTCTCTTTGAAGTAGTCTTCTACTTGAAGGGCTGCATGGTCCATGTCCTATTTATAAAGAACCGTAAGAAGGGAGTGTGGAGTGGGACAAAGAGCTTGAAGTAGTTGCCCTTTGACAGTTTGCAGCACCTGGACAGCAGTTTGAGCAGGCACACACAGGCCGCCAGGTCAGTCATCTTCACTATGGTGTGATGTATTGTCCTTCTATTTAAATAATTGTAATTATTTATAAAATTGCACTTATGCTACATACAGAGACACACACAAGCACATGGGTCTGCCACCCCTGCTCGTTCCATTTGCCAACCCTACTTGCCCCTTTGCCAACCCCCTTTCTCCACACCTGGCCAACTGCAACGTGACAACAGCCTTACATTTGTATGTATATAAGGAAGACACCAATTTTTATGCAAACACATGCCCTCCATGGTTCACTCTTTTGGCAGTCTAAGTGGCCACACTAAGGAGCTTTGAGCCTTTGATTTCCAGCATCTCCTTCAAATATAGAAAGTTGTTTCAGAGTAAATGGGCCAAAGGCTCCATTCAAAGGAGGCTTGCTCTTTGCACTGGATCATTTACCGAGCTCTGGGGTCAGGGTCATTACCCTGATTCCTCTTCATTTAGGGCAAGGACCCAGGCCACCCCCTTAAGCCACACTTTCCCTGAGTGTTTTTGCCTGGCTGGAAGTTGCCCTTGAACTCTGAGAATGCTTCTTGCTTGACTGAATGGAGGATACTAAGTTGTGTGTGTTAGAAACTAGCTTACAATGCTAAGGTAAAATGCACATTTGTTTATCTGACCTCTTTTGCATTTGGCCCCACTCACTATGAGGATATGGCCCCCAGAAGGTTGCCCAGTAGAGAATATGGCCCCCAGGCTGAAAAAGATCTTAATTCTGAGTAGACATGCATGGGATTGCATTTTAAGAGTGTCTGAATAAAGGAGGCGAGAGTGGGAGAGAAAAACCTTTGAATGTTGTGTTTATACACACGGGTTGTATGGAGTGTTAGGGGAGAGATAGTACCACTGGTGGGGGACACATCATGTTTCTTCTGGGGTAGTTTGGCCAATTTTGGTCCCCACCCTGCACTCAGCTCTCACTTGTGGCTCCTAGAAGCTGTCAGCATGCAACAGGGGCCACACTTGGGAAATGGCTATCTGACTGGCTAAACCAGGTGAGGGTAGCTGATGGGTCTGAAACCCTTGGTGAATTAGGAACTTCCCCTGCATGTGAAGACAGGCTCTGGCGGATTGAGCAGATGAGACCAATACTGGGCCCAGTGTTCAAGAAGGTGGTTTATGCACATGCTGTAGAGGGAAGTGGTGGGCAGTTGGGGCTCGTCAGCATGAGAAGGTAGTCCATCTAGGAAAAGAAAGACTCTGATCCTAAACCTCTGCTGCCTTGTGGGATATCTTTGGGAGAAGAAAAGGCTAAGGAGTAAACCCTACACAAATCTGGAGTGGAGTCCCTAAGACACTTGGATGGAGCCTTGTACGCCTTCTTCTGTCAACTCCTGCAGCCAAGCTGGTGCCAAATGTATTGCTCTGCTTTTCTTTGGTCCACATCAGGAAGGCCAGGTCTTGTCATCTGGGCATCCCAGGACCTCCATACTCACTGCCCAGGCTTGCGACCTGGGGAGGTTACTTCAGTGCTGCTATCGCAGCGCTTTGACTCCCCCCCCCACGAGAGGCGCACTCCATTGTCTCTAAAGACAGACAGATGCCAACAGCAACATGAGACAGCCTTTCTGTGCCACCTGTTAATGTGTAGCTACTACTCTTGGTGCAGCACATTCCAGAAACTGAGAGCAATCATTTGTTTGTGCCAAATGAAACCTTACTCTAATGGATCACTAGAGATGGGAACCCACACGCTGTCCAAAGGGCCACCTCCCCCTGGCCTGTTCTAATGGCATAGTTTGTGAACTTCTCTCTCCTACCCCCTACCTTGCCCTGCCCCTTTACTTGAAAATATGACCACATCATTTACTTTCCTGCTTGGGCACAAGGCAGCTTTGACAAAAACGATTGAGAGCGAGCGGAATGCAGCATTAAAATAACAACAACATGCATTTTAGTTGCCACAAAACTGAACTGAAAAAAACAAAGACAAAGCAGCACCTAACGATTGCTCTCTTTGCATTTGTTTTCTACCAATATCTATGTCAAAAACACACTCTAGTTGTCAATAAACATTAAAAAGACAGCTGGGGGCCAGCCTCTAGCTTCCATGCAGCTTCTTTAAAAATGGGAATTGACTATGATTGATCATTTTTGCTGAGAGAGGAGGGGCCCCTTCTTGTGGCCCAGTCTGGGTACCTGAAATTCATGATGACTGAAAGCAAAATTTCACTTCCACGAAGCAGCTTTTGAATTTCTTGAATGTCTGGGGGTCAGTGTGCTATAGGTCACATGTGAAGAGCAATTGGACCTCTGTAAATACACTCCAGTTCCCCCTGTTTCACAGCAACAACCTCCTATTTCCTTGCACTTATCCCTGGTAAAACACTGTTCCTTTTTTGCTTTTAGGAGAGGTGTTGGGTACCTCTGCTTTTGTATCTTGTTTAGGGACTGGCAAATCTGTCACAGGTGGTAGACCGAGGACTTTGAATAGGACTGAGAGCTAGACACCAGGTTTCCCCATTGTAGCCAATCTGCGGTAGATAAGGACCCTCTGCTGCACTCAGATGGCCTTCAAGTCTACGCACGGAAACCAATAAGTACATGGCATTTAAGTTCCCTTGGTGAGATGAAAATAAGCGTGCCTGCAATGGTGTGAGTTGGTACAACTGCATGTCTTTGGAAGCTGCAATTTGGAGTGGCTGTTTTTAAATGCCATCCCTTATGCAACACAGAGCCTCCAGATTTCAGTTCTTGTATGCCTCTTTGCAAGTGATGACATGTGCCGTTGCTACAGTGGGAAGAAGATGGGGAAGTCTGTCCCATTCAAGCAACAGTCTTTCATTCAGTTAAATGAAGCCCCCTGCCCTGGATGCTTTCGACTGAGTTCATTAAAATAAAACGACTCTTGCTAGATGTGCTGCTCATTTGCTAACATTGATTCCTTAATCGCATTTGACACTCTACCCTAGACTCTCCATTTCCTTTAACAGACATACATGGTTATGATTCTTGTTCTGGTGAAGTAATACTCTGATAGATCACCTGATAGGCAGAGCAGGGAAGCGGCTGAAAGGGAAAATAGCCTTTCCCAAATGATACAAACATGCATGCAAATTTATAGGCATCTGTTGGCGATACCAAGTGTTTGTTTGGCAGAGAAACTGACTCTTCATGTGGAGATCCTTGCACGCAGAGATCCTTCTGCATCAGCCTTCACCGGCCTGGCAGTGGGAGGTGTTCCATCAGGGAAAATGGGGCACTGCTTCACCAACCTCATTATTAATTCCTCTAAGCCTACCTGCCTGTCTTCTTACTCATAAGTAGTCCAGTGACTGGACCTATGTGCTTGCCTCCTTCTCCTTAGCCTCAGCGTTGGCTTTGTAGAACTCTCAGAAGAAGGATGGGGATAAAACTAGAATTAACAGACAAAAACTAGAATGTCTCATTATGTCCAGCTGCACCTACTTTTGGGCTCCCCGCCTCACCAGGCCCAATGGGCACCAGTCACTTCTGATACCTGGTGCCCTCCAGATGTTCAGACTACATTTCCTAGTCCCAATGTATCTAGCTAGCATGTGGTCCAAACTGGGGTTGCAGTCCAAAACATCTGGCTGGTGACAGCTGATATACATATTGTTATGAGTTTGGTGGGCTCAGTCTGGATGATTCCCCAAGTTCCTTCCGGTTCTTGAGATTCTATATCTTTGGGGGTAGACTGTATCTGACCCAGCTTGCCAAACCAGTTCCTTTGTCTAGGTAACAACTTTGGTTGCAGAGTTAAGTGCCACGATCGGCAAATAAGATACTCTTTGCCATACAACAAATGGGTGGGCATTCCCACCCCTCACATAACTGCTAGACAGGAGAACAAAAGCCCTAGAGAGTGGTATGTGAGCTGAGCGGGAAGCAGGCTGGAAGCTGGATACACAGATACATGCTTGCTTTCTGCTGGATCCAAAGCTGTGACTAACAGAGAGGCAATATCTTTTGGGGTGTTCATGCTGTGAGCCCCTCCAGCCTATGCTCAGGTTGTATATATGTGTAAACAAAGCCATATATCTTAAAGAAACCACAGCCTCTGCTGACCTTTGTTCCCAGGAAACTGAACTCTGGACAAATGCCGGAATCCCTAGAATATCTTACTGCTTGGAGATTGGGGTGGTGTGTAAATAATACAGTGGTACCTCGGGTTACAGACACTTCAGGTTACAGACTCTGCTAACCCAGAAATAGTACCTTGGGTTAAGAATTTTGCTTCAGAATGAGAACAGAAATTGCCCGGCGGCAGTGGGAGGCCCCATTAGCTAAAGTGGTACCTCAGGTTAAGAACAGTTTCAGGTTAAGAATGGACCTCCAGGACGAATTAAGTTCTTAACCTGAGGTACCACTGTATTTGCCTCCCAGGAAGGCTGAGTCACTGTTTCCTGAGCCGTTGTTTGGAGGAGGGGGACTGCAGGCAGTTCGAGATGTGACTTGAACACCGTAGACCCAGGGGCGGAGGAAGTGGGGTGGTCCGCCCCGTGTGTCATCACCGAGGGGGGTGACATTAGGTGTGCTGCCTGCCCGTGACTCCCAAGCCTACCCCGAGCCGTCGGGGAAAGGGGCGGAGCTGTGCTGCCTTGCCGGTGGCCTTCCCCCTTTCCCCCTTTGTTTTGACAGCTCGGGGGAGGCTTGGGAGTCACGGGCGGGAAGCACATTGTTGACCCCCGCTCCCGGGCCCCTTCCTGGCGGGGGGTGGGAAGCCACCCCCAAGCTGTCAAAAGGAAGAGGGAAGGGAGAAAGGCTGCTGGCAAAGTGGCAGGGCTCCCTCTTCCCCCCACCCAGGAAGCAGCCCACCATGGGCGGTTTGCTCCACCCCCATGGGCATCTTGCCCCCTGTGACGCTCGCTGTGGGTGGTGCCCCCCTGGGATGCTCGCCCCGCCCCCATGGCCCTGCCCCCAGGTGCACAGCATGTGCACCGCTCCGGGTGCCGGAGCAGCTAGCTCCGCTTCTGCGTAGACCAGCGTCCTCTTGACCCTGGCTGAAATCATGTGATTCTGGAAGGCCAATCCTACGCTAATGCCTGTTTGTAGCTCAAGCATCTCCTGCACTCTGCCGTTATTCCCAGTAGGCTATTCCCAGTAGTGGTTGGTGCAGTGGCACAGCCCTGGACCTCTCTTGTATTGCTGCTTTCCTAAATATAAATGCAGGGTTTCTAAATCTCAGGCTTTGGCACCAAAAGACAGGTTTTGGAGTCCATTAGCAGGGCCTTATGGTTTTGTTTGATCTAGATGTTTTTCAAGAGAGGGAGAAAGAGAGTACAGGTAACTACTACTCTCTATCTCCATCCACTCACCATTCTGAACGAGCCACTATTGCACAAGTGCCCCCCAACCCCCGGCAGTGTTTCACAGTCGTTAAATGGGAAATCGCATGTGGCTGGAGGGGAGTTTTGCAATAAAAAACCCAACCCTGCCTTTCTCCTGAACTTTCCAGCCCCCATTCTACTTCACCACTTTGCCAACCCCTGGATTATATCTCTGAAAATAAAAAGAAATGGCAATCCTGTGACTTCAGAAGGTTAGGGGTCTTTGAAGAGTTGGATCTTTGTGAGTTTCTGCATGAAATGACCTGATCTGCAACTCTTGGACTAATTCGTGCTTCCCATTATAGCTGCCTACCAGGAATGCACTTCTTGGAATGTTGTGTCATCATCCTCAGCAGTTTAAGCATACGAAAATACAGATTTAGATTGTTATCTTGAGAGAAAACACACATCTAAATAATATTTAAATACATGTTAGGTACATACATAAAAACATATTTAAATACATATTTTGGAAGGAGTGTAGCTCAGTGCTAGAATGTCTGAGGAACAAGGACATGTGAGCATAATACACATTTCAAGGAAGCTCAGTGGCAGAGCATCTGCTTTGCATGCTGAAGGTCTTGGGTGCAAATCCTGGCATCTCCAGGTATGGCTAGGAGAGACCCCTACCAGGAACTTCAGATCCACACCATACATTCAAAGCATATTTGCATCACTATAACAGATACGGCTCCCCCCTGGACCCTCACAGATACCTTTGCCTGAGCCTGAAGAACCAGATGCTTCCTGCACCTGTCCAGTAGTGCTGGGGGCATACCAGGATGGGGGCTATGGAATGGAGAAGAAGAGTTTGGATTTGGATTTGGATTTGATATCCCGCTTTATCACTACCTGAAGGAGTCTCAAAGCGGCTAACATTCTCCTTTCCCTTCCTCCCCCACAACCAACATTCTGTGAGGTGAGTGGGGCTGAGAGACTTCAAGGAACTGTGACTGGCCCAAGGCCACCCAGCAGCTGCATGTGGAGGAGCGGGGACGCGAACCCGGTTCACCAGATTACAAGTCTACCACTCTTAACCGCTACACCACACTGGCTTCCATCTTCAGGCCAAAGGCTTGGCCATGGAAGGCTTTGAAGTTCTCTCAAGAGAGTGGACCTGGATGAGGGAGCTTGGAGACAACATTTGTTGGAGCAAGTTGCTCATTTGGAGCTGTCTGTGGTCCAGCAGCTTTCCTCCAGCCTTCTCTTTGGGTTCTAGCATCAGCATGATAGCTGGCCTTGCATGCAATGCACGTGGACTTGAGAGGGGTATGAATTGTTTCTTGCTTCATACTGGGCCTCTAGATGTCTAGAGAAGGCCCTAATGGGAGGAGACAGCCTTTGAAAAGTAACAGTCAATGAGATTACTTTTGGGGTATATCAGAGATAACCAAACAAATCCAGCACTACAGTCAACCAATAAATCAAATGCACACCAAAGCTATGAGTTGATCACTTATTTATTTCATGTATTAAAATATTTATAACCTGCCCCTATAGCACTTGGTCTCAAAGCAGAGTCCATAATTCATTTTAAAATGTCAATTCATTATATGAAATAAAGCACATAAAATGATGAATAACCAACCAGCACTGATCTTAAATCAATCAGCAGATCACAGGATTAGGCATAAAGTTAACAATGATCACTACTTCTATTGTCTATTGGCACATTATGCACACTTTTAATGGAGGGGGAGCAGGTTCCAGGTGAGAGGTGATATGGTGCCAGAATGCGTATGAGGCAGGCTCTGTCAGTGGGGGATGCCTGGCTTACTAGCAGTACATGTGAAAATGATCTAGGGATCTTAGTAGAACACAAATGAGTCAACAGTGTGATGCAGCAGCAAAAAAGTCAATGCTATTCTAGGCTACATCAACAGAAGTATAGTGTCCAGGTCAAAACCACACTTGTGTCCAAATGGTGTGATGACAATCTAGTGCAAATATAGCATACAGAGTTATAATAACAATGCTCCCAACAGTGTGGATGGTTCAGTAATATTGACTTCCATCTTGTAGCATCAGTACATAATGACTCTCAATTTTTCAGTGAAACTATTATTAAGTTGCCTTCCTTCCCTTACCCTGACTATATTGCTTAATTATTTTGATAATTTCAACCACTTCTCATCGTCTTGCTAGGCAAGTTCCCAGTGATAGTGCATTGATTTCCCAAACCCCCATTGTAGCTGATTGCAATCTGGGCAAATCATTTCCTTTTCTTCCAACAAGACAGAAATTTTTAAAACAGAAGTCAGGAACCTTTTTCAGCCTTACAGCCACTCCTGGGAACCTTGCAAGGGCCCGTGTCAGCAGTTGGCAGAGCCAGTGAGGGGGAAGGTAGCCTGAGGGGAGTTCCAAGGGCCAGACAGACATGCCTGGAGGGCCATATTCAGTCTCCTGGCCTGTGGTTGCCCACCCCTGCTTCAGCATACCAGAAGAGTATTAATAGAGGGTTTGCTGGTAACTCTACCCACTGTGAACAGTGCTGCTTCCTAAATCCCTATCTCTTTAACTCATTGGGTCTGCAAACAGGAGAAACAAAAGTTTGGCCGAAATCTGAGTGGGAGAGAGAGAGAGAGAGAGAGAGAGAGAGAGAGTTTGTAAGAGAGAGAGAGAAATAGAAGCCAACCCATCCCCACCTTCACCCCTGTGCTTCAGAGGCAGAAATGTTGATGCATATTTCTTAGAAATGTTTGGTGCCGTTCGCAGAAATAGGAGGAAGTTGAGCAGGCGTCTCACAACACTCGCTTCCTTCCTGGGCAAGGGTAAGGAGGGGCCGTCCGAAATTGGGGGGTGGGGAGCACTCAGCCAGGAACAAAAAGCCCCTTCAGAGTCTGATGGAATCTGACATGAGCTTTTGAGCTCCCCAAGTGGCGTTTATGGCTAAAGATCTGGAAAAGAAAATAAATCTTCCAGGCCTGGCATCTTGCTTTAATTAATAACATAATCAAGCTCTTGGCCAAGTGGAATGGAACTGTGTTTCTCCACTTGACGTAGGCCTTGTGAGCCAGGCGAGGGTCGGCCGGCCCTGCACTGGATAGAGTAACGCCAGAAGTGGCGCAATGACACTGGAGCGGCTTCTGTGCGGATGCCAGAGTAAATCTGAGCTGGGATTGTTTCATGCCTCCTCTCCCCTGTGAGAATCACAACCGAATTCCTTCGCCGGAGCAGAGCGGGGCCATCTGGAAAGCTGGAGAAAGGTCTAATTGCTGAAGGGGAGAGAGAAAGTCGTGGTTTGGCTTACGGCAGCACTTTTAAATTTACAGTTTTCCTTTATGTCTTGTAAATGGCACAGTTCTCTGGATATATTAAATAGCACATGCAGTGTGTATAAGTGTTTTCCTGAGTGCGCCATCTGCATTATCTCAATAGGCCGTACAACAACCCTGTAAGGCAGACAGGCCTGGCAACAGCTGCAGAGTGGCTGCTTATGAAGTCCCAAGAGAGAGGGAGGACATTCTGCATAATATTTGCTAATGCTAATTTATATAGAATCATAGAATTGTAGAGTAGGAAGGGATCCCAAGGATCATCAACTCTCTGCAATGCAGGAATCTCAAGTAAAGTATCCATGGCAGATGGCCATCCAACCTCTGCTTAAAAACCTCCAAGGAAAGAGAGAATACCACCTCATGTGAGAGTCTGTTCCACTGTCAAAAGGCTGTTATCGTCACAAAATTTCTCCTGGTGTTTAGTCGAAATCTTCTTTCTTGTAACTTGTAAGCCATTGGTTTGGGTCCTAGCTTCCAGAGCAGCTTGCTCCATCTTCCATGTGACTCCCATTTAGATATATGAAGAAGGCTATCATATCTCCTCTTTTCCAAGTTACACATACCCAATTCTCCCAACTGTTCCTTATAAGATCATCTTCACTGCCCTCCTCTGCCCATGTTGCAGCTTGTCAGTAGCCTTCTTAAACTGTGGTGCCCAGAACTGGATGCTGTATTACAGGTGTGTTCTAACCAAAGCAGAATAGAGTGGTACTATGGCTTCCCTTGATGCAATATGTTAATATAAAGGCTATATTCCAGCTCGAAATACAATCCATCTGACCATAGTGGGGAAGACTGTGTGCCTGCACAGACTGTTGTTCATAAGCTGCTGTTAATGGGCAACTACTTCAAGCACCCTCCTGCTCTCCCTTTTTAGGGTTCTTTATCTTTAAATGGTATTTGGACGGGACAGCTGTTCAAGTAGAGGATTCCTTTAAATAGAGAAATGCCCTCTAGGACACATGTCCACCCTAGTAAGCGGTGGCATCCATGGGTAGCTGGCTGTGCCCTCTGCTGATGTATGCACTGGGCATTTAAACCCCCACCTCCAATTCTCCTAGTGGGGTTATGAGCAGCTCATGGTCACCAACAAGACCCTAGAAGTCAAGCATTCTGGGGCATCATATTTTGTTGGAGGCTGCCCAGAGTGGCTGGGGAAACCCGGCCAGATGGGAGGGGTATAAACAATAAATTATCATTATCATTACCATCATATACATGTATATGGGAAGTGACCGCTACCACAAAAGCATAGCAATGTGCCCAAACTGGAATTTTTTGCATTGTGGGCAAAACCCAACCAACCAGCCCGAGGGGAAATGCCAGAAAATAAATGGTAGCTGCCATGTTTTGTTTTTACCCACAATGCACTGGAACCAGAACTTCAGGCATTTCAGGGAAATAAAGATGGTGGCTGTAACCACAGCAACTGAGGGCCCAAACACCCGCTCAGATATTGAGATGGTAGGGAAACTAGGAACACACCCTGTCATGACCCCCTGCAAAGCCTCTTGATTACATCCCTCTGTGGCTATTCTGTTTTTTGTTTTTAAAAACAAATAAGGAAAACTTTTAGACAACAATGTGCTGTTTGGTCTGAAGAAATCTCTAACCCTAATAGGGTTAACGCTGTGCTTTGTGTAAGCAAAGGCTGGAGAATAAACTACCGTTGTTTCCCCGACCTGACTGACACATTTATTGATCATTTTTTCCAGCAGTTCATTCATAAAGGCCAATTGAGCTGGGCTCTTGGGATAGAATAGCCTTTTAACAAAATCCTCAAGAGGGGCAGTGCAGGGGCTGGGGCATGCGTGACTGGCTCTCGGTAATTTGCTTCTGAAAAGTGACAGACTGGTAGCAGGGAAAAACAGGTCCGGCTCTAACATGGCGTTCACTGGACTGCAGGCATGAAGTGCTGGATGGATAAATGGTTGCATGTGTTCTGCAAACTGGGAAGGTTTACTGGAAGATGAGAAGCTTTGCATGCAGAAGGTCATCTCAGCATCTCCAGGTTGGGTTTGGAGAGACACTCTCAGTCCCTGGAGAGCTGCTGCCAGTCAGTGTCTACACTACTGATGGCCTGTTAGTCTGACATTGCATAAGGCAGCTTCCTGTCCTGTAAAAAATAGCATCTTCTCCGGTAATGGAGATTGGGCAGGACTAGAGCTCAGTGGTGGAACACCTGCTTTTTGTGCAGGAAGTCCCAGATTGAATCTGGGACATCTGCAGGTAGGGCTGAGAAAGACATCTATCTGAAACCCTGGACAGCCACTGCTAGTCACCGTTCTGAAAGGTGATAAAGGTCTGTCCAGTCCACAATGGGCTTAG